GACAAATCAAGTCAGTTTTCATCACCAAGCTCCTTTTCACCAAATACCCCACAAATGTCTTTTCCTAGGATCGTGCTGCTGTATTTGTTTAAACTGCTTTGAGGTCTGCCTACATTCACCATGTGAACTCTCTCTCATCCTTGCAGACCTTAGAAAAGCCCATGGTAGTTCCTGAGCTGTCATTTTTTCTTTCTTTTAGACAGAGATATTACCTTTGTTTTGGGTATGAATACTGACGTAACCTCTGCTGCCAGCTCACATAAAGAAACTTGTAGATTTCTTGTAATGCTCTGAAACGTTGCTCCCAATTATATCAACTTGCTTTAATCATACACAATTACTAGTGATCTCCTCATAAAGCACTGACATAATTCAGCTTATTATATAGCAGTTACGTCATTTGCTGTGTGTTCATTAGGAATTCTCAGCTCAAGGACAAGCAGAAATTCATTTCTCATATTTTGTTTATTCTTTAATTTAATTCTTCAAAATCTTCCATCCTATGCCTGGAAATCAGCTTCAAAGCCATCACCACAGAAGCCCCAGCTGCATATTGCAATTACATTTCTCAGATGAATAAAAAGAAATACCCTTAACAATACTGATGTTTTCACAGCTTGCAGTGGGAAGTATTTCTGGATTAATCAGCATATAGGGACATTCCATCATACAGGGACATCAGATTTGCTGAATACTTGCACATCCAAGGTCTAATAACAGATTCATCTAAGTGAAATGTCTGGAAATAACTGAAAATTATGTAAGCTCTTCCAGGGAGGCATGAGGAGGTGCTTTCCATGGAAAGGCAGTTTAGAAAATTTCAGAGGTCTTCAAGAAGTGTAAGGCAAGTACTGTGTGTTACGAAGAGAAGATGATGCTTTTTTCCTCATTTGGCTTGTTTTCCTTGTATGTCCCTTCACACCTGTGTTTTTAAGTGAAATCTATGGATTGATACTTAAATGAACTTGCTAGTTTGGGTGTTGTATTTTTCCTGTACAAGGGAATAACCTGTTATCACAGTCTTGCTTTGTTTTCTTAAATAGGTTTCACATTACTGCAGCAGACAATACTATGAAACTGTACTGGTACATTAAGTTGTAATACCACTGAACACAGGAACAGAATAACAACGTGCTCCTAGAAAGACCTGACAGGGATGAAAATTTACATCAGTGCATTTATCATGAAAAAAACCCAAAACTAATCTAGAAGAGCAAAATATTTTTAGCTGGAAAGGATAAAAAGAAGAGAAATCATTTATATTTTTTAGCAAGAAGGAAAGCAACATATGGTAAAATTGTCCAAGAAAGCTTGATAGCTTTAATGGGTGGGAAAAGTGAAGAACGTGGAAACAAAATATGACTGTGACAAACTTCACAAACTGGAATACTTGTTAATATTTGTGAAGGTCAAGTGCAGTTTCATTAGAACCATTAAAGAATGGTTCCTCAACCTCATTCACTCAGGAACACTGGAGCTTTTTCAGTATTCCAGCAAGGATTTGCTGTTGCTAGTGCAATAGTGACATGGGATACAACATGATTTCTGTCTTCTGTGACTTTACAGCACAAGGCATTACAGCCCTGATGAAATTGATGGGCTGGCTGTGCACACAAACCTAAGCTGAATCACGAAGTGTGTTACCCCCTACATTATTTAATGTCTCTTACTTGTTTTCTTCCTTTTTTTTCCCCTTCCCCTTTTTGGAAGTCTTCTGCTAAGCTTTTCTTGTTTTGTTTTGTTTTTTTTTTCTCTGTGTGCTGGGTGCATCCTTTAAGGTTTCCAGTCTTACGTCACAGTATCAGTCTTCTAGTTCTTTCTTCACCCACTGTGTCACGTTTGTGTGCTTTGGTTAATTGACAAGGAAAAGCTTATGAGTCTGATTTGGTTTCAACAACATGCATAGCTGAAGGGAGACTGTTGGCCCACACTGTCCTGCAAGACGTGTAAGAAAAAATGACACAAAGTCAGAATTTTATCTATTATTCTACTGTGTAGTTAAATTAATGCTTTAGGTGCATCAGAACTATACAGTGATCTTTTTGAAGCTGGTGTTAATAGTGTAATTGGAAGACTTGAATATGCATTCTGTTTCAATATGAATAACTTGAATAACAGACGAGTGGAAACTTAACCTGCATATGAAATACTGATTCTTAAGATTAGCAAGACTTTAACATGATGTGAAATTCATCAAATCAGCCCTACTATCCCACTGTCTTTTTTTTTCCAATTAGTCAGTTCGGCACCCTTATCTGCATTCCTAAATCTTTTTATGACTGCTAAAAATTACCAAGTTTTTTAATCTGTCCTACATTTTTACTCTGTTGTGAAACTCCAGCACAAGAAGAATTCAGATTAAGATGTTATGGCGTGCTTAAAAAACTATTGTAGTAGAAAGTTATCAGATGACCTCCTTCCTGTTAAGGATAAAGATCAGGTACACCATCTTCCTGTTGCTCTTCTGAGATACTTTCTGTGCAGCTTCTTTTGTACAAATCATTAGCTAAATTCCAAGAGCTTAGAGCCTCTCCTGGTATTCAGACATCCAGACTGAGTTTTGCAAGACCATAAAAGCAGGCCTTATTCTATAATGATAGTTCAGCACTCAGATTAGCTTCATTTCAACCTATGTTTATTATTAAAGGAAAATATAGCCATATTTATTTATAATAAATATTTTCTCTAACTTCCTCCAACTAATTATTAAATAATTATTTCTATAGATACACTGACAATGAAAAAAAAAAAAAAAAGCACCTTAAAATATTAAATACTTCTCTAAACATAGTATTTTAAATATACTCTCCCTCAATCCTTTGAAATTTATTGCATACTTTTCTGGTAGCAGCCAGCAGGGTGAAGGAAGCAACTGTCCATCTCTACTCTACACTCGTGAGACACCACTGGGAGTACTGCAAGAGACCAGGGCCCACAGCACAAGAAGGACATGGAGTGCCAAAAAGATGATCAGAAGACCTCTCCTGTAAAGACAGGCTGAGAGAGCTGGGGTTGCCCAATCTGGAGAAGGCTCCAAGGTGACCGTATAGCAGCCTTTCAGTATCGAAAGGTGGCTCACAGGAAAGCTAGACAGGGATTCTATCAGGGAGTACAGTGACAGGACAAGGGGTAGTGGTTTTGAACTAAACCAGGACAGGTTTAGATTACACATTAGGAAGAAATTCTTTACTCAGGGGGTGGTGAGGTATTGGCACAGGCTGCCCAGAGAAACTGTAGCTGCCCCATCCTGGGAATTGTTTAAGGCCAGGCTAGATGGGGCTTTGGGTGGCAGACCTGCCCACAACAGGGCATTGGAACTAGATGAACTGAGGACCTCACATAGCTGATCTGATGAATGATCCATTGGAGTCAGGCTTTCAGCTGTTATGGTTCATATCATACAATACTTTTTCTTTCAAATCCTACTTGACAAATTAGCTTGTCAGTTGTAGTTGAAAAGCAGGGGAGAACTCACAACAATCTCACTAAAAGAAATACTTCAACAAAACTTGCTTCTAAAACAAAAAACTTTTGAAACTTGCTTTTTCCTCCTCCAGCATGTAACTGGACACAGATGTTTAAATGACTTTATATGGAGAAACGTGCCTCATAGATTTGACCTAGTTCTGTGACCAAGGAAAGTCTTAGTAGAAATACATCTAGTTCATAGCAGTGTGATCTGGACAGACAGCTCTTAAGCTTCCTAGCTTTAAATCTTACTAGAAAAAAGTTGAAATCTCTTTTAGAGAGGCCCTCTCTCTGCCCAGTGCTCCCTCCCCAAGTTGAAAACAGACACCAAGCCTTGCTACTGTAGAGTGTCAAAACAAAGATAGAAAATGAGGCTTATGATGAGAAAAAAAGAAAAAAGGAAAAAAAAAAGTAGCATTAAAACCTTTTATGACTGAGGGAGCACAGATGTTATACATTTGTCCCAGCCCTTGTATCCTGTTTTGAAAGCCAGCTACAGATTTCTGATTCACCAGCTACTGAGGGTTTAGTTTTACTGCCTGGAGGCTTTAGAGTGTGTGGTTCTTCCCTCTCTTCTTGACACCTCCAATGGAAGGGATTGGCAATTTGGCCTGGTTTAAAACTCCTTGCAAAGAAGAACAAGATTATTTTTTAAATGGGACCAATCCCCTGATGCAGCTCACTGTGAAGCTCCAAAAACAGTGCAATTCAGGGTGTGGTGTGAGGGGAAAGGACTTGCACAGGGCAGCTGGGAAGCAGGAAATCTTTCAGACAGTGTTGTTATTAAAGCCTGTGTTTTGTGGGACTCAACTTGTCATGAGGCATTTAACAAGATTTTGAACCCTCCTTGTGAAAATCCCTTTTATTCTGATGGGGTATCGAAATGGGTAGCTGCCAAGAGTAGCATGCCACAAAGGGCACAGAAGACACATGCATGCCACAGTCACTGCAAAGCCTGGAACTTCCCCTTTCAACAACCAAAGCAATGGCACAGATATGCTTAAGTACACAGGCGATAGGCTAAAAGCCACAGCAGTGTTGTATAAAGAACATCTGAAGCTTTATTGTCTAATAACTTTCTTTAAATGCCGTTCATAGCATTCCAACCATTAATTGCTATGATATCGCTGAAGTATCTACTGATTTTCCTCTGAGTATTTGGTAACTTAAGGCTTTACAGGAAAGGCCCTGGAGTCCCTCTGAGCTCAGGCTCATGCCAAATTTCCTACCTGCAGGTGCACTGAGAGTTTCACTTCCTTGCAAATGTACTCTGAAACTTAAGATTTAGCCTATCTACATAAAAAATGCACTAGTGCTCCCTAAGATAACTTATAAGAGTTTCAATCTTATTTTCCTGTTGTCAGGATACACTGACTACTGTATTTTCACAGGAAAACAAAACAAAACAAAACAAAAAAGAACACCTTAGAAAGAAATATCCTTTTAAAAATGTATTTTTAAAAATGTAAAAGCTGTACTGGTGTGTTGATATATTTCGTATATTTTAAAAAGGGACACTTCTTTGCAAGGTCCCTTTTTTACTGCTCACTGTGACACACTGGCTGGCCCTTTGGTTGTGCCAGTTTCAGTGTTGTAATGCTAAAGAAGAAGGTCATTCCTCTTCACCGCAAAGAGAGGGAGAGGAAAGGTTACACCCAGTATTTGTTGGTGAAATCAGGCACAACAAAGCCTAACGGTAAAGGATATGGGGTATGACAGCTGCAGTAAAGGAAGGACTTGCAGTAAAAGGTCAGTAATCATTTCCCTCTGATTCGGATGATTGCTTTCCAGAAGGAAACTCATGCTCAGGATGCTGTTGCTGTGCTACAAAGCTACTGTGAAGGACAGAAGTGCTTTAGGCTGCTCAGTGCCATAACTGTGAACAGGACGAGGACAAAACTGAAGCTGGTTTATCACTCCACTCCTCCCACATAACCATGTACTATTACAGAATATACACAGTGGATTTTTCCAGCTATGCAAAGCAGTGCTTGGTTAGGGTGGTGCAGATGCAGCTGTGCTTGAGGACAGCTCACTGACAGCTGGACCTGTGGGGGATGGAGGAGGTTATGAAAAGGCTGAAATCCAATTTACTGCTTGTGACAACAGCGCGGATGATGCGGCACCGTGCACAAGACGCCAGGGAAAACCTCTGAGTGGTGGAGCATGGAGCACCCTACTCTGACTTCAGACCCTCCTCACTGCCAAGACAGGCACAACATGAGATGGGTTGGAGGAGACGACCTCCAGAGGTTCCCTCCAAACTCTACAGTTCTGTGCTATTTTGGGTTACTGAAATGAACTATGTGAGGTGGGGCCAGCCCTGACTCCTTATTAGGATTAATATTCAGCAGTTAATGACCCACCCTGTGTTGTGCTTCTGTGAACAAGTGACACCCACCGACCATGGAGCCGTGGATATGGCTGCAACCACCCTGAGACGACCCACGCTCGCTGAACTGTTGTTCAGCAGCAATACCCGCAACCCTTCACACCCCTGAGCCCTCCCACCTCCACACGACCGCTCAGCACGTACACGATCATCCTCCCTTCCCGCCCCGCGCATGCGCACACTTCCTTCCCGCCTCACTCCCACCTCCCCACACTGATGGGGGGGTTGTGTTCTCGTGAGGAGTGCTGCGAAATCTCGCGAGAGGTGCGGCAGAAGGCTCCGTGGCGCCTCCCTGAGGTCCCGTTCCCGCGCTGCGGATATGGCGGCCCCGCTGTTGGCCTCGCCCGGCCGCCGGAGCCGCTTCGAGCAGGAGCAGGAGCGGACCGTCCGCGCCCTCATCCGCAGCGTCACCGGCCTCCCCGAGGAGGAGGAGGAGAAGCAGGAGGAGGAGGAGTCGGGCGGCGGCCGGTTCCAGACGGCGCTGAATTTCGCCTGGTCCAACTTCAGGTCAGCGCCCGCGGACTGAGGAGCGCCGCTGCACGGCCCCAGGGCTCGTGTGTGGGCTGCGCTATGGAACGGCTGCGGAGGAGGGCTGAGCCGCTGCTGCGGCGTTCGCGTCAGAAGGTGCCCTTGGCGGCCTCGCCTCAGCGGGCAGCGTTTTGTTGGTTGCAGGGAAGCGAAGAGTAAAGGCTGTGCGTGGTGAGCAGGGGAGCGAGCTACCGGCCTGGAGCGTTGCTGATACCGAATGTCGTCTGAGTTTGTCATAAACGTAGTGTATTTTAACCTGCCTCCCGTAATCCTGCCTTGGCTGCGTCCCTTTCATTGTGTTACAGTGCCAGCCAGTTCCTACTGAACTTCCCTGCGCTGCTTTTTCAGTTATCAGAACCACCGTTTCACTGCTGCCACTCCTGGCGTGACCCATTTCCAGTTTCCCTCGCCACCAGTTGGCTGCTGCCACTGCTGGGCCGTATGTGCTTGTAAGCTTTATGCAGTGAGTGCTGAATCCATGCTTTAATGCTATTCAAATCCAGTTTTTAGCTAAGCATTTGCATTACTGCGTTGCATTGAGTGAGGCAGGGAGTCAGCTCATACGCTCCAATAAGGCTTTTTTATACAGAACAGCGAATAGCTGCTGGACAGCAGTGCGGAGGTTTGACAAGTTCAGCTTGGATACATATTAACGAGGCCACTTGTGTGCATTGGGAACGCGGGAATATGGTGTTACTGCTGTCCCGTTGTGATTTTTTTTGTTTACCAGAAGTATTTTGTGTTACATATCACAGTACTACATTAAATCCTTTTGTAGCTGCATCAGAAACACTGCTTGTAGCAGTGGTCATGCTGAGGCTAAATGTTGCTTATGGCCCCAGGATCCCTCAAAACCTCTGATGATTCTCATTAATAACTTCCTTTCACCTTAACAACTTGCCACTGTTTACTGTCATTTCTAGTTGTTCCATCTGGTATTTATTCCAAAACCTTAGATGCAGCTAAAATCAGGCTAGTAGATCCATGGTTAATAAGATGGTTCTTGTTCGTTTCCTAAATACAGGCATGTCTTTATCCTTCAATGATGTTATTAAAAAGCCTTGCTATTAGGCTTGCAGTTTCATTTTTTAGCTCTTTACCTTGACCATGAGGTGATGTTAGATTGTTTTTTTCCAAATTTGGCTGGTTAAACTTGGCTTTTGCCTCTGATTCAGAGGCAATGATTTTCATTTCTTTCTGTAGTCATATGAGTTTAAGCTACCTTTCAGGCCTGTGTTCTTGGTATCTTGAATCTTGCTGATGTACTCAGTGCTGTTACATCCCATTTCCTGTTTTTTCTCTCTTTATTCCTAACTGAAGAACCTTGTTTGTGTTCTGACGTCTTCTGCAAAGTCTATTGTACCTTTCACAAGTTTGGGTTTTTTTAATCCCTATACACGCTACTTTGGTGGTTTATCTTTTTGTTTGTTTGGATGAGGTTCTCTTTTCTTTTAGGCACTGTCCTTTGTCATTTACAAAGGAGTTTCATTTGGGTTTACTGACCTTTCCATGTGGGTGTTTGTTTTGCCTCTGCTTGTGGTACAGGTCCCAGATAATTTGTGTGTTTGACACAGATGACTTTGACAGTAATTTTTTTTTATTTCCTTGCTCTGCTTGACTTAACTGATGACATACTTTAATTACTTACTTTGCTGTTACTGCAGTAATTTTCCATTCATCTGAAATTGCTGGTTAAATTTAAGCTGCGTTCCATTTTTCTGTTTTTAAGGCTGATTGCCCTTAATCCTCCTTGAGATAAGAGGCATGGAGATTAAATTTTGTTGATGTTTAATGATGTTGCTGAATTAAGCAGGCTTTGTTAAACAGAAAACAAGATTAAAACAAAATTGCCATCGTGTAAATTGACTTTATTTTCTTTCTGACGTAAGTTGCCTTATCAAGCATATTCTAATACAGATTTCTTATACAGATTTCACCGTTTTCTTGATGTGAACAGTCATAAAGTAGAGAGGACCATAGAGGGGTGAGTTATGTGTTTATGGATTAATTATGAATTAGTTAACTTTTTTGAAGCATTACTTGTACTTTTTTTTTTTTTTAAATTAGAATACATGAAAAATTGATAGTTCATTCTGACCTGGGAAAAGCAGCAAGCTGGAAAAGATTAACAGAAAAATTTCTGAATTCACCACTTCCAAGCATAGAAGAAACAAAAGTATGTATGTTAGAGTTTCCTTCTCCTTTTTGCACTCTTGTTGATGCAGTGAGCTTCTACTGTAATGTCGTGTTGGAAATTTCAGATGGCTTAGCAGTAGAGTTTGTGGTTGCTGTTCACATCGTGTATTTTTAGGGTTGTATTCTGTAGTTTCCCTGTTTGTTTTAGAAGCAGTCTTATTGTCCTTTCAGTGTTCCAGTGTGCTCATTCTCATGACTTACAGAACATATATTTCACTGCCAAGCAAATGTTTTGTGGTCAACATTGTACAAATGTAGCTGAACCCTTGTCTAGATGTTTTAAATCAGTGGCTGAGCAGAAATACTTGTTCTTTGCCCAAATTTTTACCTTAGGTAATGAATCTGAACCTTTTGATTTTATTATTCCCAAATGGAGCACTCATGGATTGTAGCTTCCTTACTGAGGCTGCATTTGTGACTTTGGAGTGCATTGGGTTTTGGTTTTTTTTGTTTTTTTTTTTTGCCTTGATACAGTTTCTATCAAAGCATTTTAAGATGTGGCCTGAGTGGAAATAGCAAAAATTGTCTCACTTGGGTGTTTTCCATTGTGGTCGTTTATTATGAATTTCACCTTTGAAAACTGGAAGTTTCTGCTATTAGGAGGTTTGCGCTTGCAATTTGAGACGTGTTGCCCCATATAATGTCTTTAATACAAGGCTCTGTTCATAGTTGGAGTCGATTCTTGTTCTCATTGAACTGCTGTCATACACCTCTCTTTGGACTTTTTTAGCTTTCCTCTACTTTGTGGAAAAAAATGTTGAGCCCTCAATAGCTTGCACATCTTGAGTTACTGTACTGTGCTCCTTAGTTTTTTTAATTACAAACCTTAACTTGTATTTGTTTTGAGTGTTGAATAAAAACAAAAATCCAAGCAAGCATTTTATAGTTAAATGTTGCAAATATCCCAAGACTTTTTTTTTTTTTTTTAATTGTGACTGGAGTACAGCTGGAGATATCATATATCTCATACTTGGAAGTTAAACTGCTTTTAGTTTTTAGCAGTGTCACATAACTGGGAAGATTGGGTATTTAACAGTTTTGTGCCTGCTAAGTGGAATGCCAGCTCTCATTTGTGGCTCTGTTGATGACCTACCAAAACTCTTTGACTAACTCTTAAGGTCAGTAATGTTCAGTAGGAACATGTTTTACTCCATGTACACTAGTTGAGGGTAATGCTGCTCTACAAAAAAATTGAGAATTTTTGTTAGAAGTGGGCTTGGATCACATTCCCAATGAGCTTTTCATGTATTTCTTTTTTAACTTTTTAAGCCCATGTGTATGGGATGTAGACAGCAGAATATCCACATGGCTAGATGTGGAGTGTTCTGCTGAAGAATTCTGGAAGGTCAGAATGAGGCCAATGAAAAATCTTGCTTCAGAAAGAAAAAGTTCACTAATGACAGCAGTGGTTGTCTTCTAAGCAAGTATTAGGAATTAGGACCATAACGCCAATCTTTGCCAAATACCACTGTTGCTATAATAATCTAGCTTAGTTGAAGGCCTGTTTCAAAACTGCTTTAGCACAGTATCAGAGTTAAAAATGTATCCTTAACACTTTGTGTAGGTTTTCAGATGAGGGAAGATGATGTGAAGATGGTATCTAAATGTAGCAGTTTTAGTGAAATGTTTTTAGCTAACTTTGATTTAGCCTCTGTTTGAAATAACAAACCATATGAGTGTGGGAAATTAGACTTAGATACCTGCAGGCCCTTTTCTTTTGTCCATGTTGATATAGCTGTGTACACTTAGCCTGGCCTAAGGTGACTTCTTACTTTCACAGTAGTTCTGATTTCCTCTTATCTCTTTTCCATATCACCTGATTAGCTGCTAGTAAGAGGCAGCTGAGAGAGTTTTCATAGTATTTGCATATTGATCAGCTAGCTAGTGGGCAGAAGAGAGCAGATAACATTTGATATTGTGCTGCAGATCTTATTTTTTAGTTCAGGACTGAGGTGAGGGAATTAATTGTGAGCATTCTTAAAGATAATAGACTGAAGTTATTTTCAACCAAAATCTTTTCAATCTCTTTTTAATTAGCTTTTTTTCTAATGTGTTTTATAGACAGATACGCACTATTCCATACTGTCTCTTCTGCTATGTTTGTCTGATTCTCCATCTAACACCACCTATGTGGAAAAACCAAGAGAAAAAGAAGCAGGTAATTTGACAAGATGTTTGTGTTGCTAACAAAAGATGCACTCAGTTAATACAAGCTGATAAGAAGGCTGTTTTTCCTTTCTATTTTATTATCTTCATCACATCGAGGTGCATTATTGATTGTCTTTTTTATGATGTATACATTTCAAATAGTCTGCAAATAACCTTTCCTACCTCCCATTTATGTTACATTCCATAATTGAGTTTTCCAGCCAGCAAAGTACCTTGGGAGCTCTTACACGCTCAAAGACAGACAGCTGGTTTCTATCCTCAGTCTCTGTCTTGCACCTTAATAGGATATGTATTGAAACAGCTTTGGTAATATAAATTCCTGTGTTCCCAATGTAGTCAAGGAAAGGTAAATACCTTTGAAGGTTTCCAGAGGGGGACCCCAGTTGCCTGCGTTCTGAAGTAGGACTGTTTCACTCAGTGCCTAAAATGAGGCTTGTGCTTAAGTTTGAGTGGATACCATCCCCCATTTGTTTGCAGTGTTGTATCGTAGACTGAAAGAAGAATATTTCAGACTAACCTAAAGAAAATCTTGCATCTTAAGATTCCTTTTTGAATGATCTCTGCACATTCCCTCGGCGGTGTTTTGAATGCACTTTCAGCCCATTCCAGGAATGTGAATATGAAGAGGTTATCTCAAACAGCTCTAATTACAGTTGAGTAAGCTTCATGTTTAAGATATAATATATTCTAAGTGTGATTTGTTACTTTTAAAATATGACACATCACATCATGGATATGTGGTGTCTTTAGGAGAGTAAGACAATTCTTGCTTTACTGTTGTTTATTGTCCACTATGCTTGTGCATATGTAAGATACACATTAGAATGTCTCCACTGAGCTAATGGAATAGTCACAGTTAGTGATATGTTGCATTCTTGCATGTTTTTCCAGGACCAAAGCATAGGATAGTGTAACATAATAGAGATAAATGTGTTGATAGCACTCCGTGCTGCATATTTTGAGTGTATAAACAATAAAATTGAGAACATAAAGAATATATGTAGTCAATATCACAATTTGTGTGTCATGTTGAAAGTATATAACCTTGTTAAAAGAACAATGGTGTAACCTTAAGTGCTTGACTATGTCTTTGCTTTAGATTTAGAGTATAAAGGTAATTTAAGCTCTGGAATTTGTTTTCAAAGGAGGTCAGAGTGAAGTGATACTTACTATTTTATTTTATTTATACTTCTAGAAAAGGAAGAAAAATTTGACTGGGGAAAGTATTTGTTGGAAGGAGAAGAAATTTACTTTGGCCCAGGCATAGATTCACCAGTAAGTAATTTCTTAAAGTAAAAGGAAAGCATATAAACTGTTCTGAAGTACGCTGGAGATCTGTTTAAATTGCCCTGGCATGTGTGCTCTGTTTACATGGATCCTTAAAGGATTCCCTGGCACGCTGTTGCTTACTTAACACCATGAAATTCATGCAGACTCAAGCAGAGCAGCAGTAATAGAAATGCTTTTGTTATTCATTCTGTTCTGACTTAGCCTTGCGACTGATCTGGCCTCGTCTGCCTGCTGCTAATCAAAACTTCCTTTAGCTCTATAGTTAAACTCTTCTACTCCTAAATTCTGATTCCCTTGAAAGGTTTCAGAGAGAATAAATTGCTTTTCTTTGGCAGCCTGTGTACTTTTCTAACCTTTTTACTACTTTATATAGGTGATTGCTAGCCTTAACCAAATATTGTCCATAGTATAAAGGAGTATGTAAAATTCTTAGCATCAAAGTAGAATGTATATGGCAAGAGGAGGTGAGGACTACAGCAGATTTCCAAGCAAGTTGAAATTAATGGAACATATGTGGCTTTCCCAGATCATCCTAACGTGGGTTTCCGAAAGTTTGAATCTTGCCAGTGTTGTGAGAAGTTCTGGTGGTAAGTAAGAAGCAGAGGAAGTTCAGGTCATGCTACGTTTTGAGTCCCAGGAGAAGAATTCCATCAGTAACTTTGAAAAGCACAGTATCATCATCAGAGCCTTCTCTTGTGACTGGGCTTGTGGAATATAGCTTGAAAAATCACTAGCTGTTTTATTCTGCAGTGCTCAGTTTCTGTGCAGATAAATGCAAATGCTTCTTCCACCTAAAACTTACAGCTTTAATGTTAATATAATTTAAACCAGTCTCTGTGAGACAGTTATGTTAGTCTTAATGTCCTGAATTAGCTTTGTAGTGAAAGAAAGAAAATTGTTATATTCAGCTACAACAAGTCAGTAGGAACTGAGTATAGATCTGACCATTATGTTGTAATGAAACATGTGGGGTTTTATTTCCCTTGTTAGGATTGGTCTGGAGAAAGTGAGGAGGAGGAAGATACTCAGCCTTTGAGCAGGGAGGACTCAGGTATTCAAGTAGACAGAACACCTTTAGAAGACCAAGATCCAAACAAGAAAACAGTACCTAATGTTTCCTGGAAAGGTTAGTTTAAGTATTAATGTTTCTAATCTAATCATACATACTCAGATTTTACAAATATTGCTTTACTATTCTTTAGTGAGACACTAAAGATACTTAATAAGATACTGCATTTTAGACCTATAATTCACTTTAGTGTTTGTGCGTTTAATTTTTCAATATGGAAAGCTTGATTTAATTTCTGTTGATGCTAATGGAGAAGGCTTCTGTTTATTTGTGTGAAAATAGGCATAAATACTCAAAGATAGAAATGAAAACTTCCAAAGCAGATGTAGCATGCAGCTTTATGGGTATAAAGTAAATGTTTATTATTAACTATCAGGATGCTAAAATAATATTTAATTGGCAACAGAACTGATTGACTCAGTTCTATAAAACACTTCTGAAAAATTAGTTTTATGTCATTAGAACACTGGTGGCTTATTCTTGAATAGTTTCACAGAATATTAACTATAGCAGTGGATTTTCACATAGGATATTGTTGGATATATGATATCCTGTATAAGCAGTCTGTAATATTCATAATTTGTGTAAGTAGCAGTTATCTACTGAGATTAGTTATGGTTTCTTAGTAATCACATTTAAGAAAAAAACATTTTTGTGTAATGTACTGAATGTGTAGTAAAAAGGAACAGCATGACAAAGATGGTGATATTTGGCAGTTTATTTTTGAAGTCTGCTTTGTTTTGTATTGTCAATGGCTTATGGGCTGGTTCGGCCCAGTTCTGTGACTGGTGGGACAGAGGGACCCCTTTCCCAGGGATCTGTGCCCTGGAAAAGGGAAACAGGGAAAAGGGTAGAGAGATGGGCCCTAAAACAAAACAGCAACATCGATCTGAGGAGAAACAAACTATTTTAATAAATAAGATATTGGAATGCAAGATAATGCACTATAACGCACTATAACACAAATTTAAGCTAATAAATCAAATATGAGAGAGGGTATCCAAAAGCTGAAGGCCTTACTTTAATACTGAGATGAGACGAGCAACAGACATGAGCCAGATAATCCATCAGGTGACCTACAAAGGCCTTTTGTCTTCTCTCCCAGAGTGGAAATGATAACAGAACAGTGAACAGTTCTCTGTGGTATGTAGTAGTTCTTCTCTTCATGGACAGGTACCTGGACCTGGAGCATTAACTCTTTAACTCCCAGTGCACTACATGATGTTATGATGTGGAATACTGATAATCAAACATCATAAAACTATGACATGTATATATCATATGACAATTGCCTGAAATAAAAATGCATTCTCTGAGGAACAGTTGAAAGCTAGGTACCCCTCCGAGTCTTTTTTTTAAGACATAGAATCATGGAATCACTCAGGTTGTGAAAGACCTTAAAGATCATCGAGTCCAACCACAACCTAACCATACTACCCTAACTCTAACAGCCCTCTGCTAAATCATGTCCCTGAGCACCACAACGGATTTTAAACACCATCACATCCAGGGATGGTGACTCAAGCATCTCCCTGGGGAGCCTATTCCAGTGCTTAACAACCCTTTCTGTAAAGAAGGGTTTCCTGATATCCAGCCTAAACTTACTCTGATGCAACTTGAGGCCATTTCCCCTCGTCCTGTCACCAGTGAAAAGAGACCAACCCCACTCCTGTTGTAAGCACTTTTCAGATATTGGAAGAGAGCAATAAGGTCTTCCCTCAGCCTCCTTTTCCCCAGACTAAACAGCCCCAGTTCCTAAAGGAACCTATGAGGAGAGACTAAAGTCTCTCCTCATAGGGCATATTCTGCAAGCCCTTCACAAGCCTTGTTGCCCTTCTTTGGACCTGCTCCAGCACCTCAATGTCCTTTCTGTACTGAGGTGCCCAAAACTGAACGCAGTACTTGAGGTGAGTACAACTTTACAACTTCAGGAGGTGAGACATTTCTGTGCGAGTTAATTAATGCATGATGCACAAGTCACGTGATCAAGGTGAAATGTAAGCAGTTGAAAACTCAGATTTATATGAAACAATCTTTGCTTCTGCAGCTGAGTGGATAGGCTTATTAAAAAAACACACGGAAATGTTATCATGTGTTTTCCTGAACAAAAATATCTCACCCACAGTTGTATTTTTACAGTTGGTGAGCCTGATGCCCGGAGCTGGCTGGAGCAGCATGTCGTTCCTCAGTACTGGACAGGAAGAGCTCCTCGTTTTTCTCATAGTTTGCACTTGCATTCCAACCTAGCTGCAGTCTGGTGAGAAAACAATGTCACTTACATCTTCCTTGCTGGCACGTAAAGCTAAATAATAACTTAATTAAGCGTCTTTACTGTTAAAGTATAAAGCTGGTATAGTTACTGCTTGTGTAACTGTTGCCTCTGATAAAGAATCAAACATTGCAAATATGAATCATTGTATCCTTAAATACAAAAAATACTGTGGAAGGTTTACAAAGAATTGTGCATTACTACAGGGAAAAGTTTGTAGTTGCATGTGGAAGTTTCAATTTCAGAAGCAAACTTTTGAGATGAAGTATGAATTTGCTGCTATGAGTTAAGGAAATTGAAACTTTACTTTTTAGCTTAGTTTTTGGAATGGAAAGATTAACTCCATAACTTTTCATATCGTTGAATATGAGATAATTAAAAACAGAAAACAAATCTCAAATTCATTACTTATTTCCTACCTAATTGTTTGCCTTGCTGCGTACAACTAGATGATAGTGGATGTTTTCCATAGTATTTCACTTAACAATGTGGAAACAAACTGACTTAAAATGTCTACATGAACATTGTATCTATCCATATACAATTAGAGCTAAACTGACCCTTAAGAGTATTGTTTCATCCTTACTGTCAGATTATTGATCTTCGATTTCAGGCCTTAAATTGTTTTCATTTCACATTTTACTAGGGACCACCACTTGTACACCAGTGATCCTTTATATGTGCCAGAAGAGAGAACACTAGTCACAGAAACCCAGGTTATAAGGGAAACTCTTTGGTAAGAGCAATATCGAAAAGCTTGCATTTTAAGTTTCTATGTTTTTGTATCCTCGTTCAAGGAAATAAGAGATTTATCTTTGAACTTGTATCTGAAGAATTATTGCAGAGTTTTTAGCTTCCAGTGTTGCTGGGACAAAGATGCCGCTAGTGTATATTTACAAAGAAAATAGTTTACTGCTGCTTGTTAAGAAGCTGTTAAGAAGAACCAAGTTGTTCTTACCTTGCCCTAGAGTCTTTTTTAATAAAGTGTCCAACATTGCAGAGTAGGTTTTGATTCATCCCATAACTGGAAGATGTCTTATTTGGAGAGGAACTTTAGGATGTGTTTGCCTAGTGTCAGTGTTTTGTTCTTGTTCTAGCAACAACTTAACAGTATGAATAGCATAGCTGATCTTTGATCACCTTTCATTTGAAAACAGAAACGTAGGCAAGGCACAACTGATTCTTTTATTAGTGTTGTTGTGAGTCCATAAAGGCAGAGAAAAAGCATTAATCTTTCTGTTTCTTTTCAAGGCTACTTTCAGGAGTGAAAAAGCTCTTTATATTTCAGCTGAATGATGGAAAAGTGGTTGTGCGGAACGATATAATTGTAACTCACTTAACCCATGTAAGTTATTTCTGAATCTCAGCTGAATGTATCTGTCAGTAGGAAGATGTAATTTTTGGGACTAGGAAGTTAACACTGCTTGTGGGAAAGTAACATTTCTGCAATTGTTCTTCATTTAGTCAGAGTGGAATGAGCTGTTCCTATATGTGAGAATGTGATGAAGCAATAAAGATGGCAGAATTTCATTGCATGTTAATTCAGATAGATATCTTGTGATTTAATTGTTAGGCTTTCATTAAAAAATATATATCTTTATTCTAGAATTGCCTAAGGTCTGTGTTGGAGCAGATAGCTGCATATGGTCAAGTTGTGTTTAGACTGCAGAAATTTATTGATGAGGTGATGGGACACAGCCCGGAAAATGTTTCTACTCCAAAGAAAACCACTGAAGCCCCATTCAGAACATACCAAGCTTTTATGTGGGCCTTATACAAATACTTCATTAGCTTCAAAGAAGAACTTACTGAAATTGAAAAATGCATCATCAACAAAGGTACAGTGCAAGGGAAATTTTATGGGATATTTTACAAGAGGGAGGCACAGAAGGAAATTTTTATGAGGGAAGCATGCAAAATATTATGTGAATGCATTTTGAAACTGTGAAATATGCCATGCTTCATTTTAAAACCTCATGAATAGCAATACCAGAATTTTGATTTTCTGTTGCATGTTGCCTTTTTACATCTTTTTCTATTTTTTTCCCTGCTCTTTTTTTTTCCCCAGACAAAACAGTCACACTTTCAATAGTAATAGATAAGCTGTCTCCCCGCCTGGCACAGCTAAAGGTACTTCACAAGGTTTTTAGTACAGGAGTAGCAGAAGTGCCACCTGACACTAGAAATGTTGTACGAGCATCTCATCTGCTTAATACTCTTTACAAAGCTATTCTTGAATATGACAGTGTTGGAGAAGCATCTGAACAAACGGTAGGCAAAAATCATTCTTCCTTAATGAAATCACACTCTAAAATATTTGGTAAGGCAGATTTCATTCTGCTGACTGAGTACGTTGTCCTTCAGCAGCGGAGGACAAATCTGGTAGCCATAACAAATGACTGTTTTCTTACAAGAGTTCACTCAAACTACATACAAGATTCATGAGGGGATGAGCATTAGTGAAAATGTAGTAGATGTCACTGTGCCCATTATAAAATCATGGTGTGTTACAACTATCAGTTATCATTTAAGGAATGTTGGAGTGAGAGTAATGAAAGTTGCTGTTTGGGTCTAATTGCAATGACAGAAGTAATAAGGGGAAACTTGCACAATGCACATCTCCATTTATAGTGCTAGGCCTGTAATTGTTAGTTGAATATTTTATCTTTAGAAATCGTTAACTATAGTTAAGTATATCTTATAAACTTGCTATCATACAATTAATAGGTTAGACTTTGCTATGTTCCTTGTAATATTTACTGGAAAAAATTATTTATTTTTTTCTTTCTTTAAATTCAGGTGTCCCTTCTGTTCTCTCTCTGGGTTGAGACTGTGAGGCCATACTTACAGACAGTGGATGAGTGGATTGTCCATGGCAATTTGTTTGATCCTGCAAAGGAATTCATCATTCAGAGGTAGGGGTGCTGATGTTGGACACTCATAGTTTGAAAGTACTTCTTGATTGTTCTGAAAGAAAGGTGACGTATAGAGCAAAGATGACAATAAACCTTCTAGTAAGGAAGTTTCATCTTTTAAAAAGGAAAATACTCAACACTTTATTTTTTCTTCCTTCTCTGCAGGAACAAAAACGTTCCAGTTAATCACAGAGATTTTTGGTATGCTACCTACACATTATATAGCGTGTCAGAAAAAACAGAGAATGAAGAGAAGATGAGTGATAATGCCAGTGCCAGTTCTGGCAGTGATCAGGCCCCTTCAAGCAGGCAACACACTATGGTCTCTTTTCTGAAACCTGTGCTAAAGCAAATCATCATGGCTGGAAAATCCATGCAGCTGTTGAAGAATCTTCAATGCAAAGATGGCTCTCCACAGCAGGCCGCATCCAGGGGTGAGCTGTCAGTTGGTGGAGTATCATGCCATAGGGTAACTAGCAGCATGGGAATATTTTATATAATGGTGTTTCTGTGGTTATAGAACAACTTAACTGTCCTCCTTATATGTCAGTATCACGGTTTGTAACTCCAGTTCTGACCGATAACTTACTCTTCCAATGCAATCAAGTGACAAGAACAAAGCAAACAATGATCAGTGATCAAGTACTCACTTCAGGTTTTGTTGCTTCAAATTTTCATAAACTTGTTTTCATATGCTTTCAAAACATTTCATTTGTTATTAGACAAACATGGTAAACAGTAAAACTGTGTTTCGGTCTAATAAATAGTTGTTTTTCATTAAGTGGTTGAGTAATTTCAAGGTAACATACAGAACTTCTTCAACAAAAAAAAGTTTACTAATAATTAGATGAAACTTATACTGACAATTTTATGCGTATCTATAGCCAGGTTACTTTTTTGAATGATTGTAAAACATGGTGCAGCAGGTAATCAATGTTGATTTTTTTTATTTTTTTTTTGGAGGAGATGAAATGCATTTTTTGGTCATACAATTTCTGTGGGGTTAATAGTGATAGCTGAATTATGTTGGCATCTCTATAGGCTTGTTTCCCTCTGTGACACGGTGTTGCTTTATGTGCTGAGAATTGCCTTTATGAGAAAGAAGTTCTATTACAGTCTCTAATTAGCAATACATTTAACCAAATGCCTGACTTGAAGCATTAGATTAGCCCCACTGATTTAGAGATATTTAGTTCTAAGTACTTACCTGAGAAGTGGCCTAAATTTTGTTTAAAATCTTTCAAGCGTATGTTGGATTCTGCAGTTGGTCTTGTAGTTCAGGCAGTATTTTCTCTTACAATGAAATCTTACCATGAAACACATTGCCCAGTTTAGATGCTGAAAGAAAGAGTTTGTATACGCTGTTCCTGGAATCCGTGCAGTCTCGCCTGAGGCATGGGGAAGAGTCTGTTCCAGATATTATTACAGAGCAGCAGGCCACCAAGCAGAGCCTAATAAAGATGCAATCTATAGCAGAAAGGCACTTAGAACTGGATGATGTCCATGACCCACTGCTGGCTATTAATTTCGCCAGGTAAGTAAATAGCCACTAGATGAATGATCTTCCTGCTGTGTTGTTGAGAGCAATGTTCTGCTCAGTGACATCTGATAAAGCAAATTTTTATTGCTGCTGCAGTAAACAAGCAATCAGAATAAAGAGTAACACCAATAATCAGTGGCAGAATCTCAATAAATACTACCCTTCTGCTTAGCTGGAAGAAAAACAAATCAGTGAGGAATCGGCTACTTACATCAGTTAGTGTAGTAAATAGGTGCAGCATTTATCATGACCTTTTTTGCACATAAATAAGTGTTTGAGTAATGAATGCTCTGGTAAAATATAAACTGTAAATGTGCTTGCTTGGGATTTGTGTGCAGTATACACTCTAAAAATCTTTTTCTTTTGTCATTTCAAATAAGAAACAGCTATTGAGGTTTTTCCCAAATACTAGTTGGCAATTTCTGTGTTTTCAGTTCAGACTTCAGAGGAGGTTGTTTTAAGAAATCATAATTATTAATGGATAAAACTATCACTTCTCTCATTTGTTAGTACTATTTGTTCAAGTTAGATAGTCAAATGAATTCAGTGTCTGACTCATCCAGTCTATCAAGGCGACATCTGCAGTGAACCAGGCTTCTTACACTGGATTCATCTAGTGAGCAGCTTTTCAAACATCATTATAATAAGTTGACCTTTTCTGATACAATAATAATTAAACCTAGCAAATGTAGGTTGCCTGCAAATAATACAGGTAACTTATCCTCAAGGTGCCTCAAACAAACTATTCTTTTCCCCAAATTGTTGCTTTAAAAAAAAATATATATATTTCCTTACTGGGAAGTTCATCTGGCTACTGTGTGTACATAACAGTAGTATAGTTTTAAAAGTTCCAGTGAGAAAGGTTTATTAAGCTGGATAGTGTTCAAACTTGATGTTGTTTTTCTGAATTATTCCTTTAACAGTTATTACAGTATGCCATCCTATTTCATATTCTTATGCCTGGTCACTATATGGTGAAACTAATATATAAAATATTAATGGTTGCAACTGTAATGTTATATAATTCTATGTTATACAGTAATAGTAGAACTTTTAATGTAACAGTTACAATTAATAGCTGCGAACAGCTTTTATTCTGCAATCCTGTTTTTTGAGCAGAAGCTCCAATTTTGATTAAAATTTTCTAAGGTATGACATTTTTCTTCTATATATTGTGCAAATTTATATGTATTCTAACCTAAGTATTTTTATTTGATGTAATTTTTAAGATTATATTTGGAGCAGAGTGACTTTCACGAGAAGTTTACTGGTGGGGATGTTTGTGTGGATCGATCCTCAGAATCGGTCACCTGCCAGACTTTTGAACTGACACTGAGGTCTTGTCTTTATCCTCACATAGACAAGCAATACTTGGAGTGCTGTGGTAATCTAATGCAAACTTTAAAGAAGGATTATAGGTAAGAAAGTAACGTGTTTAGCATTTCTAATTATCAATGTTATGTCATTTAAGTAAAAGCAGGAATTTTCTTTAAAAAAAAAACAAAACGTGAATTAAACACCTTTCTATATTAATTGAATCATCAAGGAAATACTTAACAAAAAGGGAGATCTAAAATGGTCACGAGTGAAACTTTGGTGTATCTACTTTAAATCAGTAGCAAATACATTGTTGAACACCCAGTGAAGAAAAACAGGGAAATTGTTTTGGACAGTATTTTTAATAGTGCTGTCATTTAAAACTGGAAGATGAATTTTAGGAGGTCAGAATGTATTTATATAGTCTGAAATTTGGTTATGGTGATTTAAAATTTACTACATGAAACAATGTTACGCAGTATTTTTATACAACATGAAGTAAAATGGCCTATTCCTTTTAGGTGGTTAAAGGGGGTCATGCTTTTAAGCTACCTTAAGTACTTAATGTATTTTTGTAGTTGTGTTTTGAAAGAGATGCAGAGGTACTGTTCTTCTTACTGCTTTGCGCAGGAAGAATTGCTATCATCACTTCATGGAGCTCCATTTTGAAGTCCTTTCTTACACAAAACTCTCTGAAGTTGTGTTCAGAAAGAAGGACAGGATTGCCAAACTCTAAGCCATTTTTGAGAATTGCCTGGCCTGTAAGAAGGCTGAATGCCATGATCACGTCTGTTGAAGACAGCTTGCCTTTCAAGTTGAGAGAAAAAAATGAGTTGATTATTTTGTTTTATTTGAACATGTTCAGAGGCTTTCTTGAGCAGTGGATTTCGTTACATTTCTGTTCAGTACATATAATGAAGAGTTGTTAAGGTTTGGTTTCACTTGTATGATGAAGACTTATGTAATGTTCTGTATTTTTTTCCTTCTTTAGGCTTGTAGAATATTTGCAAGCTATGAGAAACTTTTTCTTACTTGAAGCTGGAGATACTATGTATGATTTCTATACATCCATTTTTGACAAAATTAGAGAAAAGGAAACTTGGCAGAATGTTGCCTTCTTAAATGTTCAGCTTCAAGAAGCAGTAGGACAGCGCTATCCGGAGGACAGCTCAAGGTAAATGCAAAATCCTGCAAAACAGACTTTAGTTATAGTTTCTTTCACATCTTCCTGAATTAGTACACTTCACTGGCGTAGTTCAATACTAATTAATGCATATTCATTGCAAGAATCTGTTTCAGTGAAGCTTTGAGCTGTTGTCTCCTTTTCAACACAGCTCTATCAGATTAAATTAGGCAATGTTTAAGAAAGTGAAAAAAAAATCTCTAATGCAAGTAGCCACTAATTTAGAATTAGATCACCACCAATAAAATCACTTCTTTCCTTGTAAAGGTTGTCTATATCATTTGAAAGTGTTGATACAGCAAAGAAGAAACTGCCTGTCCACACCCTAGATGGCTTGACATTAAGTTATAAGGTAGGGTATAGTAACCTTAATATTGCTGCTGGTTTTTATTCTAGAATAGATTTGAAGTTGTATTAATGTGACTTACCTTTTCTGTCTCTGTCTTATCCTCTGCTGTTCTTAGGTTCCTTGGCCTGTGGACATAGTTATAAGCCTAGAGTGCCAAAAAATTTACAACCAAGTTTTTCTGCTCCTACTACAAATAAAGTGGGCCAAGTATAGTCTAGATGTTCTAAGATTTGACGGTAAGAAACTGTTTGAATAAGAGATACTCTAAAAACTTTGTTCTGGGGTCTGAGGATATAAACGGTCTGCTGCGTTCTGAAGTGAGCAGTTTGATTAAATCTGTAAAATATTAATCTCTTTTAGCTTCACAATTCAGGTATATTAAATAGGACATGCTTTTTACATCTCCTCAGCCTCATAAACAATGTTATTCGTGCATTCTTGTTACCTCTTTGGTTCAGGTCTAATTGGTTTATGTATGATCTTCCAACCCTGCTGTTGTAGGAAGATCTGTCTGCTACACCTGTTATTCATAGCTCAGGTTTTTTGTGAGTAATATCTTGCAAGAAAGTTTAGAAAACAAGATGAAAAAAATACTGAAGTTGAGATTGAAACAGTAAACTTGATAAGAATACATACTTAAGCTACAATTTAATAATTTGATGTTTGTAGAAAGAGATCTGCTGTTGAGATCTTAATCTTCAGTGTATTAATTTTATGCTTTTCCTTTCGTATATGAAGTTGATATGTGATTTATGTCCTGGAAAATCAAATTAGAAAGTTTGGTGCTTCATCTGTTCCTAAATTCTGTTCCTAAAAGTATGTGGTTTTTTATTGTTAAAACTTTACAGATAAGGCTTTGTGTTTTAAGTATTTCCCTCTTTGTGGAGATAGATAATATGCACATTATTTATTTACTTATTATCTTTTTACATAATTAACTCTTAAATAGCATTTTCTATTCTAATATTTATCAAATTCAATGTACATATATTTTCAAAATACAAATATTGCTGCTATATTTTAATAAAACACCTGAATTGCAAGAAAAATCTTATATCAGTGTATCTTACATAGTAATGAGAAATCAATTTTAAGTAACATTTTAGCTAAGTTTGTTTTCATAAATGTTTTAATATGTTTTATTTTTAGAACTAGTCTGTGCTGCAGAAAACTCACAGGTTAAAGAGGAAACTTTATTAGAACAAGGAACGCTTCCTCGATTTGGACCACAAACAGAAAGTATAAAACAACAAATACATCGCATGTTCCTCTTAAGAGTGAAACTTATGCATTTTGTTAACAGCCTGCACAACTACATCATGACTCGGGTTTGTCTTATCTCATAACTTCATTTATGCTAAGAACTTGTAACTGTAGATGCAATATTATTTTTTATTTAAAACTATCCAGACCAAAGAGATATAAGTTACTAAAGCAAAATCCTTTTCTAATGTCTCTTCTTCAAGGTGATTTTAATCTAAAATTTAAGCTAAAAAATGTTTCAGCTTTCACTTGGACAGTTAAAATCAATTCTAAAAATGCTTCGTAAGTTCTATGTGCAGACTGATCTTTGGATATTATTTTTTCATATCTTTTTTTTCTTCTTGGCTGTTTGTACCAGAGCTGTGTGTGCAATGCATGCCAAAATAGGCTTCTTTAAACTCTCTAGAGCTATTATGGTCATAGAAGTGTAGCTGCAGATGTTTTTTGTAATGATTCTTCTAAAAAATCTCTGCTATGCAGATCCGAAAGTATTACTTCTCAAAAATAAAGGTAACATCTAGAAGGTCCATATCTACTCAGTTGCCTTCTTTTGGCCTTTAATGAAATAATATAGTCCAAATTGATTCCTCCAGAGCTAATATATCTGCCTGTGTGTAGTGATAATGTTCCTACTTGTGCAAAGTATACAAAATGTCACTGAGTTATAAGATGAGTTCAGAGTTTTTACTTTATAGTAGCTGGGAGGCTGAGCCTCCAAGTTGAGATTGGAAAGGGAAGAGTGAATGTATCAGGCAGTTATTGGCTCTCAAAAATGAAGTCTTGGAAATGAGTCACAGGGATTTCTGTGCAATGTAGGATTTAAATAACTGTGGTTTTCTCTTTAAGATTCTTCACAGTACTGGCTTGGAATTTCAGCACCAGGTAGAAGAAGCTAAAGATTTAGATCAGTTAATAAAGATTCATTACAGATACCTATCTACAATCCATGATCGCTGCCTACTAAGAGAAAAGGTAGGTAAAAAATGGAATATTTGATGTACTGAGTTCAGCAGGACATGAAAATAGTACTAATGATGCTGTGCCTATTTTGCAGTTCATACATACACTGTAATAAATAATCCTCTTGAGGAAATGATAACTTGTTTAGGATTAACACCGATATTGTTTCTCTTGCAAGTCTCAGCTTCATTTCTGTGAAGGAGAGAAAATAAAATTATCTACATCAGAGTTTACATACGTTTGTTTTTTAGAGATGCTGGGATTTGAACAAACAGGCTTGGAAATGTAATGAGGATTGTATACGCTGGTGTGGTAGGAAACGGAGACATGTCTGTTGTTGCAGTCATCTGTCTCATATACTAATCCTCATTGAAATAATCATGAAATGAATGAAGGCAAATACAAAGCATATCTTAACTGGGCAGACTTGTGTTATGCCTTGGAGACCATTTTTACAGATAAGATTAGAAGGCGTAGGATACATTTATGTCCTTAATAATGAAAATGTTTATTCACTTTATTAACAATTACTTTCTGATTGTTATTCCTTCTGTTTTGTTACTCTAGGTGAGCTTTGTCAAAGAAGCTATAATGAAAGTTTTAAATTTAGTGCTGATGTTTGCAGACCGTTGGCAGGCGGGTCTGGGGGCTTGGAAGTAAGTATATGTACCTAAAATAAAACAGTCATGATTTCACAGCTCAGAACATGCTTTTGAGATGTTTAACGGTCAATGCCAGAAGCTAGTCACTATTTCTTAACAAAAGTGAAATTTATCTTAGAACACAAGAAGTATCATATGCTCCTGTGAGTGTGTATTTGGTATTTTCTAATTACAAGTATGGTTCATATGTATCTTTAAAGTATCTGAAAAGGTTGTACAGCGTAGCAACAAAGAGAAGTTTTCATCCATATTTGTTCGCAGTGATAAAATGGGATGTTCATAAGTTTCGTTTATGATCTTGTTTTCTGGCTGTGATTTAAAGTTATAGGCAGCCAGCTGCTGACATTTATTGGTTCACGAAAAGTGAGATTGTTTTGCATGACTTTCATTCTAGAAGGCAGTACATTTTTGTCATTCTTAAAAATAAATGTAGGTAAATTTAAATCTAACACTTGAACAACCCTCTTTTTCTAACTTAGACTGTCCACACTATAAAACCTTTGTCAAAATTTCAAGGGCAAAAATTGGAGATGTTGAAGTCTATGAAAGTTGACTTTGGGGTGAAGATTTTCATGCAGAAACTAGGTGATCTCCAGAGGTCCTTTCCTGCCCCTACAATTGTGTGTTGTTCTGTGATTCTGTAATAAGAAAGCAGTGGGTGATCAGAGCCCTGTTTAACCTGCTGTGTGTCCTTGTTTTATTTGGTAGTGTAAGTTTATCCCAAAGAGCTCCAAAGCAATTAGGAGCAGGAATGGCTGTCTTGAAATTCCTGAAAACTGTTCTGAGTACCTCAGAATAGTAGTTCTCATCAGCTGAAACCACAAAGTTCCTCCTAGTAACTGCAGATACTTACAAGAGGATGACAAAACGCCACTTTAATAATGTTCAGGCACTCCAGTCTAAATTGGCCACAGTTTACATTTTAGAGTGGTATACTCAAATATAACTGAAATATTTTAAGTTCAAGATGGAATGCAGTGCGAAGAACATGTTGGTTGTTCACTGTGAAGTTTTGGTTATATTTTGAAGGTAACAGTTGCTTGACTGACTGGTAAGTGTACCTCCCTTATACTTCTTTGTAGGATGGAATCCATAGAGAAAATGGAATCTGATTTTAAAAACTGCCACATGTTTCTTGTAACTGTCCTCAACAAAGCTGTCTGCCGAGGCTCTTTTCCTCACTGTAAGTACATGATGCTTTTCATATACCTGCACTTGTCACACAAAATGTATTTAAGTTTTAATCTATTTGTCAGTACAGATTAAAGAATCTAATTTGTGAAAATAATAAATAAAGTATTCAGAGAAACATAAAGCCTTACTTCTGAATAAGTTGAATTAATTAATTTTAGAATATATGTACCATAATTTATTTTTCATGGCAACTATCTTCAGTTTATCTGTTTGCTTGAAGAGGGGATCATAGAATCACACAATGGCTTGGGTTGGAAGGGACCCAAAATCATCAAGTTCCAAATCCACTGCCACAGGCAGGGCCACCAACCTCCAGATCTGGCACTAGACCAGGCTGCCAGGGCCCCATCCAACCTGGTCTTGAACACCTCCAGGGATGCGACATTCACAGCCTCTCTGGGCAGCCTGATCCAGCACCTCATTAGTCTCTCTGTAAAGAACTTCCTCCTAACATCCAATCTAAACCATCTCTCCTTGAGCTTAAAACCATTCCCTCTTGTCCTATCACTGTCTACCCTTGTAAAAAGTTGATTCGCCTCCTGTTTATAATCCCCTTTTAAATACTGAAAGTGTGCAGTTGAGGTCTGCTTGCAGCCTTCTCATCTCCAGGCTGAACAAGCCCAGCTCACTCAGCCTGTATATCTTGACAGCCAAAGTGGTCTTCTAAATAGGTAATTAAAACAAAGACCTGAAGAGCATATATAAGCGTTTTTAATGTTGCTAGGTGACAGCTGGGGAATAGCTTGAACAAATAACATTTTAATATTTTGATGCCTTAACTGCAGCTGCCCTTATGCTCTTGACTGTGTGCTAGAGGTTACTCAGTACTGGAAACAGCAGAAGAGGATATTTGTGCTTCTACTTGCAGCCTGATACTAGCTTAAATGGGTTGTCAATGCCAGTTAGAGCTAGGGTGCAACTTCTGAATTGAATTAGCTGGGATTTAGATGCACATTCATTTGTTTTTCCTCTAAGATCAGCCCTTTCTAATAGGGAAGGGAGATGGGCTTCTAAAAGAGGTTATATCTTATCGCTGCTCTTCAGTCAAGAAGAGGTTGTCTGCAAGGACTGTCTGTGAGAATGGCTAACTGCACATAATTCCCCTCAACTTTTATCGAGTTTTCTGTTTGCTGCCATTTGCTGCCATTAGTATTTCAAACAAAAGAGCTTATTTCTTGCCAGTTCTTACCAGTTAACCATCACTAAGAAATGTCAGAAATTCATGACATTTAAAATGTCTTACCATCTTAAATTCTGAAGTGTTAACATTTAAAAAATAAACTGATATTTTCCATTTAAACTATGAAATTGAATATTGCAGTGAATGTTTGCAGACTGATGTAAGTGCAAATACTCACTTTTTTTTTAATGGTTTGATTCACAGTGGAATCTTTAGCTCTATCACTGATGGCTGGCATGGAACAGAGCTAGCACCTGAATCTGCTGAGCTGCAGAACAACTGAAAGCAGCATTTATGTTGAATGTCCTTTGTTAACTGTAAGCGTTTTACACTCCATTTTGAAACATATATAGTGAAATTATACTGATGGTTTGGAGCTGTGTAAAGTATTCTCAAATGTAAATAATGTACAGGTATTTAAGTGTATTGCTTGTGGCTGTATTGTTCTCTGTATGTATATGACTTTGACATGAAAAAATGTGCACTGTAAAATGCATCCTGCGTGAACAATCTTGCCTGAAATACATGAAGTGTATTTTGTGCTGTATAAAGGATTTTTATTTTGTTTTTATTGTTATTATGAATAATTGCTGATGTACTGTTTCCATTAACTTTGCAGCTGTGACTAGGTCACAAGGCACTGTGCACTGGTGTGACTCAGTTCTTATTATTCAAAAGGTTGGCTGAGTTCATTTTGGGGGGAAAAAAAGAAGCTAAGAGCCATTTATCTTGTTTGCTTAATGACTCTTAAGCACTCTTTGGGAACAATTATGACTGTTACAATAACCTGATATTAAAAAAACAACAACAACATTAACTTAATTGAAGTAGATTATTGTAGGCCATAGAATACTGATATTTTTGAATGTTAAATGATGAAAGCATACTAATTTTGGTGGTAAACTTGTCAGTTTAAGCATGATGAAGATGACTGTGAAATACATTGCTTTTACCTGTTGGATTGCTAAGATGTTTCAGAGGTTACAACTTGATCATTCTCCTTCAAAGCCTTTTGCAAACAAAACTATTCATTTAATAGTTAATTTCTTGTAAAGAGGTAGATCATAATACAGAAAGGGTACGTTTTTAGAGAAGTGGATGTAGGGCTTGTTCCACAACCCTGCTACATCCCCATGATTTTTTTTGTCATTCTGACATGACTACACCTACATTTAAAAGAAGAAAATCGCAGCCATTTGCCTTTTTATTTGAATAAATAAAGGATTAAATAATTGGAATTTGACCATTGTGTGTGAGTTTCTGCTTGAATCTCAGTGGTAACTTACTAAAGTTAGAGGGGTGTTTCTGCTGTATAAGTGCAGTATATTAATAATAGCTGTGGAACAGTGGCTCACGTTATAAAGCTGTTTTTGGAGCTGTGAATTTGCTGCATTATTTTACACGTATAAATATTGCTGTCTTGTGTAAACGAGAGATCTCAACGGGTTCCTGCAAAGTTATGGCTTTTTTTTGAGTCTTTTTTGTTTACCTGAAGAATAAGTCCTTTGGTTTTGGTGTGTATGCCTTGTGATGCTGCCAAGACCTTCCATTGGCCTGCTGGCAGCAGCTAAGTAAAGATTTACCTATTCAGAAAAGAGGTTTTTGGTGAAGTGTTGGGTATTTCAGCTATTTGCTCAAATTTCAGATAAAAAAAAAAAAAGTCTAGCATTTTCTGATCTCTTTAGAGAGAAGTGCTGTTAGTTGGATTTCACCCCCTGTCCATTTCTTCTGGATGATTTTGACTGCTTGCAAATTCCAATCTCCATCAGTTATCTCTGATTTGAATCTTAAATTTGGGATCCTTCTCTTCAACATGGAAATGTGGCATTTCTATATGCTTTATTTCTACTTTTGGGATTTTGAGCATGTGAAAACTGATCTTTCTAAGCTTCTAAGGGGTAACTTCTGATTTAAAGCTTTTGTTGTTAAAAAATAAAAAAATAAAAAGCCCACTAGGTGGCAGATTTTAAAATTTCAAGGAATTGATTTTACGAAGTTGATCTTTTTGTGCTTATGGTTGTTGGTTTCATAATATCAAAAGGCTGGTGTGTACTGAAGTGAAAAAAGTATGTCTGATGATAGAAGTATGTCTGATCTAAAGTAAGAAATAGGAACTTATTTTAAAAAAAATGATTCTTGACTATGGGGATAATGTCTTAATGAATTATTGAATGAGAGGAAGCACAAGCTGATTTGTAGCTGCAGACAGATTGTTCTCATCCTAGAGAAATGGAAACTACAAAGCAAAAATACTGTTAGATTCTACTCTTAGCCAAGTTATCCAATTTTATGCTAAGCCACAAGAAGGCCTTGGGTTCTTGAAAAATAAGTACTTAAATGTGCATGGAGGAGTGAAAAAGGAGCACTAATCTGGGTGAAACAGCAAGCATGGATTTAGGTACTTAAAAGTAAGGATCTGGCTAAATGGTATTAGAAAAGATTATAACGTTCAAGGTGAGATGTTGCATCTGATGTCTAAGAATCTTTGGGAAAAGAAAAACAGCCTGCATTATTGGATGCTGTTAAATCTACACTTTATTTCCAAATCTTTTTTTTTCTCTCTAACTTCTGGGTGCCCTCTGCCAGAAGTTACAGTGTAGAGGTCCTTATCTGTCAGCCTCAGCACTTCTCTTCCTTTTCCTTCTCTTTCCTGTGATCTTCTATCATATCTAGGCCCCATTTTAGAACAGATTTCAGAAATTCTCTAATGCTTTCTTTGTTGTTTAGTTTAATAACCTCCTAATTAACTAGGTCCTTGGGGACCTTTGCTAGTGTCAAGCTATTGATAGCAAAAACAGTTAGCAAGCAGTTGCTGATTGCATGGTTTCCGTGGTAGCATGGATTAAAGATACCATCTCTGAATTGCATGCCCATGAAAAAACAAAATCTACCCCCCAGCTGCATTTTAATCTGACTAGCTCTACAGATTTACATGTTGCCAGCTTTCCTCCTATACTCTTTTGCTTGCTTATAGAAAAGCATTCCCACATCTGCAATTTGTACTTAATGGATCATGCTGTGGCTTGTTGTGCACTGCTTTTATTGCTGGGAAAGCTGCATGGGGTTGTTGGTCACTGCATCTAGATAACTAATAAAATGACCAGCATTAGATGGGCCTTACATAAGGCCAAGTGAGGGATTATATTTGAGCTGTTGCTTGCATGATAGAGATGGGTCTTGGATACAGCAAACACTCTCCAAGTGCTCTGCCTGTCTCCTGAGAACTGAAGCAACAGCTCTGTTTTATGTGTGGGAGTATGGAATAGCTCCATAGTCTGCTTTCCTTTAAACCACTGTCATGTCTGATACAAAATTAAGTGTGTACTGACTCTTTATATCAGACAATTTTTTTTTCTAGTCTTGGACAGTTTTTCCAGTGTGGACAGCTGGCTGACTTTTTGCTGCAGATGTAGGTTTATTTATTAACTAATTTAGAGACAGTTATCACTTTTCTTTCTTTGTAGTTTTGCATGGTGTCATGTTCTGGGTGTCCTTATGGCCATTGTTTGTGATAGCTTCATAACAACCTTTCTGTGTTGGATCATGACAGATCATAGCATGTTCCTGTGTTGTATTATCTCCTTTGTGAGGATAAAAAGATCAGTGTAAGGACTCAGCAGGTAAAAATTAAACTGAGAGGTAGGCATGTTATTAAGCTTAATCACTAAGATACCTGGGTGGAAAGGTGTAAAACTGGAGTACATAAGCATCTTAGAAACGCATAAAGCAAGACCTCTTCTTCCACGTGGAATGACATGGAAATAATTTGGGCTTCTGCAGATAGTTTTCATTCATAGAGCTTGGATAAATATTGTGAAGCTGAAAGAAAGGAATTCAAAATAGAACAGAACCAGCTGGAATTCAGGAAGTAGTCTTTTGGGCATCTGTGGGTATCTGCATAGCAAGCATAGAGCTTTGAAAAAAGTCTTCATCTGATCTGCAGGGAATTGGGTTAAGCTTGTGCTGTCTTACTATCTGGTGTTCATCTGATGCAGATGTAAGGAACAGAAACTGTCAGGAACATAACACATTGGTGTTATAGATATCAGTAAAGATAATGGTGACAGGTTAAATACTGAGTTTAAATAAATACCACCCAAGAAAGGTCTGTTTGAGATTCTAATTCTAGCCATTAGCGTCATAAAGGCCACACATACCTTCTAGTGAGTAGGGCATCAGGTAATGATCAGGTACATGTAGATATGTATAACTTTAGCCAGGCCTAGAAGGTCTGTATTCACTGGTGCAAGAATAAGAGGGATGATACAGTAAAAGGAGAAGCTGGTTATGAAGACTGACTGAAACCCTTTATCAAGTGCAGTCATTGCAGCACTTAAATTGCACAAAAATGGAAAGCAAGAAGTCATGGGGGAATTCCAGAATGTAATACTGATAAGTATGCCTCATGATACATGAGAGTGTAGACATTCAGATGGTGAAATGGGATCTTCCTCTAATTCCTCTGGGCAGCCTGGTCTGGTGGTTGGTGACCCTGCACGTAGCAGGGGGGGTTGAAACTAGATGATCATTGTGGTCTGTTTCAACCCAGGCTATTCTATGATTCCAATATACAAAAAAAGTAGAAAAGATCTTGATAAATAAAAAAGCTGCATATAATCAATTATCAGTATTTTTTATCTGACTTCATGGGTTGGTATAAATTTGAGTATGGAAATGTCAGTGAAGAGCAGATTGCTCCACTTGTGGGGAAATACTCAGTCACTCAAATGCTTCAGAAGGAGCATGGGATATCAGCCAATCCTTAGGATAAGGTGAAGCAGCCGCTCCTGGCACAGGGCGACTTTTGGCAAAGGTGGGAGCTGTGCTCCTGGGAAGTCGTATCACCCAGCTGGAGGCAAAATGCTGTAGATCAGATCTCACTGGGAGCTTTTAGCTTTGGAGTAAGTTCCCTGTCTAGTGCTTGCAGACACAGCATGTTTCAAGTCTCCCTTGCTTCACTTGTGGCTTGGGAACTGAGGTCTCAATGCTGATGTAGGCCAAGTGCTGCACTAAGACAGGGCTGTTGTCAACTCTGTGCTCGGGACAAGGAAATGAAACCACTCCTTCATTATGAAGGTGAGTTTTTTTTTTTTTTTTTTAATTTAATGACCTCACTGCACTAAGTTTATGATGAAGTGTATGATAGCTTGCATTGAGCAGTATCAGGTAGAAACAGAAGCATCTGGCTCTGGTTGTCTTCTGCAGTTTTTACTGAGCTGAGTTAAGAAGCCTAGGGATCATGGGCTGTGATGGGTGAAATTCATTCCATCAATGCAAACAAGTTGCACAGAGATATGCTGGATGTCCCTGGAGACGTTCAAGGTCAGGCTGGATGGGGCTCTGGGCAACCTGATGTAGCTATAGGTGTTCCTGTTCTTCACAGAGGAGTTGAACTAGATGGCTTTTAAGTCTCCCCTCCAATGCAAACAATTCTATAACGTACGCACTCAACATATATTATGGAGATATCCTATCAGAGAAGAGCAAGTAGCCACATCCTAGAAAATAAACTTTAATAGACCAGCACTGGATTGCAGCTCTGGGTACAGCACTGGAAAAATAACTGAAGATATGTCAGGAACATGGTGAAATGATAACATTCTGAAACGATGCAGAATTTCTCCACGAACTGTCGGAATTCTTGATGATGTGGAACGGGTGGAATAATTTGACAAGACAGTAAATGAAGTACTGAGAATGATGGGCTTTGCAACTTATTCCCACTTTCCAAAGGATGTTACAAGAAGGTTATTTAAAGAAGCTTAGTAGAATGGAAACTCATTTGGAAAGGAAAAAAAAAAAAAGACACCAAGTGAAGGAATAACTGTTCTGTTCTCAGCAAACCTAAACCATCAGCTGTTGAAAGCAAAGGCAGAAAGTTGCTTGCTACAGCAATACTGCCTCATTTGCTAATGACTGCAGAGGATTTCAATAGTGGAAAATGTTGGGTACAATTTTGGGTACAATTTTATAAGCAAGCAGCCTTTGGGGAAATACCAAGGTGGTCTGGAACTTTCCAAGCTGTAAGCTGGTAGTAACCCCTGCGCATAGCATGTCTGTTTACCCAGCCTACCGTCGCTCACAGCGATTCTGACAACCTTTAAGGAAGAAGCAGCAGCAGTTTCACATTGTAATAATGCTTCCACGTTCATCTGATGAAGAATGAGAAATAGAAGGAAAGCAGAACTGCAAAGAGGAGAATACTGAAAAAAGAAGGCACATTAAATGGAGGAAGTACTTACGTGTTCGCTGTGTTTTATAGAGAAATCAAAGGTGGGGAAATAGACACTCTTGGTTTGGCTGGGTTTCAATTAACAGCAGCGCTTCAGCTACGAAAAAAGCCATACACGAGCACCACCTAGAGGAAAGATTTTTAGACGGTTTTGCGTTGCGTCCCCTTTGGTTCCTTAAGGTTAGATCCTCCACCCTTACTGCTGGGCTCACCGTCCTGCCGGAGAGGCGGAGGGAAGGAAAGAAACCACGTTAGTTTTCTACGCAGACGAATGCCACCGGGGTGCCCCAGCACCGCTGTCCCCTCGCACATTCGCAGTACAGCTCGGACGGGAGCACGGCCTTTCGTATACCAACGAAACAAGCCGCCGATGTCGGAGCGAGACGCCGGCGGGCAGAGAGGGAGGAGGGGCCGGCCCGGGCGGGAAGGAAGGGAAGGGGCGGCAGGCTTGGGACGGGCGGCGGGAGGAGGGGCTGGGTCGCAGGAAGGGTGTTTCCCTGCGCGGCTCCCAGTCCGGTGACTCACACAGGAAACTCCCCGCCGGGCGCGGCCCAGGAGCGAGCAGCCGGCCCAGCGCCGCTCTCAGCCGAGCCGAGCCCCGGACGGGTCCCCGCCGCCGGGCAGCGCCGTTCCCGGGAGCCGGCGGCGCCGAGCGGGTGAGCAGCCTCCGCGGCAGCGCTTCCCGGGAAGCGGAGCGGCCTGGCCCGGCCGGGCCCAGCGCGGCGGCGGCGCTTCGGGTGCGGCCTCGCCCCCTGCCCGGTCCGGAACGGCTGCGCCCGGGGCGCGTCCCGCCGCTCCTCCCGGTGTCCGCCCCTGGGTTTTGTGTGCCGTCTGATGGGCTGGGGCTGCTGGGGCGGGGGCCGTAAGCTCCCGCTGCCTCGGTGGGGCCGTGTTCCGGCACCGTTCGGCGGGGGGTCTGGGCAGAGTTTGGGCGTGTGCGTCGTTATGTAGAGCGGGGAGCCCTGTGCCTGCACGGCGGGGAGGAGAGCTATCTGAGGGGGCTTCTCCTTGCTTAGAGAGTCGCACAGCGTCGCGGTGATTGTGGGGGGCACGAAGCCTGGGCTCTAATTGCAGCTCCGGTCCTTGTTGTGTTCTGCTTGCTTGTTACGATTTTTATTCTGAAAACTTCCCCGTGCGTTAGTTTGTTTTCTAGAGTGGAGGTTCTGATAATTATCATAAGGTAACTTTCTGTTTTCTGGATTGCGCTTAAAAATTGCGTTTATACAAAGAGTTTATAATGTTCAGACTGGGTTTGTGAGCTGCGTGCTTGAAACTGGTGCTGGTCCTCACGTCAGCGCTCTTCTGCTTCTTGTCCTTATCTCACTTTTCCCTGCATCCTTTCAGAAACCCTGGCTTTTTCAGCACGGAACTCCCCCTGGCTTAACGTGAAAGGCTTTCCCAAACAAGAGATCTGTGAGGTCTGGCTGGTGTGGGCAGCAGCGTTTCTGTAGCTGCCAGGACCAGGAAAAAGGAGGTGGTGCTCGGAAGCAGCCTGCAAAATGTGGGGTGCTGAACGGACACTGCTGAGGGTCACAAGGAGGAGAATGGAGCAGTATTTGAGTTGTGCTCAACAGGGTTACCTGAAAGCTTCTGACTGCGATCCTGCTCATTTTAGAGGAGCTGGACTACCTTTTAAAAGTCCCTTCCAATTCAACGTGATGTTCAGAGCTCACAGAATCATTTATCTACTGAGCGAATCTGAGTTACAGAAATTGTTTTTAAAAAATCCATGTAGTAGAATGGGGATGTTTCACAAACAGTCTGAATTTTTCATTATTTGACTCTTCTGTGCTTGTTTTACATAGAAGAAATTGTATTTCTTTAGTGTACAACATACACTCAGTATCTAAAGTATTCATTAATAAAATTATTGGGTTTTAAGTTTGCTTCAGGTAGAAATCTGCCTCAGGACTTGTACCTACAAACTCTCCTGACTTGCATAGACCTTGAAGTGTAATTATGTAATTAACGGATATCAGTTCCAGCTGCATCATTTATGTTAAAAGTTAGTCTGATGTGCTCCTTGGTTTTGCTTAATGCTTTGTTTATTCTCTGTGAGAGAGAGCTGTCTTGGAAGGTGACTGGTTCCTGAGAGTGGTTGTCACAATCTTTCCATAACCTGTTTCTCAGGATCATCAGACTTCTATTTCTTGTTTTGCTTCTCAGAGATTTTGAGATACTCAGACTGAGGTTTATTGAAAGCATGGAAGCTTCAGAGGAGTTGTACGGGAGCTACGAAGTTACATAAAGTAGAACAAAAAGTCCTCATAAAGCTCCTCAGACTCAGTTTTATTCATCTGCTGGCCTGGAAGCTGCTAGGATCGCTTGCACTGTTATGCAAAAGAAAACAAATTTTAGCATAATTTCCGTATACATTTTACATGTGAGTCAAGACGGTTTCATTTTGCAGTCATAGCTCTGCGTTCTTGGGGCAAATTCTTCTTGTGATTCCTTTGCTGTACCAAATAAAAGTAAACTTCAGTGCTGGGCAGTGCATTATGTCACAGCAGAAATCAGCCACATGATTGACTTGCCTTCTCTTTCAGCAATGACAGTGTGGGTTTCTGAATTGTTATTGTTTATATGGTCTTAAATAGCTGTGCTTACTATGGCAAGCCTCAGCTTAGTAAGCAATTATTCCTGAACCAGATTTGGTGCTTGTTTTTGTAGGGAAACTGCAGGAGCTTGACACAGGCTAAGTGTGAATGGTGCACCAGTGAGGTGCTTCGGATGAATCCATGCATGTGCGTGGGACTGTGATTCCTTTAAATGCTTCTGAGTTTTGTTAGAATTTGAGAGCAGGTAGTAAATATAACAGGTTAGAATATGAAACTTGTCACAGGTGGCCTCTGATAGATCAGATAACCTCATTCCTTTTTTTGTTGGGTTTTGAATCGTTGAATCACCAAGATTGGAAAAGACCAGACAGCTGTCCTGTGGTTCCAAGTGAAACTGCACCATTACTTGATACTCAGAGCAGCTACTTGGAATTAAATTTTTCCAGTTCAGTGGCATCTCCCTCAGCAGCCTCTCATAGAACAACTTTCTGTAGGTCTGTGATAGAATGAGCAAACAAGTTGGTAAACTCAAGAATTATTCATGGAGCACAAAATGCCTTTTCTCCTTCCCTTCCTCCACCCAGAGGTATGTTAATACTTTAGAGAAAGGGTGGACTTATGCTTTTTAGATGACTGCCTCTCCCAAATAATTACTAGAATTGAGTCTCTTTAATGCTCTTATGAATGAATGCGATATAGAGTAAAGCAGTGCTGTTGTTTTTAAGAAAAAATAGCCAGCTTTCAAAACCAGCACATTGTGTTAGCACATGCATTTCAAGAGCTGACATGCTAGGTAGGATTCCAACTGTAGAATGGGACGTGGAACTCCTAGAAATGCTGACCTTAATGCACTACAGCTATGCAAGAGATCAGTCTCCAACATCTTGATAAAAGTGTAGTGTTGCTACACAATACCTAAACATACTTCAGTTCTGATGACACTTTATTGGCAGGAAATGAAAATGCTATAGAACTGAGCTTGACTTCTGTTCTTCTCACAGTACAGCCCGAATTATTTCAAGTGGGTTCACCAACATCTACTAAATCAATAGGAGAGTGTGCTGAAATTTATGTTCTGAACGTTAAGTTCAGGTGAACTGTTAGGATACATTGCTCAAGACTGACATGTAGATACTTTTTGGGTGATGCCATAAGTAGAGCTTTTGATGAAGCATTTTTACTGAGACTGTGTATTTTTATTTGCTCTATGAAAATGAAAGAATAAAACTCATCAGGTGATGAGCCCATTTAAAGGAAAATGAAAACTTAAGACACTAGTAAAGACTATTAGCTTTTTTTTCTGGAAAATGTCTTAGAGTGCAGCCCCTAGAAAAAAAAAAAAAAACCACAATATTTTCTGTTTTGTTTTCTTTCCTCTGCTCTGGTGAAATGAGTTTGAGAACTCGGTTGTTGTTTGTATTAGCATCTAAGGACTCAGGCTGGCCTTTCAGTCCCTCATCATCATAACGTGGCAGACAGGTGCTCTGCCTACCAGCCACTGCTGTTTCCAAAAAAGGTGTACCTTTTTTAGCCATTCCTAAAGCAGTGCCATGCAGTGCTGCCTCCGAGCACATCCATATGGCACAGCAGGAACTGGTTTGCAGAGCTCCTGCAGCAGCAGAAGAATCTGAAATGGAGGCATGGAGAAAATGCATTGAGGACAGCTGCAGCAGATGGAGCAGTGGGGCAGCACAGCAAGACAAGGAGGAAAGATTAAGCAACAGGGGTGAGGTGAATTGTGTGAAGGGAAAATAAGAAAATAATAGAATATTCTGAGGTGGAAGCGACCCAGGAGGACGATAAAGTCAAGTTCCTGGTTCCACACAGCACCACCCAAAATTCAAACCCAGTGTCTGAGTGCAGTGTCCAAATGCTCCTTTAACTCCCGCAGCTTGAGGCTGTGACCACTGCCCTGGGAATGAGAATGGGAGTTAGTCAAGTGCTGTGTGCACTCAGGATCCTGATTGTAGGTGAACCAGTTCCCTGATGTGACCCTTCTGGGATTTGCTGTGTTGCTGGGTGGGATAATTCAGCACTGGAATTTTTAGTTTTCCCTTTTATGTTTACTTGTTTATTCCAAATGCAAGCTGCTTTTTGAAAGCTAAGCTGCATGTCAGGTCTGTTGCATAAAGGGTTGTCAGCTGCTGCCTTTGGTCCCTTACTTTAATAAGGTGGGTCAATAAACGATGAGAAAAGTGTTTTTATTTGCTCCTTCAGTTTATGCTAATCTGTTGCTTAGGAACATAGAATAGCTCCACTCCTGCAAAAAAAATACCACACTCCATTAATCCCCTTCACAAAAAGGCAGATTCTGTCAACCCAGCACTGAAAAAGAGCATTCACACAGAGCAGATCTGGCACATTGCTTATCTCTGAAGCAGTTTTCTTATTAATTTAATAAAATTGTTTCTGCATACTCAGAATACAGAGTTGATCAGCTGCTGCTTTTGAGGCTTAATTCATAGAATTGTAGAACATCCTGAGTTGGAGAGGGCCTATAACGATCGTAACTCCAGCTCCTGGCTCCAACAGGACCAGCCAAAAATCAGACCATAAATTAACATAAAAGTGAAATGAAAGTGAAATTTTGGGAGGTATCTTGGAAGTCATGGGGGGGGGGAGAAGTATCGTGATCATTGCTGTGCTGCTCTTGGAAGGGAAGATCCATTCTTTTTGTTAACTCTTACCTTCAGGGGCCTTTTGTGATCAGTCTCATGATTTATCCTGAGTAGGAACATTGCAAGGAGTATTGAAACAATTTATCTTCATAGAAAAGTGATTTAATTGATTTTCTGTAAGCCAATAACATAGAAGAATGACACAAGGGAGCAGAAGAAATGATGAAATGTTGCATTGCTACAGAGATAAAACTAAACATTTTCTGCTGTGTAGACCAAGCCTGTTCCTATGAGAATGTTGTCATTGTTTCCTATGGAGTTCACTATGATTGGTCCCACACACTGCAGTTTAACCGACCATTCAGTCATCTTTTAAGTTTATCCCTACTGGCCTACTTAATGCTTTTGCTCCTCTTCTTTAGAGGACATAGAATCACAGAATCACCGAGGTTGTAAATGACCTCCAAGATCGTCCAATCCAACTGTCCACTTATCATCACTATTTCCCACTAAACCATGTACCTCAGTACAACACCTCTGGGATCGGTGACTTCCCCACATCTCTGGGCAGCCCGTTCCAGTACCTGACCATGCTCTTGGAGAAGTATTTCCTAACGTCCAACCTGAATCTCCCCTGGTGCAACTTGAGGCTGTTTCCTGTAGTCCTGTCACTGTTACATGGGAGAAGAGGCTGATCCCCACCTCACCACAACCTCACTTCATGTTGTTGTAGAGAATGATGAGGTCTCCCCTGAGCCTTCTCTTCTCCAGACTGAACAATCCCAGTTCCCTCAGCTGCTCTTTGTAGACTTGTGCTCCAGACCCCTCACAGCTTCATTGCCCTTCTCTGGGCATGCTCCAGGCCTCGGTGCCTTTCTTCTAATGAGGGGCCCAAAGCACAGCACTTGAGCTACAGCCCCACGAGGGCTGAGCACAGGGGGATGGTAACTTCCTGCTCCTGCTGACAACACTATTTCTGATACAAGCCAGGGATGTACTTATTTTTCCCTTCCTTAAATGCTGTACTTACAGAGAATGTAGAATTTCCCTCATTTTCATCAGTGTATCTTGCCCTAAAAAGCAGGGTAGGCTTTGATTTGCTTATTTTTCATTTACTTATTTAAGCTTATTAAAAAAACAACAACAACAAAAACACAAAAAAACCCTCTTTTAGATGCATGTTTAAATTCCTGAGTTGCAATGCAATTGTGATTTTCCATATCCCCACGCTAGGCTTAATTTAAGATTCTTCATTTAATTTGAAATTCAAAGATGCTTTTGCAAGCTTTGGAGAGAAGAGAGCCAGTGTCAGAGGAAGTGCTGTTTAAAGAGCAGACAGACTTCCTTTTTGTCTTATTTTGAGCCTGGGAACATGCACAAGCACTTGGATATGCAGTGCATCTATTTAAACACAAAATGAGAAATGCTTCCAGTGGTCTGCAAAAAGACAGAGAGCATTTCTTCCCAGCACCTGTTTTCAGTCAAGTTAAACGGTGTTCTCATCTATGAAGTCATAAAATATTCTAGAGCTTCTGTAATCCAGCAGTTTTTTTATAAATTGTTTAAACCTAACCTTAAGGATTTCGGAATTCGAGTAAAAAATACTTCTTTCACAAATTTCAATGCTTGAGATCTTCCTGGGTTATGTAGAACATGACCTTACCAAAACCAATTCCCTGAACACCCCCAGGCCCCTTTGCTTTTCTCAGCAGTATTCCCACAGTGCCCCTGGCACGTTGATGGGGTTCATGCTGGTTTTAAGAGCTTACATAGCTGTGGGTGCAGCTGTATTTTGCCTGCATCCCCTGACTGCCTGGGCTGCCTTCAGAGCTGCTGGTGCAGCTTCTCCTGTAGAGCTGCAGGGATTCATACTGTAGTTATAGCAGCAATAGGGTATGCTTTTCCAAAAAAATTTCATTGGTGTCACTTTTTTTTTTTTTTTTTAAATGCATTTGTGGATTTTATAACTTTCAGGCTGTTAAAAGTGTAATTCCGTGTTTTTAGTGCATTTGTGCTCATTAAAACTTCAGGTATGCTTGGGAATGATGGTTTAATGAAAAGTCATACTTCGGGAATTTCTTTTTTAAATAGTTATTTAAGATACTGGTGTCAAAAAATGGTGATACAGATGAATCCCCGTGGTCTGACTTGCACACTATGTAAAACCATGACAAAAATGGCATCATTTTGAAGTAAAGGTCCAGAAGGGTTATCATGTCTACAACGATTCCTTGTTGCAGTCCTTCCTGTCAGGAAAGCCTGAGCTTGGTTGCCGTGTCTGCTTTTCTTACCCCAGTGATCAAGACAGAATCTCTCTCTGTGGCATTGCCTGTTCACTTGTCAGATCTCTTTTGTGCCATGCTATCAGCTAAAACTTTTATTTGTTTTTCAGGGTGGTTTTCCTTCTAGAGCATGCTATGAGCATAAGGTGCAGTAGATGCAGTTGAGAGCATCACCTGCTTTGTCCTGGGTAAGGATTTACATTTGCTCTAAGGAGCTGCTGGCAGAAACCACCTGGAAATTGTCACCATGTCCAGACCATTACCTGCTGCTGTTCCCCTCTTCTAAGCAATAGGGCTACTTACTGCTCTGATGGTTCTGTGCAGATAAATCCAGAAAGATTTCTGGATTTTCAGGACTTTGAGTGAGTGATGGAAAAGAAAATAAGTAGAGATTAGCAAGCCCAGTTACGAGGTTGAACTTCTTACACTGAGAATCAAAGTTTTTTTCAAGTTCAGCTGAACAGATCCTTGAGGCCATTAGAGGTTGTTTCTGTGGAAGTCTTGGTTCTGGAAGAAGAAGTGAAAGAGGAAATGCTTGGTGATTTCTGTACTTACAAGGAGGTCTCAAGAAACATACATTTACCTAAATTCACTTACATCTGCAGGATTTTGTGTGCTGTTTCTTGAACACGCTTAAGAACTATCTCCTAACATCTAACATCATTTTCCTGTTTTAGGTAATTATAGACTGTGAATGAGTTGTCTTCTGATTTCTTCTTTGATAAATAATTTGACCTGCGTAACTGTCACTAGAAGATATCTTAAAAACTTGTGTTTTTAAGTGTTTTTTTTCTGTTTTTTCCTCATTTAAAAAAAAAAAATCCTTCATTCCCTTGGATGTTGGAGATTTAAAAAAAAAAAAAAAGGGTGCTCTTGAGAGTGGAATAGTATTAACAGCAGTCCTCTTTTTCGTAGACTCATAGAATCGTTCAGGTTGGAAAAGACCTCTAAGATCGTCTAGTCCAGCCATATCCACCATGCCCACTCCCAGCAAGGTCTCCTTGCTGGAAGAGCTACATCCTTGCCCCAAGAATGAGAGGAAAAAACCTTAATTTCTGTAGAGGAACCAGCCCAGAAACATCATTCTTCCACCAAAGGAAGGGCATTTTGGAGATACGTTTCTGTTCTGAAATGGAATCGTAGAATTATAACATTTAAAATAGATTGGCAGATCTTTTGTTTGAATATGTTTCAGTAGTAAGCCAGCTCTGAAGTTAGATCAAGATGTAAATAATGCTACAGGAACTTCAGGGTCTGGTGCCTTTCTTTTGTTTTTCACCTGGACAAAATGTCATGGAGATGGCACAGTAAGCTTCTCTGCACTGCAAACTGTTCTGAGCAGGTCAGGGCCATCTGGTGCTTATCTCCTCCACAAATGAAGAGAAAGAAGAATATCTTAATTCAAGCTAGTCAGTGGTGTTGCCCTAAAAAAAAAAAAAAAAAAGAAGAAAAACCACCCCATGATTGATACGTCTGACCCTTGGGAGCAGTGGGAAAGATGCTTGTCTGTGCAGAAGACAGGGATTTCTTGTCTGCTGGCTTTGCAGTCTGGAAAGAGTCTGGGAATCAGCACAGACACTGCTTTCTCCTGCTTGGGAAGATGGGTGTGCTCATCAAACACTAAAACTTAGCTAACCAACATGCAGATGTGTGCGATTCTCCTGGAGGGAGGATGTAAGATAATGAATGGCTTTTAATTAAGTTGTGTATGTCCAAGAAAGCATGTTCCTGGAATGCATTTTGACTTCAGTGCCGTAATGATGGGTTGTGATGCAAAGACAGCAGAAAAAGAAAAAAAAAAAAAAAAAAAAAAGGATTGTTTTGAAGTAATTCATATGTATCTTCTGCTTGCTTCTGCTTGAGCAAATCAGTCCTGGAAAATCTCAGGTGGGTGCTCAGCTGAAAATACAGCATCACAGGACTGTAGTAAGAAAGTAAACCTTGCTGCATGAGTAAATTTACCAGTATATCTATAATTATCAGTAACTACAGTGTTTTTATCTCTTCTAATTTAGGTGAACTCTTAATCAGACAGTGGTTTGTGATTTTTTTAAAGGAGGTCTTTGAAGTTTCTTATGTTCTCTGCCAGGAGGGAGTATGTTGAAATACTAGTGCTGCTGCCCAGTAGTTTCACCTATAAGAACTCATACTGATCAGTCTCAAGGAGGCAAAACTGTTCAGTTTTGTGTCTTGGAAATTTTAGTTTCCTTAAATGATTTTTCATGATACTTAAGGGGGGAACAGAAAAGGAACCTTGAAGAAAATCTTTCCCACCAACATCGCAGAGCTCCAGCTGTCCTTCCTCTGCTGCTCTCAACATATGCACGTGTCAAAGCTGGGCAGAAGGGAGTTTCTTCTTTCATGTCTTGCTAGACAACAGGATAGGAAAAACGGAGGACATGCGTGCCAAAATGATGGCTTAGCCAGCCAAACACCAACTGTGTGGATGGCAGTTACCAAGGGAGTCTGTCAGCAACCTTAGAACAAGAGGGCTTTTGTAACAGTCTGCACCCATTTGCTTACATTCTCCCAATTCACAAAATGCTGTTCTATCTTTGTGAAATCATGCCGAAGGGCTTGGAAAAAATGTACTCTCCTGTGTTTCTTCTCACAGGGTGAGGGGCAGCAGGAAGTCTTTCTTTTGTAGCCCTGTGCATCCATTCTGCTGAGGGGAGTTTCTTAGGCTGGTGCTGTTAAACAGACAGCAGTGTAAGTGAGTGGGAGTTTGAGTTTTGCTTGTCCTTTGGTTCATATTTTCTAACTATATTTTAGTGTCGGTATCTATGGCTTTTCTTCCACACTGGGGATCTGGGCTGTGTTTGAGGAGGGGGAGGAGGATCACAGCATGGCTGAGGCTGGCAGAGCTCTCAGGCCCACTTGCTCCAGCCCCTGCTCCCACAGGGCTACCCAGGGCAGTGTGCCCAGGGCCACATCCAGGCAACTGTTGGAGATCCACAAGGAGGAGACCCAACAGCTTCTGGGCAACCTGTGCTACTGCTCCATCACCTGCACAGCACAGAAGTGCTCGTGGTGCTCAGAGGGAGCTCCTGTGTGCCAGTTTGTGCCCATGGCCTCCTGTCCTGGCACTGGACACCATTGACAGGAAGCTGGACCTGACCTCTGTGCATCCTTTCTTCGGGTGTTTAAGGGCATTGATGAGATCTCTCTGAGCTTCCTCTTCTCCGGGTTGAATGGTCTCAGCTCCCTCTTTCCTCACAGGAGAGGTGCTCCTGTCCCTTCAGCATGGCCCACTGTTGGACTCTTTGCAATATATCTATGTTTCTCTTGTATCACAGAGTCCAGAAACGTTGCTCTAGCTGTGGCCGTGGTGCTCCAGGTGTAGCCTCACTGGTGCTGGTGAGGGGAGACGTAGCCATTTCTATTCCATTAAATGACAACTCCCTTTTGCCTGGATAACTGCAGTAGTTTTCAGCATATACTAGGCAACCATTTTTTCACTGGGTTTTGAAGTAGGGATGGAGCAGTGTTTTGTGGTCATTTGCCTGTCTATTGTGGCAGCATGGGGTGGCTGTGCATGCATCTGTCCCATGGGTGTGAGGCCCAGTGGAGCTGTGTGAGTGGGAGTTTGTTTTGGTCATGAGCCTACAGGGAGGAGAAGTTTCAAGTTGGAAGAAGCCTCTCAGTTAAACTATCCCAGGTAAAGCATGTTGGTTTTTATTTTAGCTGAAGCTTGACCTATAGATACTCAGAACAAAAATATTAAAATACTGTTTGCTTGTGGTGCTCTAACTTCTTAGCAACTCTCTCATTTTCCTCCAGGCTAAAACTGTTGACAGTTCAACTTCCCTGTGGGACTTATACCCAGATATGGAATTCTTTTGGCATTTGTTTATTTATTGAAGGGAAGATGCCATGGCCTTTGCCTGCCCGTCATTTAAGAATAACCGCAGTAGCTGTGAAGGAGCTGCGCTGAGTGTGGGCAGCTCTGTCAGCAAGCACTCTTGTCAGTCCTGTCCTTCGTCATTTTTCAACAGGGATTGCAAGTTGCACAACATGTACACTGCTTATTTATTTATTTTAATGAAAACTAACCTGCTCTGGCTCGAAGCTAAGCTGGAGCCATGGTTTCAAGAAGCAAAAGGCCTGCAGACCTGTCTGACGGTAGTTGTTAGAAATTGTTGGTGAGCTCTCTCTGTATGTGGTTTGTTGGTTTTGCAGCGACAGCTCGGCGTGCTGGTTGGTCTCTGAGGGCAGGTGGCGTATCAGTTCTGAGTGTTTCCTTCCCTTTGCTTTGGTTTTTGCTTTCACTCTGTTGTCTTTGGTGGTTTCTTCATTTATTTATTTTTAACTTCAGATTGATGTTACACAGCCTCGTGGTTACATCTGAGGGCAGTCCTTTTTTCCTGTGAATTTGATGTCAGTGTTTGCTCTGTTTCTGGTGCAGCAGGGAGGAGGAGAAGTATTTCTGAAGTCAAAAAGTAAGGAGGAGGTTGTTATTCCTAATATTCATTTTAAACTTGCATACTGAAACCAAGTGGGTATTGGTTTGACTGTGTCCCCTTCCATTATAGTGTCTAGGATATGTCCTCATCAAAGGGAAACTGTTTCCCACAGTAGTAATGGTTCCCTGCTCTTTGTGGTATTTGTTTTCTGTTTATATAGTTAAATATATATATATATATATAAAACAACTACAGGTACGTGTATGTAGACATACATATATGTATGTATCTTTTTAACTACAGGTGCAAAATGACTGCTCAAGTAACACTGGAGGATGCCTTATCCAATGTGGATCTCTTGGAAGAATTACCATTGCCAGATCAGCAACCGTGTATTGAACCTCCGCCATCATCTCTGCTTTACCAGGTCTGCTGTCATTTTAGAAAAAAATATTGCAGTTCTTTTGCAAGAATATGTTCTCTCACAAGACAAACAAACAAAACAACAATAACAAAAGCGTTCACATTCATGATATATAAAAATTATTTTCCTTACCAAGAATTTTATTCAATATTTTGCTTTCTCTGCAGCCAAACTTCAACACTAACTTTGAGGACAGAAATGCATTTGTCACTGGCATTGCTAGATACATTGAGCAAGCTACAGTCCACTCTAGCATGGTAAGGAGGTGTTCAGGTACATACTTCTCTGCTACCTAGAATAAAAGGAGAATGATGTATCGTTTTGCATTTCATTGAAAGAATTGTGGTAACAGAAAAGAAGTTGCCTGTAATGTTTCCAGGAGGCAGTAACACAAAAGTATGTGGCATTTCTTTTCCTGCATGTAATTGCTGGCAGTTTTAAAGTTGTCCTTTTTCTTGATCAACCAGTATTGTTGAAAAGTTTATTGCTTTCACTGTGCATTTTTTTCAGTATTTGGAGATGGGTTTTGTTGACAACTTTCTGCTGTAACTTGAATAAAAAATTACTTTTAATTCTCCCAAATTTCCAGTGCTTCTCTGTCAGTGGTAGTAAGGGGTTTTTTCGGCTTCCTCACTGTATAATGTAGACATTAGTTGTTTATTGGCATGCTTTTGTGTAAGGTCTTTTGTGGTTTTTAACAGTTGTACAATAGAAGATGAGACTTCTTACTCATAACTATCTCTGCTGGTGTTATTACTGTTTTGGGATACAAAGGAACTTGCAGGTTGCAAACACTGTTCCATTCTGAACTTTTAGTTGTTTCATGCATTTTTGAAAAATGAGGATTAATACATCTTGTCATTCTAAAAGCCATTTCACAAACTGCATATGTTACATGCAACTGAAAATTACCTCAATTTACATCAGTCTGCATTTAAAATTATCTGGCAAGTTCTTAACTTGTTTTGATTACCTACAGTCCCTAGGTGATAAGAATTTTCTCAGAATTAGATTGAATGTTAAAACATGACTGTGAGTAGATAGAATATTTTAGCTGTTGCCCAAGCTGGGCATCTGTAACTGATCAACTGTTACGCTTTTTTAATGGTAGAAACAGCACTGATGCATACAGTATGCCAGCTTGCACATGTGTTATGGTAATGCTATTTTACATACACGCAGTAAGATGTATCATTTAGCTTGCAATACATGTTTGCACATATACTTTCGGATAAGAAAAATACTTTTCTTTGGAATGATGGCAGAAAAATGAATTTAACTCCTTTATTTTACAATGCTTTATTATTACCAAGTGTCTCTCTTGCAGAATGAAATGTTAGAAGAGGGCCAGGAATATGCTGTCATGCTGTATACATGGAGGAGCTGCTCAAGGGCCATTCCCCAGGTAAAGGGTCAAAAGTAAACTGTCATGCAGCGTGTGGACTTCCGTCTTGTTTTGTTTACAGATTTAGTAATGAGTTCTGAAATTAAGTTTGCTTTGATCCCTGAATTAGCAAGCTGTGCATGCCATAGAATAGTGTCTTAACACTTGGGAACTAGTTGGATGTCTTTTTTTTTTTCCCAGATATTTAAATTCAGAGCAGGTTTAACAGGTGATATGGCATGTAATAATTAGTATTTGTGTTAAACATTCTAGGTTTTTAGATGGTCATTCTCTTCTTGTCAGAGCTACGCAGTGTTTTCTTGATCTGTGTACAAAAATGAAATCCTGTAATACATGTCTGGGAATGGTGATGGGATGGGAAGAATGTTAAGATGCATTAGGAAACCAACCAAAAGTAAAATCATGAATTGGCAATAGTTTGCAAATATTTTTATGCTAAAGTGCAAAGAATAGAGAAAATAGAGAAGAAATCTCAATTTATATTTTTAAATTCATAATGAATCTTAGAAGAATGGCATAGATTTACTAAAGCCAGCAATAGATGCCTTAAATTTGTATCGTCAAGATGACAACAATAGATTTACCAGCTTGTCATTTGGGATCTTAGTTTCTGAGGGAAATTTTTTATCAGGGGAAGCTGTAAATGTAACGATATCTCTAATTGTCTTCAGGTTAAGTGCAATGAGCAGCCTAACAGAGTAGAAATATATGAGAAAACTGTGGAAGTGCTGGAGCCAGAAGTCACAAAGCTGATGAATTTTATGTATTTCCAGGTAAATTGAATAGAAAATTTGTTAGCAAGCTTATATTCTTTTCTGTATGCTTAATATTATATGCTCAATTACTAAACCTAATTGTTATACTCTGGGGGGGAAAAGGGACTCTCAGAAGGGCAGCATTTCTAATGCCTGTCTTAACAATTTCAGCAGTTTAAAAGAATGAGAGAATTGCAGGGGTTGGAAGGGACCTCTAGAGATTGTTGAATCCTACTCCTTGCTAAAGCAGTTGCCCACAGCAGGTCTCAGAGGGAGGCAGCCAGGTGGTTCTTGAGTATCTCCAGAAAAGGAGACTCCACAATCTCTCTGTGCAGCATCTTACAGTGCTCCACCACTCTTACTGTAAATAAGTTCTTCCTTGTGTTTGTATGGAATTTCCTGTGTTCCACTTTCTGCCCATTGCCTCTTGTTCTATTGCTGCACACCACCGAAAAGAGATTCCTCCATTAAGACCCTGAGGATAAAATAGAAGGTAATTGCATGTGGTCCCTGACATTGTGGAAGGAAAGGAAATAGAAATACAACACATTTCATGTGTATACATAAGGCCATCAAGGCACAGAGACCATTTGTTGGGTGGTTGAGGGTTCTACAAGCCTCGACGTTGTAGCACCCTGTGCAACTTTGCTGCAGAAATTCATACTTGAGGCAACCTAACACAGTTTTTTCTGACCTGCCAGCCACCCAAACTAGATATGGACTGCTCTCTCCTCCTGTGCAAGCAGCTTGTCACTTTATTCAATGGATGGAGGATGTTTCTTGGCATTTTTCTGAGGAAGCCAGAGCAACTAGAGCTTGCAAACCATGGAGCACACAGAATGAATGCAATGTAGCATTTTCTGTCATCTTCGTAAACTCATGGATCTTACTGACTACAAAAATCTCCTTTCTTTTGAGGTTATTGCCCTAAACTCAGAACAGATTCCTCTTTGTATCTGAAGTTTCTATTTGTACTTGTAATCTCAGATGGCTCTGGTGCACACTTGGAAATAAGCCCTCAAATAACCATCTGCAAGCTTGGTTTTGCAAAATGGCATGTGCTAGCATTAATCACTATTCTGATATAAAATCACTTGCTTCAAAGGGATTATTTTTTCTGGCTTCAGATTGCAAATCATATTTCCAATTGTGCCAGGCAGGCTCTGTGACTAAAATTCTTTATAACACTTGTAGTACATGGAGGTGAAGCTGGAAAGGCTGTGCTTGTGTGTTCTTGGCCTCACATGCCTTAAATGCTTTTCTATTTCGATGGTACTTTTCATTAGCTCTTGCAGATGCACCAAAGTGGACTGTTGTGACAGTGGAAGAGCTCACTTAGAGGGGAAGACAGACAGGGGTCAGACGTCCAGTTGTGTGTAACAAATCTTTCTTGGAAACATCATGGCTTTTACTCCCTGACTGGTCTTTTTTGTTTTCTGTTAGAGAAATGCAATTGAACGGTTTTGTGGGGAGGTGAGACGCTTGTGCCATGCAGAGAGGAGAAAAGACTTTGTCTCTGAAGCATATCTGATCACACTGGGCAAATTTATCAACATGTTTGCAGTACTGGATGAGCTGAAAAATATGAAGTGCAGTGTGAAGAATGACCATTCAGCCTACAAGAGGTAAGCTGTTAAGGACAGGATCAGGATTTATGCTGTGGGGAGACAGAACTCCCACAAGATGGCAGCAGTAGCTCCTTTTTGGGCAGCTTTTTCTGCAATTACAGCAGCTAAACTGTTGACTAAATTGACTTTCTTTATGCTGCTCTTCCAGCAACTAAAGATTCTTCTGTCTTTTAAGGCAAAACAGGCAAGTACTTCTATCTTGGTGTTCACTAAATGTATTGGATATGCATTGCTCAGTACTGCTTTTCTTTTCAAATTTCAGAAAGCTGACTTTTTGTTCTATTCCAGCTTTTGGCATCCAGTTTTGATGCTTGTAAATCAAAGTTGTTCTTATGATATTTCAGCCTTGCTCTTAAGAGGTTGTCAATAAAAGGGTAGGTTTGGCTAATATGTTTTTGTGAAGCTGTGGCAAGAAGGCATTGGCCGTATGTGTCAAATTCTCTTTCTGCTTGATTCAGGAGATGGGAGATACACTAAGATCAACAACCTTGTGCAAGCAACAAATGGCGTTGCCATTGTACTGACTGTACTGACAGTTACAGGTCTGCTGATGTCTTAGAGTTCTGTTGACTACCTGGTAGATGCAGAGACAAGAGTGTTTCTGTTGAGTGGGGATGAATTTGTGTACAAGCAGTGCCACTGAAGTGAAATATGGTTATTGTTTTCTTTTTTTCTTTTTGCAAAGAGCTGCTCAGTTCCTACGGAAAATGGCAGATCCTCAGTCCATTCAAGAGTCCCAGAATCTCTCCATGTTCCTTGCTAACCACAACAAGATAACACAAGTAAGCTTTAATTGTCTTTTGCCAAAATACTGAATGCTGTATAAAACCTTTAAAAGAAAACCCTTTCACTTTGGTAGTAGCTGCTGATCCTGTGCAACTGTAACTTCTTGACTCATGTCCTTTTCTTCTTTTTTTTCAGTCATTACAACAGCAGTTGGAGGTGATTGTTGGCTATGAAGAACTGCTTGCAGATATTGTGAATTTGTGTGTGGACTACTATGAAAACAAAATGTATCTAACCCCCAGCGAGAAACACATGCTTTTGAAAGTAAGTTTCTTTTCAGTACAAACTGAAAGAAAGGTTTAAGCAGAACAAAGATGTTTGCATTCTTGTTGGATTTTTGTTTCCTTTTGCTAGAACCACATGAACCAAGTAACTCAAATGTTGCCCTTTGTTTTTATTCTTCAGTGTCTTTGTCTTTCTTTTTTTTTTTCTTTTATTTTAAACACTAAATCTGTTAAGAAAACTTCTAATCCATTTTTGTTCTTCATAAATTGAAGTTAGTCTAACTGAACTGCAGCCTTGTTAGGAAACTGATTCTATGGAACGGTATCTCTGTGAAGTATAGCAACAACAGAAAGGAACTAGGAAATTTTAGTTCTAAATAGGTGGCAAATTTGTGCAAAAGGCTTCTGGAGGTGATGCTGTGTATCAGAGCTTTGAGGAAACAAGTAACTTAAAAATTAGGGTTAGTAAGCAGAAAAAATGAGCTGGTATAAGTACATCTAATAAAAGAGTGCTGGGTAATGTGAAGTTGGTTGATATTATCTACTGTGTGTCTTGCAGTGAAAGAAAAGATATGGAGAAAACGCTGAATGTTTGTCTCATGACAAATATTTTCAGCATGTTTTTACCCCTGAAGTCCTTTTGCAGAGAGGTTTGTTTTTTTTTTTTTCCAGGTTATGGGCTTTGGATTGTACCTGATGGATGGAAGTGTCAGTAACATCTACAAGCTGGATGCAAAAAAGAGGATAAATTTAGCCAAGATTGACAAATTCTTCAAGGTTGGTTAAGAGAATCATTTCCTAATATGTAAAGTAGAAGGCAATTCCCCATGCATTTTAAATATACACCCAGACTAATATAATCAAATAAAACAAAGATCACTTTGAACTATCATGGGGTAAATAGCAGTTTCCTTTCATAAGGTGCATATTTCATCATTTATCTAATGTGTTTTATTCCCTGTGTACAGCAGCTGCAGGTTGTCCCGCTCTTTGGTGATATGCAGATTGAACTTGCAAGATACATCAAGACAAGTGCCCATTATGAGGAAAACAAATCCAGGTAGGTAGGACGAGGATACAGAGAGGGGAGTATGTGGGCTGGGGAAGGTCAGACCCATAAAGTATAATTTTATAATCACCTGATAATCTGTGGTAATTATTTTAATAGGATTTTCACCTTGGTCTGTTTTTTGGTGTGAGAATTTCACTATTAATGTACTTCAATGTACTGCATTGGAAAGGACAGGTTATTTAAAAATCTTTCTGTGTGCTGAGCTATTTCTTGCATCAGTGGCATTGCTTTTCACCTGGGTTGGAGGATGTAAAATTTATCTTACACTAATGTAATTTTTATTTTTTCCTTTAAATATGAAACTTTCTTTAAAAGAAATGAAGGATTATACTAAGCAAGGTGAGCAGTAGTGCATGTGTATATTGTACATGGAGCAGAAACTTAGCTTGTGTCCTTCTTCTTTTTGTTTTGGTAGGAGTACAGCACAGCAAAATGGCTGGAAAATGCAGCTGTTTTATATAAATTGTTTGATGGTTTATGGTTATTGCTTTATTTTAGCAAACGTTCCTGTGCTCCTCTGAGACCTTCCCTCCATGCGGTTATGTGAATTTAGAATGTAGTGCTTTGCATTTTAATTCCTGCAGAAAAAAATGTGTATCTTGCATGTAATTGCTAAGTGAAGATCATTAGTAGCGAGCCTACTGAGCTACTAAAAGTATGAGGCTGTTTAACACAATATTTGGTAGCATGTAGTTTGTGTCTCTCTTGATAACATGTTAATAGTATTTAATAATAACTATTTTTATGTTTGGAGCATACTATAAGCTCTTCTTAGTTAAACATGAATGAAGAAAAACAAGCTGAAAGTAGCTAAACATCTTATGGCCTATACTTGTCCCTCTGCCCTGGCTTTCAGTCCTTTCTGGTCCGTCCCTAAGTGTGTGCTTTTGAAGAGAGATGGCAGTTTGTATTTCACAGCAGCAGCAAAGTGAAAGAGGAGAGGAAAGGCTTCATGTGGATGAGAAGGAAGATTTAAGGAAAAAAATGAGTCACACATTTTTGTTCTTTCTTTTTTAGTATCAGCCGTACTCTTTATTGCATCAACTGATTGAAGATTTTTTTTGTCTTCTGCAACAGATGGACGTGCACGTCTTCCAGCAGCAGTCCCCAGTACAATATATGTGAGCAGATGATCCAAATCAGAGAAGACCATATGCGTTTCATATCAGAACTGGCTCGCTACAGCAACAGTGAGGTGTGGGAGATTAGAGCTATTTGCGCAGATTTTGCATCACTGGCTAGCAGTTATTGTAAAACATCTAAAAAGTAGGCAAATCTCAGACTGGGTAAAGGATAGAGCTCAAAGACCTGACTCAGGAAAAGCTGGCTGCAAGGCTGGTGCCCGTTCTGTGCATGATATTAATGCTATTTAAATTTTAAATCTTAAACTCTGATACATCATACAAACTGCAGACGTCTTCTGTTTATCTACGTATCCCAGAAATTTTTGGCATGTCTCTTTGGGAGTAGGTTGTCTAACCTTTACTCCAAATGTGTGCTCGTAACACTTTGAGTGAAGCTATAATTTAAGAGAGGAGTTGAAAACTAAAATCAAGTGCACATGCGTATATAATATATAATCAGTGTCTTGAGTTTATCTACAATGATGTTTTGGTGATACGGAGTCCTTGTGGTTTCTATCTCTTGACCAAAATCTGTGAAATGTAATGAGATAATTCTTTAGAAGAAAAAACTGATATTGATCTTTTGTACCCAAATCTTGACAAGTGATGCTGTGTAATGCTTAAAAAAATATTGAGAAATGTGACTCTAAATGTTGTACGCAAGTTGTTTTAATTTTATTTTGTTTCCTTGTTTAAAAACATCGTAGGTGGTGACTGGTTCTGGCCGACAGGAAGCTCAAAAAACAGATGCAGAGTATCGGAAGCTCTTTGATCTTTCTCTCCAAGGCTTGCAGCTTCTCTCCCAGTGGAGTGCACATGTCATGGAAGTGGTATGTTTTCTGACGATGGAAAGCAGATGAAAATGAGGTTGGACAGGCTTTGCTTCAACAAAACAAAAAAATGCATATTATGTACTGTTCCCTTAATTCTCTTCTCTTTTCCTGCACTCCTCCTGATTCAGACTGTTCCCAGAGGATAGCGGCACCTCAGCTCTCAAAGTCTAGGAGTAATGTTACTGCTTTAAATATCCAGTAGCATGTGTCTTCTCATACACATTTAACTTCTTACATTTAATGTATAGGTGTTCACCTGTGACCCTTGACCAGATGCTTTTATGTTGCTCTTGGTACATGTTTGGTAGACTAAGACTTCATTTATTTTTCCATATATGTCGTTTATTACCTACATGCAGTCACATAGGAAGTCTGTGTGTTCAGATGGCTGCAGTTAGATGTTGTCACTTAGTAAACTGAAGTGTGGGAGGTCTTAACTGTACGCAAAGAAAAGATGGAAGGGCTTCCATTAGCCAATGGGAGAAAACATAAGGAAGACTTTTCATTGGTAAATGTAGATAATATGAAATTTGAGAAGAGATAAGAGAGAGGAAATAACCTGCAGAGTGGTTTGTATCTTAATAACTTACTTTAAAAACAGATGCTAGTTAGAAAAGTAGTCATTTATATATTTTTTTTCAATGAGAAACTGGTTAATGCAGAAACTGAAGAGGAGACTGTGGGAATGCTTCATATATTCCAGACTCTTAGATAAAAGCTGTGTGTCTTACCTACAGCAAAGCACAACCTAGAAGGGGTTGGAACAGGTGATACATTGTATGAGAGAAGACAGATTTGATCCTGCTTTGTTATACCTCTGTAGAAATCTCTCATTTTACCTTTATACTCCCAGTTCCAGAACAAACCATAGCAGTTTTTTTTGTTGAGGCTTACTTTTGTAGGTTTTTTGGTTTGTTTTTTTTTTGTTTTGTTTTGTTTTACCTCTTACCACTGCCAATTTTAGGTCCATGCTTTTCTTTGTCTTTTTGATTTGTATGGATTCCCTTAAGTGCTTGTCGCGTAAGTTCTTCTGCCCTCCCAGTGAGATTTTCTTCTGGCATGGAATATCTCACTTATTGATCTGTTTTCTGAATTCACTCAATATCCATTAAACTTGTACATACATCATGCTCTGTTTCGGTATTTATGCAGATTTTGAGAATAGCACCAGTATTTTTCAGATGTTCTTCAAGAATCAAAGTATTTTATAAGCGTATTATTTGTGTTCAGATATGTTTTGTTTATCAGGCCTTTTTTGTTTCCATCCTTCTTCTCCCTGTTCCATTTCGTTAACTGCAGTATTCATGGAAGCTGGTACACCCAACTGACAAATACTCTAATAAAGATTGTCCTGATAATGCAGAGGAGTATGAAAGAGCAACAAGATACAATTATACTAGTGAGGAGAAGTTTGCTTTGGTTGAGGTAAGAAATTTTTCTTTTTCTTTTTAGACAGGGATTTCCCAAAGATAAATTCCATACAGAAGAGACAACATCCTCTGAAAGCATTTTCTATGCCTTTGTTGACTCTGAAAGTGCATGTGTTCCTTTATTCAAAACACAGAAGGGGTACACGAAAGCTAGTCTCTTCAGACTGACTTTCTCCTTTACCTATTTGAACTTGTTAATCCCTCTACTTTCATTTTCTATATTGAAAAAAAAACTTTTTGATCAAATACACAAACAAGATTAAAAAAAAAAACAACCTTTTTTTTTTTGTTCCCCAGGTGATTGCCATGATCAAAGGTCTTCAGGTGCTGATGGGAAGGATGGAAAGTGTTTTTAATCATGCCATTCGCCATACCATTTATGCAGCTCTTCAGGACTTTGCCCAGGTCACTCTTAGAGAGCCACTAAGACAAGCGATTAAAAAAAAGAAAAATGTCATTCAGAGGTAATGTTCTTCTTCTCATCTCCCTGTATTCTTTTCTCCAACTCTTATTAAAATTGCACAGTTGATAAATTTTGCCTCTTGAATCCATGCTCCCTTTGTAGTCTGTATGGTATTCAGAGCTTGTCTGATTGTATGCTGGGACTCAGAGTGGATGACTGCCAGTATGGCTAAGGTAGGAGTCCAGGTTGTCTTAGCACTACCTCAGGATTTCTTCTAACAGGATTGTAGTTTATTTCTATCCTAAGAAAAGATAAGTACTGTAATATTTAAAGAATGACTAGTACTTTTATTTTGAATAAAATTGTTGCTGTCCACCTTCCTTATGATTCAGGTGTTTCCTTGTGTCTGATATTTACATCCCATAGTCTTTTCTCTGCCCTCTTGGCATCTTGCCTTGTTTCTTCACTTCTTCTGCTTCTACCTTATTAGCCTTCCACTTCTTTTCCACATGCTCTGTCCCACACTGATTGCTATGCTTTTCACTTTATTTTTGTGTCCCCAGTTGTTTGATTTTAAGCTTAACTTCTTTATCAGCTGTTTACTCCCAGTTTAGTTAAAGTATAACATTTGTATAAAATCCATCTGAATTTAGGAGTTCTGCAGGAAACAGGAAGTATCTTCTTCCTTTTCAATTCAAACTCAAATTGTCTTGTTTTAGTGTGGTTTTATTTGATTAACTTGCCTGCATTTCATGGTGCACGAGTACAAAATGGCTTGATGCACTCACTAAGGATCACAAAGGCAAATTCTTGACAATTGGGTTTTGAACCAGTTTCATAGGTCAACTTTCTTCTGACAAAGGAGGAGTGCTCTGGACCATCATTTTTGAGGGAACAGCGTATAATTATTATCACGTGGATCTGGCCATCTTGAAGTTGTTGGCAAAGTTGTTTGTGGTTCCTCTGAGTAACCCTGAGCTCCAGAGCACCGTTGCAGAGTTTCTGTGCGCTTGGATGCGTACAAGTCTGAAGCTGTGTGAATTCTGTTCAGTGTTTTGCAGGCCATCAGAAAGACGGTCTGTGACTGGGAAGCAGGTCATGAACCATTCAATGACCCAGCTCTAAGGGGAGAAAAAGACCCCAAAAGTGGCTTTGATATCAAAGTCCCAAGGCGTGCGGTGGGTCCCTCCAGTACTCAGGTACGTTCCCGTCTAATGGTTGTGATACTTGCCTGTGATTACTGCACGTCATATTTTCTCCCTGGCTACTTCAAACTACTTCAAAGTGCAGGTTCGTTTTGGAATGTTCAAAATCTACTTTGATTAGATTTATATTTACAAAATTACGTATATTTAACCAAATCATTTCTCTGGGTTGCTGTCACTTGCTATTCGGATGTGTGATTTTCCAAGTGTTCCATCTCTGTAATTTGATTCACTTCAAAGAAATATTTTCTCCTTGAGCTCCTAATATTTTAATACAATATTCTGGAATGATTTGATTATTTCTTAACTGTTTCCATTTTAGATTCTCTCTCATGTGGCTGGTAGTTTTTTTCTTTTAGTTAAATCTCATAAATTACACTGTTTTAAATTATAGTTTTAAATTATATTTAGAATTTAAATATAAAGCATGGGAGAGTATTTGAATCTCAACAAGATCCCTCATCTTGTTCAGTAATTAATAAAGAAGCTGCTCCCTAAAATCTGTATAATATTGTGCTACTATTAATAGTATTTCAAGTGCATTTTCTGTGGCAGTCATCAAAATCCCATACGTAGACGTTGGTTTTGTTTTCTCTGTGTAATTTCCTGTTTTATTTTATTTGTAAATTTGTTTTGGAGAGTGTGTGGCCTGGGTATTCATAGTCCAATTGAGAAAATGAGGTACTGAGCACTTTGGGTGAAAAACTGAAGGCCACCATTGTTTGTAAATCAAATATTCTTATATACATCAGTGGGGAAGAGAACCCATGTGGATAACAGTCTTGGGTAGTAAAAGATTGCCTAAGTTTTACTAGGATGATTCTAATGAAGGTTTTGTTTTGATTTCTAATTTTCTGAGGGAAATACAATCAACTTAAAAAAAAAAAAATAATATATATATATATATATATTCATCAGTGTGTTTCTTTATGCTTGGTGTGTCTGAGAGCTTTCTTTCAGTGGCAGCTACGGGCTCATTAGAGCACACAGTTCTGTTGTCATTTTTGCTCTTGGGGTGGCACACTTGTTTGTCTCTGCTGAGGGGAGGAGGTCAAACCTATCCGCTCTAGGTACTTCTCTCTCAATCTCCTGCAGTTCTAAAATGGCTATTTATGAATTGGATATGCTTGGAAATCTGTGTGAAATACTCTGAGAAGCCAACAGCTGTCGGCCTGGCTCCACGTCTGCTGAGGTGAATGGTGATTTTTCCATTCGCCCCAGGGAGCACTGGATGGCAACGATTATTCTGAAGGAAAACCTTTCTGTTTTAGAAGTGTATTATTTTCCCTTTGCATGCTTACTGTGCTGCTTTTCATTTTTAACAAACTAACACAATTTCTCTGCTTCTGTTTTCCCTTCCTTATTTACCTGTGTGTTTTTATTAACGGATTCTCTCTCCCCTGCCTGCCCCTGTCTGTTGGTTTTTAGCTCTACATGGTTCGCACTATGACAGAGTCCTTAAACTCTGCTGAGCTGTTGAAGCAGCTCAAGGCTCTGGGACTGGAAAAGCTATTGCAAATGACACACAAGTTTCTGAGGCAGTCCTACATCTATCCGCCTCTGTTAAACTTTGGTGGTAAGACGTTACTTATTACTTCTACTCTTGTGGTGATGTGAACTGTTCCACTGCAAATGGTCTGCTGCTCAGAGTTGGTGGAGGCCCCTTGGCATGGGTAGGCATTGTGCTGCTGGGTAGGCTAGTGCTGCATCCATTCCTCTTGCCTGAAGGCTTTTGCCCACACAGTGCCAATTTTCAATTTGAAGTGGAGCAGTCGCTTACTGATAGTAATTCTCAGTGTTGCTCAACTAATGTGCCATGTGTATTTTCCTTTTTTCCCCCCTTCCACCACAATTGTTTCCTTTAATGATACAGCTTTACATGGTGAGAACTATGTTAGAGTCCCTCATTGCTGACAAAAGTGGTTCCAAGAAAACCTTGAGAAGTAGCCTTGAGGGACCCACCATATTGGACATAGAAAAATTCCATCGCGAGTCTTTCTTCTACACTCATTTGATAAATTTCAGTGGTAAGATATGGAGATGATCAGTGTCCAGCTTAGCATGTCCTAACACCTCTAACACAACCTGGGAAATGTTTCCGATTGCCAAAGCCAACTTACTGTTGTTACATTGATCAAAAAACCTTGGTCTGTCCAAACATTTTCTGAGATGTGGTATTCATTATTGTGGTAGGTTTATTTTGACTTGTAACACATTCATTTATAATGGATCAAATTTCATATTGTTACCTCATTTTTTTTTCAAATGTATTCATGCAAACAAGGGACAGATAATTCTTTGTGCATTGAAATTTTAAAAAGGAAGTCGTTTTTGTGTTTTGGGTTTTTTTTCTTTTTCTTTTCTTTTCTTTTCCTTTTTTTTTCCCAAGTACAGAGGAAACGGATTCTCTGTTGTGGTAAATTTGATGTCATTTCACCACTTTTACTATTCAGTTAATTGTAATCGGAAACATGCTGTCCTAAAGAATTCACCTACTGACATTGAATGTATTTAGTCTTTGTCATCATCATGCTGTGTTGTCTTTCATTTTTGTTTTGTTACTGGACTCTTATACCCTCAAAGAAGGGGGAGCCTGTTAATTTCTGTTATAATGCTGCTGGTGAGCAGCACACCCAGTTTTGGAAGATTTTAATGTAAAAAAAATATTTTTTGTTTTGGCTCTGAAGCCTTATACAAATGAAGGCTTGTGCTGAGTGTTTATTGGAGAGGTGGGAAAAGGTATATCTGTGTCCCAGACAGTGGCCTTAGAAACTTTTTGTTTTAATCCCGTCTTCATGTGTCTGTGTGTCACTTACTACCTGTCTGATGAACAGAGATATATGGAGTGATTTAGTCCTCCATAAGGATGGATAATACTAATGGTCCCAGTATACTGTGTTGTCTCCTTCATCAGCTGCTTCCCAAGTTCAGTGCACAGTTGAGGAGCAGACCCTAAATGAAAAGTTAAATTAGAAGCCTCCCATAATGGTGTGCAGAATTTTTCCATTTAACTGGTAGTCTGGTCCACTCCCACAGTATTTTCTGTAATAAGGCACCTCTTTGGAGGCCAACATGGAATTCAGAACTATTTCAAAAAGTCCTGGGCTCTGCATTTTGAATTGAGTTTACACATTTGGCTTGTGTATGACTCAGTGCCTGCTTTTATTTGTTCCACCTTGCATCATCAGAATCACAGTTGTATTGTCCTTGGTGTACTTCTCTAAGAAGTATAATTCTGCCTTATTTATCCCAAAAGAAACCCTGCAGCAATGCTGTGATCTGTCCCAGCTGTGGTTCAGGGAATTCTTCTTAGAGCTGACCATGGGAAGAAGAATCCAGTTTCCCATTGAGATGTCAATGCCTTGGATTCTGACAGACCATATTTTGGAGACCAAAGAGGCATCAATGATGGAGTAAGACCTACTTGTGCTCTTCCACTGAATGATTATTCTTAATGATTGCCACTCTTTATTATAATGTTACTGCTTTAGTTAATTTTAACGAGTCACTGGGAAGGTATTCTAAACCGTCATACAATTTTCCTCTTTGCTTACTTCTACAACTCACAGTTTGTTTTTTTCAAAGTGAATAAAATATTAAGTATTTAATGTAAATGTAATTGCAGTAGCTAAATGTGTTGTTACCTGGATGAGTTCTCCTTCTATGCTTATTTTGCAGTAGACCTTCTTAATAACTCAGTATAATCAACATAATTGATTACCTACTCAATATAATCCAGGGTACTAAGAGCAGGTGTGGTTTCACCTGATGAAAAACTGTATCTGGAAAGCGAGTTTCAGACTGCAAACTTATCTGTAAAAATTATTAAACTAACAAAAGACTTTCTTAAATGAGCAAGTATGAATCTTTATATAAACTCCAAGAACAAAAAATCTTGTTTACGTGACACGCATGTAGATCACAATATTCACAGGCTTAAAGTATGTTGACTGAACCATTTTGAAGAGCCACATCTCTACAGATATGTAACATTTTTGTTTGTTTGTTTGTTTTCATTCAGGTATGTTCTGTATTCTTTGGACCTTTATAATGACAGCGCTCATTATGCGCTTACTAAATTTAAGAAGCAGTTCCTCTATGATGAGATTGAAGCAGAGGTAAAGCAACCTTACCTACAGGAGAAAAGTAGTCTGTGTGTTAACGTGGAATTATAGAATCATAGAATTGCTCAGGTTGGAAAAGACCTTAAAGATCATCAAGTCCAACCGCGACCTAGCCGTGCTACCCTAACTCTAACAACCCTCTGCTAAATCATGTCTCTGAACACCACATCCAAATGGATTTTAAACACGTTCAAGGATGGTGACTCAAGCACCTCCCTGGGGAGCCTATTCCAGTGCTTAACAACCCCTCCTGTAAAGAAGTTTTTCCTGATATCCAACCTGAACCTTTCCTGGTGCAACTTGAGGCCATTTCCCCCTTGTCCTGTCACGAGTGAGAAGAGACCAACCCTGCTCTCGCTGTAAGCACCTTTCAGATACTGGAAGAGAGCAACAAGGTCTCCCCTCAGCCTCCTCTAAGGAAGTTAAGTTAAAGGATGAGACCTATTGCAAGAGATTCATAACAGATGGAGATGAGGAAGAAATTGCAAAGACAGAATATGGATGATTGATCTGCTGATGCGTTGCAAGGATATGTGTAGATCTTTACAAAATCCTTCACATTAATGCTAAAGACTGAATGTCATCTTCTCTTGTGCAAGGATATTTAGAAATGTTAACTCTTCTAGTTATATTTACTAAGTGGTGGAAAGTCTTGGATAAGTTCCTCCTCTTTAATACTGAGTAGCCATAAATGCACTTTTTTTCCTCTCTCCTAAGGTAAACCTGTGTTTTGACCAATTTGTCTACAAGCTGGCAGACCAAATATTTGCATACTACAAGGCAATGGCTGGCAGGTACATATTTCAAGCAAGAACTTTTATTCGTGCTTGGTTTTGCTGTTTGCTATACTTTTCTCTTTGGTTTCTTTTCCTCATAGCCTGCTTTTGGATAAACGTTTGCGTTCAGAATGTAAGAATCAGGGAGCAACCATTCAGTTGCTGCAGTCCAACCGCTATGAGACGCTGCTGAAACAAAGACACGTCCAAGTGAGTTAACTCATGCTCTTGTATTTGCATTGCTGGGCATTTTTCCAGTGGTGTTGATTTCTGTAGATGAGCAAAACTATTTCTGTGCTTTCTGTTCTGCTTTCTGAGTGGCAGAAGTGACATTTGAGATAAGCTTTTTTTGTCTGTAGAAGGAATAAACTAAGTAAGACCTTAAAAGATCCAATTTTAGTTGCAAGTATGTGTTGCAGTTGAGTAAATGCAAGCCAAATAGGGGAAATGTTGCGTGTAGAATGTTGTCTTCCTAATAACATCTTTCAACATTTTTATTTCTAATGCGTTGTTGGCACAATGTAATGGAGCCATTCAATGATGATATATATATATATCTAGATATGAATAGTTCATGTGATATTACTTCTTTTTGTGAGAAATTAGATATAAAATGTAACGCCTCATTTATTCATGGATTTATAAATGTTATCCATATACTTTGTTTCTGTGTGTTTGGAATGCAAATTCACTGTTTAAAAGTCTACTAATTTGTGGAACCTTGTAGTCCGTGTACAGCTTGTCTTGTGATTTGATGTTCGGTTCAAAGCTTAATGGCAGTTTTTCCTCAGCTTCTTGGTAGGTCAATAGACCTGAACCGCTTGATCACTCAGCGAATTTCAGCAGCTATGTACAGATCAATGGAGCTGGCAATTGGTCGATTCGAAAGTGAGGATTTGACTTCCATTGTGGTGAGTGTTCCACCTCTTTTTTTTTTTTTTTTTTAGTTTTCTCATTAAAAACATGTGTTCCTTTTTTAATAGTAGAAGGAAAAAAAAAAAAGACAATCTCAAGTTTGGCTGGAAGCCCTCTAGGTGTTCTGTCTGTCAGTAATTAACCGCACAGTCACACCTGGAGAGAGGGGAAGAGGCTGAAGAGGCTGAGCTCCTCAGGAGCTTTAAGTGTAAAGAGTACCTGTAGAGAAAGTGTATTCTAGGAGCTATGAGCAGGCAAGGAGAGTGAGCAGTCCGATGACTTAAGTTTTTGGAAATGCCCACTTCTGTGTGTGCTTATACATAAACTGCAGACCAAAACAAAACAACGCTGTAAGGAGTTTGTTTAGCCCACCAGCTTGTTTTTTTGTAGCATGACAAAATCAAGGTAAGCTTTTTTTGCAAAGGAATGAGATCTGGCGTGTGGAAGGAGAGCATCTGTGCAATACTGAAGTGTCTTTTTGAGTTAGTTTTCTGATGAAAATGTTAGTGGGCAATTTTTATTGCCAGACTGCATGAATTTGGTAAGTTAATATTTAGTCAGAAATGCCAACTGTAAGCTATATTCTATTCTGCTGGAATGAAAAAAAAATAAAAAGTTGTGCAAGAAAGTTTACTATCAATCTTGTTGTAATATGTTTGTTTTTTCACCTGTGAGATTTTGACATGCATTAACTTGTCCAATTTTACGTCATCCTTTACTGGGGGTAAATAGAATTCTAAGGCCCCGAGATGGGCAGGAGTCAGGTTTTTCATGACATTTCGGAGCATAGTGTTATAACATTTGAATTACTTAAACGTCACTTTCTTACTACCTAAATGAACAGAAACCATTGATGATTCTTAGGTCATAAGCTCTTACTCTTCTTTGAGGTAGAGATTGGCAGGGCTATGTTGCCATCCATTCCCCTGTTGCCATTTTCCCTTTTTTTGATTTGGTTTTACGCAGAATCGTTTCTGCTGAAAACTGCTTAGTTTCCTGTATGGGTAACTGGTACTAATAGCTTAACTTGTAAATAACTTCTGCTGTTTTTGAAGCTAAATAAGTTAAGTGAAGGCAATTAAAAGATCAATCTATCTCTGCTCTCATATTGGACTCAGTGCTGTTGTAGCCATCATAGTGGTTCTTTTTGTCTTCGTAAGTTAACTGTTACTCACAAGCTTGAAAATCCTTTGAAAAATGGAGCAGTTGAATCAGATAGCACTGTATGGGAACATGACTGCATAGCCAAATGAAGCCCAATCTCCACTGGATATTCCTTCACATGTCATTGTACAACTATAAGCAATGCTTGTTGGTGGTTTTTGGAATGAGAGGTTGTGTTCTTTGTTTTTAATTTTTTTTTTTTTTTCCTGTTTAGAGGCTGTACTGTAACTTGCCTTGAAGTTGCTAGACCAACTGGTCTGGTCATTAATGAGTTCAGTGCTCTGTTCCATAAATACTAGTGTCTCAGTGTCCGGTGTCAAAGATGCATTATTTCTATTGTAATTTATTTAAAAGAAAGTGCCAGAAACCATACTTGGAAGTATCTTGTCAAGAGAAAAAACATTATGAAAGGCAGTGCCCATATGTATAATCCACAGCTAGTGATTCTGTAGGTAATTTCACTCCATTTGTAAATGGCTCATCTTTTGTTGCCTCTTAGTAAGCTCTTTACCTGACTAAACCTCGAGAAGGATTTATGATAAATGTAGTATTATCCCTAGCAGTACTACTACAAAAGTTCGGTCACCAGTTGCTTTGCCAAGCAGAAATAACTTTGCGGATGCTTGTAATTAGGAAATGCAGAAGCTGTTTCTCAATCTGTTTCTGACTCCAGTTAAGTGTCTTTAGAATTCTAGCTTTAGCTTAGTTGGCCCGTATCTGTGTTTGAGACACCTGCCAGCAGTGCAGGCAGGTCATACCCTCAGCATCTCAGAGGGTTTGGTGGGATATAGACACAGAGCAGTCTTGGGAACACAGATTCCTTCCAGCTTTGTCACTGAACAAAGAGACTGGAGAGGAGTCAGCTGTCCATTATTCACTGATAGTCTCCTATTCAGTTAAGGCTATTTATGTACTTTGTTGAGGTTCTCTCCTTTGTTAAATCTACTGCTTGTTTTCTTTCCTCTTAATTTATTTTTTTTGTAGGAGCTGGATGGCTTGATAGAAATAAACAAAATGACTCACAAACTTCTGAGCAGATACATGACCTTGGACAGCTTCGATGCCATGTTCAGGGAAGCCAATCACAATGTGTCAGCCCCTTACGGACGAATCACTCTTCATGTATTTTGGGAACTCAATTACGATTTCCTTCCAAACTACTGCTATAATGGATCCACTAACAGGTTGGCATGGTGTAGCCTTTTTGTTTGCAGCAGTTCTCTTGCTCTCCTGCAGCTTCTCTCACAGCAAATGCTAACAAATTCCATCACCATTCATTTAGTGTATTTTTCACTGCTAGTGCTTTTCTTGAAATGAGGTAAAATGAGTCATTTTACTAAGTACTGTCAAATGTATGAAAGACTGTTATTAGTCCACAGTAGAAATAGAATTTGGTTGCTGAGGTTACGTTTTATGACATTTTATGACTTAGCTATGAAATGCTGAAAATAAAGCGCGTCCAAAAATACTGCTGTGTGCATGTCAGAAAGACATTTGGTAAACAGGATCCTCAACTGTGCGATGACGAAAGTAAAATTATATTCCTTGTTTCTGCGTTGATAAGAAGAAAAAGGGAAGAGTTTAGTGCTTGCTGAGTATGGTTTTATCTGCCTTGCTGCTGTCTTCCATGTTTCTGGAACTTTATTTCATATCCAGTGGTTGTGTCTTACTGAGCCTTCGTTAGCCAGGGAAGTCTTACCTTGAAGTGCGTGTCTTTTTGAGCAGAGGAAACTCATTATAGGTCATGCAGAGAAGCTTTATATTGTTTTTCTTCTCGTTTCTTTTTCTCAGGTGGTTAGTTCTACTTTTAAAAGATCTTTTCTGATGGTGAGCTTTTTTTGTTTCACTCAGCTTATGGTAGCAGAAGAACAGTGTGTATCTGTAGTGCTAGAGCTTTGTTCCAGGTGTCCTTCCTTCCTGCTGTTGCAGCCGTGAAGGAGAGTGAGTAATGGAAATAGGAAGCAAATGATAGGATTCAAAGTTTGAATGAGTAGAAGGCGCAGCACTTGGGCTTCCTGATTTTGTGTTTGCTTTTGGCTTTAAGCAAAACCTGATTAAAGCATTGTGAAGAGTCAGTAAAGCAATACTGATATTGAGCTGTGGCAGGAGGAGAAGCCTGTTCTCATCTTTCACTCTCCTTGGAGTGCTTCCTCTGTCTGACATGTTTTTGATGGTTTTGATGTGGTTTTGATGGTTTTGTTGTGGTTTAGAGCCAACATTCAGTCTGGGGAAAAAAAAAGAAGTGAATGTTATGTTTAAGTTTTCACCAAGAAGCTTTTGTTAGGCAAATCTGTTTGCACAGCAGTGTTGAACTGTGCATGCTGATGTGTCTGGAGATCAGTATTGGAATGTTCAGTGTGGTGCGTAAAGAATCACATAAGCATAATATTAAAAGAAAATCTTGATGAAAGGGTGATATTTCATGTGGCAGCTTTAATAAGAGATATTCAGTAGCTCCTAGAATTAGTTATTCTCTGTTCATTTTGGCTATAAAGACCATGGTACGGATAAGACCGAAAGGATGTTTGCCTATTTAAAAACTGCACACAAATTGAGTTAGGCTGATTCTCAGGGTAGTTAATTCAGGATAATTAATTTACCCTGATTATTATTTATTAATATAATAATAATAATAACTTATTATATTATTATATTATTATATTATTATTTATTAATCTTGGGCAGATCTGTTTTCATCTCAAAGTAGCTCTGGTTTCAGGTGAAAATGGGAGTGTGGTGAGAATTAATGGCAGATACACAATATGGTGCCCATTGGTATTTTTGCTGGTGGAGGAACAGGTAATTTCCAGCATGGTCGTCATTTCTGTTTCTGCCTTGCATGAGCTTTAGATTGATGAGTTATCTGTGTATTTAACTTAGCACAGGTAGTTGTGTACAACAAGTACATGGGTACCCAGTGACATGCTCTGCGTGAGCTGTCAGTTAAACTCTTGGCAGGTAATGAAAGTATGTGTAAGTAAGGGAAGCAATTGAACAGTGAAAGGTTGGAAGAAAGAGAAATGAGGAAATGAGTATGGTGTATAGTAGAGATGGAGGTGCTTGGGGTGAGGAACTGGAAGCAGAGGTCCTAAAAAATGTGAAGTACCTGTGCCCCACCTTCTGTTAATTTGAGTGGAGCTGAGGCATGAAGGTTCTTCCTTTAAAGTTAGTATGTTGATCAGATTGATTTATGCCCAGCATCTTTTTTTTTTTTTTTTGAAGCTCTTTTCCTAACAGTGCTTGAACTTGGTGATTTCAAATGTTTGTAAGAGTTGAAATGTTTACAAAGCCTGTGGGTTTTGTTCAGAGACTGCCGTTATTCGTGCAGAAGTAATTGAAACATGTGGCATCTTTAATTATTTGGGATTTAGGAATATTTCTATATGTGATGATGTACTGAAATGAAAAAATGAAGCTGCTATCAAAAAATACCGGAATTTAATTATTGCAGTTGCTGCTTTTCTGACTGTTACTGTGTTTCTGACCCTTTGCAGACTGTTTTTTTTTTTTCCCACTGCTTTATCCAGTCCTTTTTTAAAGCTATGTGAAGCTTTCACATTCATGAAATGCTTTGTGAGGGATTCACAAGGAAGCTGTACGCTGTAGGAAAAGGCATCTCTCTTCAGTTTGTTCTGAAACTGTTCTGGCCAGTTCTTACTCTGAGAGTGATCATGAGCAGCCATTTCTCATTTGTCTTTTCTGTGTTGCTTGGGACTTCTTTTAAGATCTCTCTTCATGTTTGCCCCCAGTTGCCCCCTGCTTTTCCAAGCCAAAGGGCTTTCTGCACCATGAGATTTTTTCATAGTTTATGCCCATACTTGTGCTTTTTTCATCCCTCTGTGTTTGTGGAACTAGGATGATTGGGCCATCCAGAAGATTGAGAGGGCTCAGGGGCAACTTACGGATTTTTCTTATTTGCTCCTTTTCAAGTATTGCTGCTAGTGTTCCTTTTTCTGCCACGTTTTTTGTCTTATTTCTGAGCTGATAGTGTGTTTTGTGTTCAGGGTTAAGAAAGTGAGACCGGTGTAAGACAATCTGGATGCTTATTGGGTTTAAGGGTTTCTGTATTTTCTTGAAACACTGACGCAAGCTTCCCAAGACAGCCATCAGTCCTGGAGTTCCATCTCCTCTCAACACATTATACAAATCCTGAATTCTGTGGGGAATCTCACATAAGCCTATAATGACCCTTTGAGCTCCTGAAGGGTTTTAATGTGATCCTGATTTTGGAACAGGAATTCTTTATCAGTTTCTTTTTGGGTTAAGTCCAACTATTATTTTAATCACGCCAAACCCAGGACCACTGAATTTTGAAAGAACGTTGATATTTCCTTTGTGATATTCAGGCATTTGCTGTTTGAAAAGATTAAAGCATAGCATCTTTGTACCAATCCAAGGTTTAAAGCCTCATTTTCTAGCTTAATTTCCCCCCTATTTTGTTTGCTTTTTCTCCAGTAGCACCATCCTTAAGTGTCAGCCAGTTCTTCTCAACCTCCTTCATAACAACCCCCAACCCTGCCACACGCACAATTTCTAAGCAACTGGAAATACAGCTGTAAAATAAACCCTGTAAAACAGCAGAGGGTGTGGATGACTTAGATGTTCTATGCACTCCTATAGCTTTTATCTTCCCAATTGATCTGGTCTTATTTTTGAATGGTACCTGGCACTTCATGCAGCAGCACACTGCAGCATGCTTAGATACTGATGGGCAAGCTGCAGAAAACCCAAATTAACTGGGTCGTGTAGTGGTGATTGTGTGTAGTGTGGTCTTAAATCTTCAGAGCCTATTGAAACCGTGGCCCAAATAGGAGTTTGTTCCAGTGGCAGAGCCGAATTGTAGTAGCTGCAGTTTTGGTCAAGCCAAATCAATCACTTCATCTCTGTGCTGCTCCCATAGCATGCTTCGCTTTTCTCAGCAGCTTGGAGAAGAGATCAAGATTGGTTAGCAGTGTCATGCTTTTAAGGTGCGTTGTGCCAAATAATGTGCAGACAGCTGTGCTTGACATTCATGTTCAGGAAGAGTGCACTGGATCTAGCATTCCTGAAGAGGAGTAGGGACTGTGCTTTGGCTTGGTAGGCTGTTGAAAAGATCCCTGTCCATTAGACAGGGAAGTCCAGAAGGACACTTCATGAGGAGGGAGGGAAGGACTACTGTGAGTTGAAGTTCAGTAAGTATATGAATGAGGTTGCCTGACCTGGTGTTTGTAGCAGCAAGGAAGTGGGCTCATTAACTATAGTGGTCCTTTTCAGTTTTTTCTCTTTATATTTTTAAATAGATGATGGCAGTTGGTTGTAAAGTGTTCGCTGTGAACTCCTTCCTGGGAGGTATCACAGAGACACTGACATAAAATGATTTGATCCTGAAAATACTTTAGGGCTTGTGTCATCCTTTAGCAATCACCGCTGCAAAGCTCTGTTAAGCCAGCAGGCTTTTCATCCACTTAATCTACTTTGGCTGCTTACAACCTGTGTTGATTAAAATGGATAAATTACTGAGATCATCAATAGTGATTAAAAATGAAAAGAACTGATGATCCTGTAATGTGCCAATACCTGCAGCCAGCAGCGCTGGAGGGAGAGTAAAATCTGTCTCACTTTATTGTTGGTATTCAGAGAGTTGATTCCTCAGTCCTTGAAAGTGGTGCTTCTGTTTCTTGGAAGAGGAACAGGAGGAAGGCAACCTGCAGGATGTCAGAAAGAGAACATAATCTGCTCATTGAAAAAGATAGAAGAGTGCAAGTGATGCTGAACTGTAATGGTTTCTATGTATATCTTTTAGTGTTGCGGTACAAAAATCACCTATGGCTTAGGTTGGAAGGGATCTTAAAGATCAGGCAGTTCCAACCCCCTGCCATGGGCAGGGCTGCCCCCCACCAGTTCAGGCTGCCCAGGGCCCCATTCAAACTGGCCTTGAGCACCTCCAGGGATGGGGCACCACAGCTTCTCTGGGCAGCTGTGTCAGCATCTCACCGTTCTCTAAATGAAGAATTTCCTCCTAACATCTAACTCAAGTTAGGTTTATTTGAAGTTATGCATTCTCAGAAAAATAATTCAGATTACTCAGAAATTAAATGTAGTGGAAATAATTTTAAGCAGAATGGTACAATTTGCACGTGTTTGGGTGAAACAGATTTTGTTTAGGTAGCTGTTCCTGTTTTCAGCTACAAAATTGTCATAAATAGAATACCTACATATATACAAGGAGAAATGATTAATGAATCATTTATTTTGTGTGTTAATTCAATTCAGACATATTTAAAACAAAAACACATGCAGGTACAGCATTATTTTTCAGTGTTACAACGTGCTGCAAACTTCCCCTTCTGGAACTTTTTCCTAAATGCAATTTGTTTTAGACACTATCAGCTGGAACAGTTTGACTGGATGCAAACTCTTGATGTGCAATTCTTAAATGATTCATTTTCAGCTTCCCTATGCCTGTGCAACTTTGTGCCATTTACCAAGAAATGCTAACCCACAAGCACCCTCACCCTGTCCCTCAATTTGCTTCATTTAAATTTAAAGCAGAATTAAAGTTGTAGTAGATGCTGACTAACATCTTCCTCTGCTAAAACCATGCTGCTGTAAAATGTGAATTACATAGTTACATGGCACTATCACAGGGCTGATAGCTTAGGAGAGGATTCAGACTTGCAGATTCTCGGGCTCTTAGAGCCCTCAGTTCGGGGTGGACTGTTTGTTCACATCTCTTGCAGCCTTCCATATCTTTGTAGTTCTTTTCCCCTTATGCCATGTACAGCAGTAACACTGTTTGTTAGGTGTGGTTTGTGTTGCTACGTACATATTAGATCATCAGTCAAGTATGATGAAACATTCAAACCACTAGTTTGGCCACTGAGTTTTGCATTGTGCTTAGGTGTTTGGGTGTTGCAGGCTCTGTGCTTTCCCATCCTCAGGTCTGAAAGGCTACCGGTCTGGCTTTGATGTTATGCATAGACAACAGTGGTGTACAGGATAAGTGCATTAGACACACACCTAGTAACTAAAGAGTTAATAATTATGTCTTTGTTTTATTATTGTAGATTTGTTCGGACCGTGCTACCATTTTCTCAGGAGTTCCAGAGAGATAAGCAGCCCAATGCTCAGCCCCAGTATCTCTACGGATCAAAGGTTGGAGTTTATTCCCTTTACGTTTATGGTTTGCCAGTATTTAAGGGCATTGTTTCACATGAATGTTACTAAAAATATTCATATATTTTATGAATATGAAAGTTACTAGAAATGGACTCAAATACATTCTGTGGTTGTGTTAAATTCACTGTACGCTTTGTTTTTAGACTGTGCCACGAAGTCACAGTATATTTTAGTCAAAGTGCAAGTAATTAGTCTGATGGTTAGTCTTATCTGACGGCTAGAAACAGCTCCTGCTCTCAACCACCTTGCACTGCAGTTGCTTGTAGTGGCAGAGCAGGCTCAAAGAGTAGTCAGCTGGGGAAGTGAGAATGAGAGCTCATCCTGAGTGCAGCCACTTCCTTGCTGTGCTGCTGAAGGTGTGTAGCAGGAGAGACAAGAACAGATGGGAAAAACAGCTTCAATTATTGTCTGACATAGCAGGAATATAGACACTTTTACTGTCCTAAACTATCAGATACTAAACTGCTTAAATTATTTTAGAGAAAATGCAGCATTTCTTAGGCAACTTCAACCCGAGGATGTCACAGTCTCTGTGATGAGCTTGGCGTTCTGGTCAGCTCATCTCTTCATCTTGTATTGGCCTCATGGTGCTCTGCAGGTTCATGCAGAATTTCCACAGAAGCCTGTGTGATTTCTAGTTCTTTACTCTGTGCAGTTACACATCTTAGACATAATGAACGTGCTGCTCCTATAAAATTTTCACGCTTTAGCATGTAAAAGAGTTGGAAAGCTTCACCTTTTTGTTTTATTTTTAATACAGAACGGTAACAAGTGATCATCTGGTCCTGTGAAAAGTGTTTTTATGTAATTGTGCTCCAACTGGCAATGGTAAATTATAGGAGCGCAGGATTCTCTTTTTATTGTGTTCTTTACTATTTTAGGAATTCACCAGATGCTGTGTAAAGACCAGAAAGCTCACTGAATTTAGTACAGATTGCTAACATAATTCATCTAAATGATGATACAGTGGGGCGAGTGAGGAGGATTTACTGGGGAACATTTTATCAGTAAGGTTACATTATTAAAATGAGTTCAGTAATCCTTACTTGGAGAGCCATACGTTTTTAGATATCTGAATATTTTTCTATATTGCTATAAAGAGAAGCCATCAAAGGGGTTCTTAGATGTTTGGCTCAAAAGAGTGAAGGTGAGATGCTGGAACAGCTGCCCAGAGAGGCTGTGGATGCCCCGTCCATGGAGGTGTTCAGGGCCAGGTTGGATGGGGCCCTGGGCAGCCTGGTCTAGTATTAAATGGGGAGGTTGGTGGACCTGCCTGTGACAGGGGGGTTGGAGACTTGTGATCTTTGAGGTTGCTTCCAACCCTGGCCATTCTATGATTCTGTGTGTTTCTGGAGCAAATTTTGTAACTAGATGCACCTTTGTTAGCAAGGATTCCTTACTGGTTCTGAATTTTTACAGAAGTATATTTTTTTATTCTTAACTCCAGTGCATTTTGGAATTGAGAATATCAGAATGGAATTGTAAGAGGGAAATTTCTATGTATACAGCAAGTGATATTTCTTACACGATGGGTGCTACAAATTCCATAGTGATATTACCGTGAGATGTTATTCTGAGTACTGCACAGCCAGTAGATGCACTCTGGCAAGTTTTGAGTCTTTTAACTGTTAAACTGTTCAATTTCTACATGTGTGGGTAATAGAGGAATATGGAACAGCTGTGTATTCATTTTTACTGTCTTTCTGAGTTCTTGAACTACTCGGAATATTTGGGTAAGCAGTTTGTATTGATTTGATACCCAAGGAATATGTGTGTGGTTGTTTTTTGTTTTTTTCTTACTGGATTTTTTGTTTGGTTGGTTTTAAGCTTATGTAGGTCAAGACAGAGGCATGGTGGCTTGCTGTGCATGCAAATACTTAGGCGTGTATGGGATTGTAATAGTTATACGCTTGCTGCACAGAATTTTTGCACAGTACTTGTTTGTGAATCACTGATGATATTTCTAGTTTTGATCTCAAGAGGTTCACTCATTCTCATATATTTCTACATGGGTTAAGTCATTTGGTCTATGTTAAAATGTATTCATGTTCAGCGTTGACAGTTGTGTCCACATTCTCTACTGCATCCAAAGTTTTCTTAGCAGTATCTTCATTATCAAAACAAAAGACTATAGGTATAACTTATTCTGGCTGAGCTGGAAGCAGAGCTGGAGACAGGAAGGAACAATTGGCCTTGTAAGTGAGCAGGAGTATTTGACATTGCAATCCCCTCATACCACTGAAATGTGTGTAGGATTAGCAAAATGAATGTCAGCAGACTGAAATTTGGCAGTGTTGGCTGGATTGCAGGAAAGAGTAATGCAAGTATAAGAAATAGTCTCTTCTGGGCATTCAGAACTAACATTACATGTGAATGAATTGTAGAATTGTAGAATATCCCAAGGTGGAAGGGACCAACAGGGGTCAGTCCAGCCCCTGGCTCCACATAGGACCAATCCAGAAATCAAACCCTGTCTCTGAGAGCAGTGTTCAAACACTCCTTGAATTTCAGCAACTCGGGCCGTGCCCACAGCCCTGGGCATCCCGTTCCATGCCCACCGCCCTGTGGTGCAGCCCCTTTCCCTGACCCCCAGCTGCCCTCCCCTGACAGCTCCATGCCGTTCCCTCGGGCCCTGTCGCTGTCACACAGAGCAGAGCTCAGCGCTGCCCCTCCGCTCCCTGTGAGGAGCTGCAGCCGCCATCAGGCCTCCCCTCAGCTCCTCTGCTCTGCGCTGAGCACAATGAGGGGCCTCAGCTTTCCCTCGTATGCCTTGCCCTCTACACCCTTTACTGTCTTTGTAGCCCTTCTTTGGATGCTCTTTAACAGGTTTATGTCCCTTCTGTGTGATGGTGGCTTCCCTTGCCTGGCTGTCAGTGCTGTGCTTGCAGCACTCCCAGGGCACTGTTGGCAAGAGTACCTGATGATAAAGTGCCTGGTTCTGTAGACCAGAATTAAATAGTCAGCTTTCTGCCTTAAACAACACTTGCTGAACTTTTTCACGCTTGTATGTCTTCTGCATTTTGTATGTGCTGACTTATTTAGTGTAAAAACTCAGCCCTTGGGAAAATACTTCTCAGTATAAAGCTAATGGTTTCTATCTATACTGGTGTGCAAATAGACACCAGTTTGCACTATGCTGCATCTTGTTATCAGCTGAATTATTAATTAAAATCTTTGCCCACCACCCTTACCCATTTTTGGAAGCAAACCTGTAGTGTTTCCCTTACATTTTGAAGAGTTTATCAGTGCATTTCATGATTCACCCTGACTTGAAACAACAGAGAAGTGCTGTCATCTTCATGATTTATTTAAGATTGGTGTCAGACAAACACTTGTCAGCTGTAGGAAGTGCTGTGCAGGGCTGGAGAACACGTTGCCAACTTAATGCAACAAAGATGCCTTCTGAGGGTTTTTTTCAGAAAAGAAATACTCTCCTTTTATTTGGCACATCTTTCTGCATATTTCACCTGTCCTGGGAGAAAAAAGTAAAGAAGCCTGACACTTAGATGTGCTCATCTACTTCCAGCAAGACAAGGGTTGAGGTTTTTCACAAGCTGTGGGAGATGTGGCCAAAACAGAGCAGCTGCTGAGCCCCACTGCCTGCTGGGGTGCGTGTTGGCCCAGTGGCTGCCCACCTTGTACCTCTGCTGGAATCTCCAGGCTGTGTCAGTGGGGCAGCTGTACATGGATGTCTGTGCCAGTGGCAGCTTAAAATACATGCAGGCACAGTGAGTGTGTCCTCTCAGAAAGACCATGTTACACAGCGATGCAGAGATTTACTACGTTTTTAGGGAATGCAAAGAGATTTAAAACAGGGTGACTTATACACATAAGCGAGACAAAATGCATCATTTTGCAAAGGTGAGCAGGTTTCTTCTGTCTGAGGACTTTGCTTGATACTTTGCCATGAAGTCCAAGGCAGAGTGAGGTGAGGAGCAGATTTGGTTGTTACACACAGGAAATGCGTTTCAGCATATTTTTACTTCCTTGCCCCTTGGCTGTGCAAAACTTTGAGTGTGGTTGGAAACTGACAGCTGCTGGATGAGTTCTGTCATCAAAAAAGGAGGAAGGACCAGGAGCTGCTTCTCTGAACTGCGTTGCCCCTGCGGGAAGTCACTTGCCTGCAGTACGGAAAGGAGCCTCTGGTGGGAGCCAGAGAGTGCCAAATTAGGTTAGCCTGGAGCATCTCTTAGGCTGTGTAGAATTGTCCTTGCAGAGGTGCTGTACTGTGTGTGTCCAGCTGAGTGGAGATTTCTGAGAGATTAAAGGATGCCATGAAATCCCGATGAGTGTAGCTGATGTGCTGTGACTGAGCCGTTGCTGAGAGTGGGCACTATTGAGAGCGAGTGAGGAGTGGTCAGAATTGGGCAGTGACACGTGTACCAACAAGCTGTCATGCTCAGGGCGTGTGCTTCAATATAGCAAGCTGAGCTCTCATGTGGAAACTTCTATTCTTGTTTGTATTTGTTAGGAAAAAAAAAGAAAAAAAGGAATTAAAAATTAACTTGGTCACTGTTTATGTTTGTTTTTTTGTCTTTTTGCTCATTTCTATGAAAGGAAAGCAACCAAATCTGCTCCCAGATGCAAGTCCATGGCTTGCTCTATGCTTCTTTTTTAACTAGCAAGCTTCTGGGGAACCTCAGCTTTCGCCCAGGGCATCAGTGGCTGCGTGAGGGCATTGGAAAGGGCCACAAAGGCAGCAGGCACAGATGGGAGTACGGCTCTGCCGTGACCTAAGGTTCCCAACTGATAGCGGGGCACTGTCCTGCTGCGGGCGCTCGTTCCCGGCTGCTGGAGACCAGCTGGCCAGGCTCCCTGCAGACTGCAGGATTCTCAATGATGGTGGCCAGCTGGATGCCATCTGGCTGCCTCTCCTCGCTGTCCTGCAGCACTTGGTTCTGCCTGCTGGGCTCCTCCACGTCATGTGCCTCCCTGTGGGAGGCCCCGGCTCGGCCCTGTGACTGCTCACGCCTTGCACGGCACAGCAGATGCAGGCAGCCGTAGAGGAGGATTGCGGCAATGATGAGCAGCAGGAGGCTGCTGGCCAGCCAGATGCCCAATGCCAGCTCCTTCTTGGTGGTGCTAGCAGATGCCGGGTCTTGTTCCAGCGTGTTGAACACCTGGCACTGGTCACTGGAAGGGCTGGCGGACTGGCAGGTGACACACAGGAGGTACGTGGTCAGCGGGGTGAGGTTTTCCACCACAAATGAGGAGCGGCTGGCAGGCACCCTCTCCTCCTTCTGGAAGCTCTTCCTGGAGTAGCTGGACAGCACGCTGTTCCAATTGGGGTGATACATGACACTGTAAAAGCTGTCGGCACAGCTGGCCATTCTGGGCCAAATCACCATTGCTGTGTTTCCTGTGATGTTCTGGACAGTTATTCCCATTGTGGTGTTGCTGTGATGTATTGGCTTTCCCAGCAGTGATCCCCCTTCCCCAAGGAATTATTGCTTTCTGAGATGGCAGCTGAGACGCTGCAGCAGAGGGGATGCTGTGTGGATCATAGCACTCTGTAATTCAAAGAAGGAATTTGTTAGGAAACAATGCTCTTAGCTTTAAACTTTATAGTTCTTCGCCAAGTCAAAGGCTAAGTATGTGCCTGTATTAGCTCAGCCATAGTTGCTGCCTGTCCAGGTGACCACCTGTATTTTGTCTCTGAGAGATGGTGTGTTTTGCTGGGTTTGGCTTTGGGGAGCCACTTCCAAAGGGATTTTCATTTTACCATGCCCTCATAACATGGAGCCAAGGGGTAATAGCCCTCAGTATCCCATTCAGAATTTGCCTCCTCTCTTTTAGGTGCATAAATGTGATACAGTCTTAAGTCTGTGGGTATTTTGGCCAGAGGAGTTTGCATTCAGGTGACATGAGGTGAAACAAAAACTCCTCATGACTGGAAGCATCCTTTACAGTTGTGAAAGATCCAACAGGGAAAATGTGAATGATCAGAAATTTAAACGAATGCATTAATACATCTTTTCTCTGGGACAGTGCTGGAGTATTCTGGTTAGTAAACCAAGCATTTCTGTTAGGAAAAAAATCTTTGTATGTAGCCTAATCTTGTGTTAAGGGACACTGTTATGAAAAAGTGATGTTGAACCACAAATCAAACTGAAATTCTTGTCTGAATTGGCCTTAGACTGAAGACAGCCAGATGAACCACCCAACTAATTAACTCCTTACCTGTTGCAGTTACTTCTTGCCTGATGAGTGTGTTGATAAGTGGGGCTTGGGTTGGTTTTGTATTTGTTGGTTTTTGTTTTGCTTTGTTTTAAGAAATGCAGCGTTTGTTTTTCTCTCTGAGTGTCCAGCATTTTATCTTACTTATATGGTGATTTCTGTAATCCAATTCATGAGCAACTGAGTTTCTTACTTGGCAAGGGATGGCAAGAGTGGCAATTGAGTGATAAATTCTCTGGCCACCCACAAGTCTTTGATTTCTTCCAGTCATGGCTGAGTGAAAACAAAACAGCATGCGGAGCCATCACCAGCCAGTATTTTTATCTCCCATCGTGTTTTACATTAACTGCATGTTCCATGCTGTTCTCCTTTCCTGCAGGTGAGTTTGCACCTCTCTATCTGCAGCTAAGGCAGCTGCTGTGATGGCCGCACAGAGTTGGCATCAGTCATGGTGCTTAGCCCTGATGCCCTCTGGAAGAGCTTTCTCAAGCTGGGGTTAGTTGGTGAAATACAGCTTTTATCATTGTAGTGCTTTTTTCTTTTTTTTTTTTTTTTTTTTTGTTAATTGTTAATATTCTTTCCTGTGCAAAGTCTGGTCAGGAAGGGCGGTGATGCAGTGGCACAGGGAGGTGGTGCAGTCACCCCTGGAGGTGTTCCAGAACCGTGTGGATGTGGCACTGAGGGATGTGGTCAGTGGGCATGGTGGGGGTGGGCTGCTGGTTGGACTGGGTGATCATAGAGGTCTTTTCCAGCCTTAATGGTTCTGTGATGGTATGGTGCTGCCTTCCTGATCAAGTTAAGTGCACTCTTTTTGGTACAGCAACCAGATAAAGGAACTGAGTTTGCTGTCAGATAAGCTTAACAGAGAGACATGTTTTACATGTAACTGACTTCTGAATATCAGTAGAAGCAGAGCTTTTCCTTGCTCAGTTTTCTCCTTTCTAGCTGGTAAATCCCAGTTATTTAAAAATATGATTACTTTTTATAGAACGCTTCCTAATACTGTCTAGAATCATTTATTCATCACAGCGTTTTCTAAATAGAGTATTTGGTGCTTTACTAAATAACAATACTATTTTTTTCTGTAATTATAACACATCATTTGTTACAAGGTGCGTAATTAGGACAAATAAATGTTTGGAAGGCACATCTGGTGTTTTGTGAAGTCAGTACTTACCATTGCCTCCTGGCAGAAATGTCAGAACAGGAGTGTCGGGTGGTGATGCCGAGGAGATGAATGAACAGGCACCAAACGTTCTGCATCGCTTTCCTCAGGAGTTACTGCTTCATGCTCTCTGTTGCCAGTTTGCTTTCTCTTCCCTTCAGATTCCTGGGACTCAGTTTTCACTGCTCGCTCCTGTCTTTTTCCTCACAGCACTGCTGGTGGATGGTTTCTTTGTCTCTTCTACTTGAATTCAGGCAGGGCCACATCTCTTCTAAAGGTGCTGTTGCCTTGGTTTTCAAAGAACACAGAGGAGAAAAATGATGTCCTTTCCCCCCTCTTCCTTGCTTGCTTCACATTGGGCAGCACGCTGCCTGCACATCTCCGTGATGTGCTCCTGTGCCTGTACTGGTGGTGCTGTGAGTGATTTATGTTAGCACTTGGATGACATCAGCAACCAGCAACTCTTTTTTTTGTTGTTGTTGTTTTGTTCACTTTCAGGAGGGGAGGGAGCAAGGCGTAACTGAACAAATGCAAGCTCCCTCTCTCTACCTTCCCCTCCCTCTGTGTTAGTGACATTTTCCCTCGGTGTTTTATGGTTTATTGCACCATGGGGGGGAACAGCAATGCTGTGTGATGGGGGGTTTTCTAAATCCCTGGTCCTGCTTCACTTACTGCTGATCCCGTGCTTACAGGTAGACCATGTCAGGTGCTTCTCTGCAAAGGTTACTTGGAAAAAGGTGTACTGTTAGGTTGGCAGACTTACTGGTATGCATTGGTGAGTTATTTATAATGAAAACCATGTTTTTAGGGCTTGCCTTTCTGTGACAAATTTCTGCTGTATGAAGGGAGCTCCCTTCTAATCAGCAGCACAGAGAGCTGGTGGCAGTGGGATGCTTTAAGCCAGTGAAGAAAAATTCTCTTTGTGCTGTGGCTGAAATACTTTGGAGATGTTTAATGTTTAGATCTACCTGACTGGGAACGTCAAGAGAAAGAAAAGGAGTCTTCCCTTTTTGGGATAACTCTATAAAATGTTTCGTATGTTGGGACATTTGTCTGCACGCTTAATGTTTTACCAGTTCTCATCCTCTTCAGTGCCCCAGATCCTCTTAGTGTGAGCAGAAGTCTGCACAAATAGATTTGTTGTACGTGAGGATCTGCAGCTTTGTGCTGTCCAGTCGGTGGGAGTTTGGAATTAGCATTATCTTCACAGGGTGGCAGAAGACACCTCAGCCATCAGCTGGGGCAGGGCCGCCTCTAGTGGGTTGCTCAGGGCTGCAGCCTTGAACATCTTCAAGGACAGAGACTGCACAGCCTCCCTTTTTGACCACTCTTACAGTAATAACGTGTTTAACTGGAGTTTCCTGTTTGTGCCCTCTTGTCCAGGCACTGGGCACCTCTGAGCAGAGCCCAGCTCCCTTACTACCCCACCAGGTACACGTACACATGGACAGGATCCGCCTGAACTGTCTTCTCTTCAGGCTGATCAGCCTAGCACTGTCTTTCCTTGCAGAACAGATGCTCCAGCCCTTAATTATCTTTGTGGCCCTTTGCTGGACCACAGGTGAAGTTGGCCAACTCCCTTTTGATCCATAGTTTCAGCAAACGTTTTCTAAATCCCTACCCAGCATCAGTTTGTATATTTCTGCATACTCTTTGATGTAGCCAAGGCCATGATTCCCCACTACCAATACAGGCTGTGGAATGTAAGGATAGAGCACAGCCTTGCTGAAAAACATGAGATACTGGTGGATGGGAAGCTGGATGTAAATCAGCGATGTGCCCTCACAGTCCAGAAAGCCAACCATATTGTGGGCTGCATCAAAGGAAGCGTGACTGATAGGGTGAGGGAGGTGATCCTGCCTCTCTGCTCTGAGCTGGGGAGGCCTCACCTGGAGTACTGTGTCCTGATGTGGAGTCCTCAGTACAGGAGAGACGTTGGACCTGTTGGAGCATGTCCAGAGGACCTCAGAAATGACCCAAGGATGGAACAGCTTTCCTCCAAGAACATGCTCTGAGAGGTGGGGCTGTTCAGCCTGGTGACCTGAGCACAGCCTTTCAGTATCTAAAGGGGGGCTATGAGAAAGAAAGGGACAGACTCTTTAGGAGGGTGATAGGACAAGAGGAAATGGTTTCAAACCAAAAGCAGGGACATTTAGGTTGGATGTAAGGATGTTTTTTACAGTAAGGGTTGTGAGACATTGACACAGGTTGCCCAGAGAGGTGGTGGATGCCCCATCCGTGGAGACACTCAAGGTCAGACTGGTCAGGGCTCTGAGTGACCTGATGTAGCTGTAAGTGTGTCTCTGTTCATTGCAGGGGAATTGGACTAGGTGACCTTTAAGGGTCCCTTCTAACTTGATTCTGTTTCTTTATAAACTCCAAAATGCAAGGGTGCATCCCAGACTTGGATTTGCTTTAATCTTGTGTACAGCTAGGGGGGTTGCAGAAAAGAGATCCTTATTAATTAGAGAGAGCAGTAACTGCAAAAGGCTGTATTCTGTGATGAGGTCCTCAGAGGTTTACAACACCTATTGTGAGCTGAAAATTGAAGTAACTTCTTTTAAGATGTGTTGTACGTAAAATGAACTGTGTAGAAATAGAAGTTGTGCTTCAAATTCATGCACCCATCATCCTTTTCTACTTGTGTAAACAGAAAAATACATGAGGTAATGTTTGTGACTCTATAAATGTCAAGTGAAAAATGTCTGGTGAATGAATACTTTTCTTGCTTAGCAAGGGAGTTCCTGCCTTACAAAAATGAAGCTTTCTATTTTAACTTTTTGGATAGAGAGTAAGAAGCAAGGTTTACATTGTTTTTAATACTCAGCGAAGTAGTGTTTAAATGAGATTATTTCTAAGATGCAGTCAGCTGAGATTTTCATTAATCCAATATTTTTTTCCTCATTTCAGGCATTGAATCTGGCATATTCAAGCATCTACAGCAACTATAGGAATTTTGTTGGCCCCCCTCACTTTAAAGTCATCTGTAGGCTTCTTGGCTATCAGGGGATTGCTGTGGTGATGGAGGAGCTGCTGAAAGTCGTCAAGAGCCTGGTATGCCCTTGTCTATCAGTTTTGCTATTCCAAACAGCTTCTGGTAGGAAATATCTTAAGAAAAATAAAATGGAAGTAGGATTTCTAAGGAAACTAAGATCTCAGCTTAAATTAAAATGTTGCACCCACTGAAGTTCAATACAAGCTGTATTTGGGAGTGCCTAGTGTCTCATGAAAGCAATAGAAGATATGCCTTGAGAAGCTGAGCAGTGTTTTGAAAATCTTGAATTCTGCTTTGGGGATTAATTTAATTTGTGGAAATCTATGCTGCTGGGTCCTGCATAAACTCTGGAAAAGTATAAATGTTTCAATTGACTTGGTTGCAACTAAAAAATGTACCATAAATTTACTCTCTCAGTATGCTTCAAAGCAGCTGGAGTGTGCTTTCTGCCTTCTGTGACTTTAGGGCTTTGATTAATAATGTCTCTGACAGATGACCCTTAATCACAAGGAAGGCTTAATCTCCGTTCTTTATCTAGAAGTGGGTAGCATCAGGCCTATTCAGAGGAGTGCTCAGACCATCAGATGTTGGAAAAGTTGCCCGTACAGCCTATGTATCTAGTATTGGAAACAACCTTTTTTGGAACTAGGAGTTGAGGGGCTGTTTGTTTACTTTGTGAACATCTTTGCATACAGTCATAATGTGTTGCTGGTAAGTTTAAGCTACAGGAATGGTTTTTCCCTCCCCAGCTCCTGTTTCAGCACGCTGCCAACTTGGTCCAGCTGTAACAGGTGCATAGCTGTACTATTCATAATCTCACTTCAGGCAGTTGACATACTGTTTATTGTCATTCCAACAATGTTCTAAGTATGTTTTTGAAATGTCTGAAAAGATGGAGCCTGTTTGAAGGACTGCTATGGGGAATGGCTGTTTACAAGGGTGGATAGTGATAGGGCAGTAGGGAATGGTTTTAAGCTGAGACAGGGGAGGGTTAGGTTAGATATTAGGAGGAAGTTTTTCACTCAGAGGGTGGTGACACACTGGAACAGGTTGCCCAAGGAGGCTGTGGATGCCCCATCCCTGGAGGCATTCAAGGCCAGGCTGGATGTGGCTCTGGGAAGCCTGGTCTGGTGGTTGGTGAGCCTGCACATAGCAGGGGGGTTGAAACTAGATGATTGTTGTGGTCCTTTTCAACCCAGGACATTCTATGATTTTATGTGATTCTATGATATAATCTTCAGGGAAAGATGGAAACGTAATTTTCATGCTTTGGAGCTGAATGTTGGTTTGTTGTTTTGAGGAAGATTATTTTTACTTTTTTGCAGATCACCTCAATTCATTACAGGCAATATGGAACAAATAGGCATTAATAAAGGCGGCTGAAAGGCCTCGAGGTGGGGAGGGGTCCTGGTGCTTGATCTGAATGTTGCTCAGGTGTTGAGAGATAGGTGTCTAATGGCAGGAAGGTAAAGTGACGGTGGACTGGAGCTATGTCTTAACTGGTGTACCTGCAATAGCTAGTTTAAGCTGTTACAGACATGTCTCATACTAAGCATTGTTCTTTTGCTGCTTTTGAAAACATTCTGATGAACTTGTTTACTAAAATCAAAAAGTTGGTTGGACAGTAGAGGCTGGCTGTAAGAACAGATGATGATTTCCTGTGCTTTCTTTTCCTTCCTGGCTTTAGCTGTCAAGCCACTCTTCCTGTAGCAAAAAGCAGCTAATACCACGTGAAGGAAAGTGCAGCTGTACTCACTTGAAAGAGTGACCTTTTTTGAAGATGATGGCTAGCACAAGGCTAAATTCAAGACCACGTTCAATCTATATGTGGCTTGAACACAATTGTTTTTCTTTAGCAACACTGACACATTAACAAGTGCCTCTTTTCTCTTAGTTACAAGGGACAATTCTTCAGTATGTCAAGACCCTGATGGAAGTGATGCCTAAGATCTGTAGGTTGCCAAGACATGAGTATGGTTCTCCAGGTTAGTTCACGTTTGGTGTTACTATAAACTTAATAAAATGATACTAATTACCATCTTCTAGATTATATGTACCTCTGTCTGTCCCTCCCTCTCTTCTCTGTCCCATGAAACAGAAGTTAGTCATTTTTTTCGTAGCAAGTATCGTTAAGGGCTGAGCTTTCAGAAAATACTTAATAAAGGATTAGATGGTGTTTTACAACTTCAGCCTCTAGGGAAAATGAAAGGATGTCTGTCTATAGACAGCCTTATGACACGATTACCTTGAGCTGGGATATTCACTATAGTTTCTCATCCTTAGTCTTTATCACAAACACATTGAGCTTTCCCTCTGCAAGTTAGCCTTTTGTACCAGTGCTGTTAAGGTGTCTCATTTAGATAATCCTGAGTCTCCAGAAAAGCCTTTATTTCCTCTTGCTTTGCCCTTATGAAATGTAAACTACTGCTGAGGGGCAGACTGGTCCTGCCAGAGCAGTTGTGTCAGAAGGTTGTGCAGGGAGCACCTCGGCCTCTTAACAGGAAGTATAACAGTTGGAGAAGAAGAAACGTCTTTGAAAGTTATATGCCACTATGGGGAAATAATTGGCTAATTAGTATTTATCACATTGTTCTCTGAAATTTTGAAACTGCTTCCCCCCCTTCAAAATAGTCCTCCTCCACTATATCTAATTAACACAAATTAATCTTTTAATCTTTCCATGTGCCACCCACCTCCTGAGCATATCTTTATTATTTCAGAGTTCTTCAGGTTTATTAAATGCCACTCCAAATGGAGTAAGGTTGTTTTTTCTGCTTCCCACAGCTTGCTTGACGCTCATTACCAATGTTAAATGAAATCGAGGACTCACTAAGTGTTTCCTTCCTGTTTTTCTCCCTGGAGCGTAGAAATGGATGACTCATGGTACTTAGCAGCTTAAAAATAATCTTTCTGAGATTTTTAGCCACTCATTAAGTCCTGACCACAATAGCATGTATTCTCAGATACAGAGTCTGCATCACTGAGGTTTGAGGTGCTGCAGGTGAGGTTAGGAAGCCTGTGTTGTCTTGCCAGAAATGTTCAACTTCAAGAAGTATTAGGGACCTAAACAGAAACTTTCTCCTGAGGTAAAAAGGCAAACTATCCTATTAGAAAGGCAAAACATTATTTGTGCAACTGTTCACAGAGATTATCTACTCTTGCTGCAGGACCTAAACCTTCTTAACATTCTGGTTTTCTAGAGAACACTAATAACTTTGACCTCATAATTACTACTTGAGGAGAAATCCTCTATGATTGGATTCCTGCTGTCCTGAGATGTCAGAGTTCTTCATGTTATGGTAGAAGACAGCAAGTCAAAGTGGAATGGATCTCAAAAAACCCACTTGATTCTGTTCCCTAAGCATGTCTGTGGCTGGTGCACAGGCTGATTTGTTCTTAATGGGTATTTTTCTGTGCTGAAATATTTCTAGCAAAGAACACTTGATAACTTCCCAGAAAGTCTCTTCCAAGAAGCGGCAGAGGCAGCCTTTATAGCACAGTCACAGCTTTTCTGTGTTCTTATTGAAGCTACTAAACAAAAAACATGTATGGAAATTCAGGGGGTTTTCATCCAACTGTAGCATCACTGAAGAATTGCACTGCTGTCTCTGGAGCCTTTCCATCATGAGCTGCCTGCCCTTGGAGTGTGTCTGATTGGTGACGAAAAATGGTCTCTGTGATGGCAACCTGCTGTAGATTTTAGCCCCAGCCTGGCATGCTGAGAGGAATTGTCATAGTGTGGAGGGGAAAGGCTCAACCCACATTTGATTCAAAAAAAAACTGTCCTCTCTTCTCTGTGCTAAAATCTCCTCTGTACCGTTTCTGCCGCTTATTTACCTTATTCACTTGCTTGCATTTTCAGTGTGAACCAAGTGCATGCTAACTGTTGTCTCTTGCTTTCTCTGCCTCTGGCAGCCTGCTGCAGAAGCAGCATTCAGTAGTTGTCGTAGTAAGTTTGCATCTTGCAGAGCGTGTTTGTATGCTGCTTTTCATCCCTAACTCATTTAATCATTTCTTTATACCTGCCACTACCTACACATAACGACCAAAGCTATGACTCCAGTTTATGGATTAGGTACACAGATTCTCATCTGCCTCAATGTAACATTCGTTCATCAACTTAGAATTAACTTCCTGAGTCCATTCTCCACAAGCAAAGCAATTTAAGTTTGCTCAGTGAGGCTCCAGCTATTTCATGTGCTTCAAACTTTGATTGAGAGCTTTGTTTGAACACCACTGATTGCAGTTCTGGGAGCTCTACGTGATCAGCCCTCTGGACCTGTGGATTTCTGAAGAGAGATTTATTCTTGCTAAAAGGAGCAGAGTACAGACAGTGGCATTACAATTGTTCAGGACTCCTGCTCACCAATGGTTTTGTTTCCATAGAAACAATCTTACAGCAGTGGGAAACTTGCTCATCTTGTAGTCATAAAAATATTTGTCTAAAAATACATTAAGTGTAAGGGTTCTTGAAGGGACCTGTTAAAGTCTCTGAAGCTCTTAAAAAGAATAATAGTTGATAAAAGTCTGAACTTGACTTTTGATCTTGGAAGTAAAATTTTTCTTCTGGTGTTTTCCTAGGATTTACATACAGCTTTCCTCCTTTTCATAAACAAGTATTTCATGTCCTGCCACTCTGAAATGCCGTTAGTTGTGGTAAGGAAAATAGTTCCTCAGCTCTGCTGTGAGATGAGGCTTAGAGGCCTGCTCTGAGGCAAAATGTGCATTACGGAATGCAAGAGGCCATGACCTCTTGTGATCACGTGTTTGCCCTCCATCTGGGAGAAGCCCCCCCAGCTTTGTGGCTCCAATTGGCTGCCAGCTGTGCTGCCATCTCTCCTTTGACCAGATGTGGTGCTGGCTGTGCCTTTCTGCTCAGCACAGCAGTCCAGCAGGTAACTGTGTCCTCCTATAAATCTTCTGGAGTATCTAATGAGGACTGGAGGGAGCCTTGGCTAGAAGAGAGCAGTAGTGGTGAGAGGGAAGGCTAGCTTGGGGCATAGCAGAGGGGCTGTGGATGCTTCCAGTTTTTTCAGGTTTTTTGACCAAACTTGGATCAGTGGAAGGGTAGATTAATTTTGCTGGGGAGCCATGTCTTGAATTCTCTTGGGGGAGAACATGAAGGAAATTTATTCATAGGTTTTTCTGAAACTTGTCCATTGGAAAAGAATGTTGGGACATGGGAAGATGCACAGCAGGAAAAGATAGGAGTGCTGTTGAAGGATTTGCAGAAAAACATAGGGGATACCATTTTCTGAGCTCCAATATCAGATAACTCAGCAAAGCCAAACTTTCAGAAGCTTTCCATACTGTATTTCCTTCTGTCTGATTTGGACGCAGAAAGGAAGCTGAGAAATGGCACTGAAAAACTTCCAAGAGGCAGTGGTATTGGAAATGCCCTTCAGGTGTCCATACTTAACGAGAAAAGAGGTAATCCTGGTTTTCTGTTGACAAAACCCTGCAGAAGTGTACGTTATGTTTTCATAAAACAAAATCCTAGATGATTTTGAATGGACAGTGAGTAACACAATAGATATGAAGACCGATAGGATATTTATTTCTAACAAAATAAGCAGTGCACAGGCTTCGTGGTCAGAATTCCTTTTTCTTTTAAAGGAACGGTGTGACTTCTGGGATGCAAAGCTAATTAATGATGTCTCTACTGAACTAAAGAAATAATCATAGATAGCACTTGAAGGTCTGTAGGGGAATGAACAAAAAGTTCATTACATCACCCGGTTTCTTGGGAACAGTTTTGATTCTGCAGATTAGCAGCCTTCACCTCACAGTTGTTAAGTCAGCACTGTGCAGAAAATAAGGCATAATGTGAGTAGATCCAGAGTTATTTTCAAGATCAACTTTGTTGTTAGTCAGCACCTTAGGTCTGTAATTAATAGCCAGTAGCTAATCTTTGAGGTACCAGGCTTGTTACAAGCTCTGGAACGTTTGATTTGAGTCTGTAGGTGTGAATTGAGATTGTTTTATAGAAAATGAGAGAGGACCGAAGTGAAGAAATCTGACCATGTGTTGATTTGGTCTGACTTCCTAAATTAATTAGTGTACAGGCTGCACAGCTGAAACTTGGCATCTGTTGTTTGAGCACTGTTGAGATGGAGTCTAATCCTTTACTAATCTCTTGTGCTTTACTAGATCTGTTTGATCTCAGCAGAAGCAAGGCTGCTATCTGTGTAAATTAGAAACTGGGATTATATGACCAATTATTATTGCACCTAGCGTCATCCCATCTGCAGGAATAGACAGGTTTAGTTAAAGTTGCTTTCTTGGAAAGAAGGAGCAAACAGATTCATTTTCCTTGCAAAATACAACATGTATGTTAACTCAGTAGCTTACAGCTTGCACCCACAGAGTTAGGAGAAGGATGGAGGCTGCATGCAATTAAATGAAACTAAGACAGTTGGTCTTTCTGCAGGGCTTCATTATGCGCATGGAGTCTCATAGGAATGCCCTTCTGTGTGCTGTACAGTACAAGTAGATGTAACCAGGAGCACCATCGCTTAAATATTAATAGAAACTTGATAATGTGCTGCTGCCCCAGGTCTCCACTGGGGAGCAGATTGTGTTTCCAGCATCATTTCTGTTCCATCAGAAATTGCCTGTGTACTTCTGTAAACTTTCTTCTGCTTGACCCCTAAATCAAGCGCTGCATCTAAGGGAGGTAGTTAATAAGGCTTTTGGAACAGCTGCGTAATAAATACGGAGTGTCAGATTCTCAAAATAATGACACCATTTTGTTCATGAGTGCCTGTGTGTGGGTGCGTGATTTGTGTATCTGCATATGGCCATGAGAGCTTTCAGGGAAGAAAGAAAAGTCTTTGTTAAGGACTTAGAGAGGAACTCCGTAACTTGGAGCAGTTGTAGAAGACAGTATGTAATTTTCATAGAATGAATCATAGAATGGTTTGGGTTGGAAGTCACCCTTAAGATCATCTACTTCCAATCCCCTGCTATAGGGAGGGACACATCCCTCTAGACCAGGCTGCTCAAAGCCCCATCCAGCCTGGCCTTGAATGCTTCCAGGGAGGGGGGCATTCATAACCTTGCTGGACAACTTGTCCATTGTCAAACCATCTTCACCTCTGAAGCCTATCCAGGTCCCTCTGAATAGCATCTTTTCCCTCTAGCATGTCAACTGCACCACGCTGCTTAGTGTCTGTCATATGCAAACTTGCTGAGGGTGCACTCAGTCTCACTGTCCATGTTGCCTACAAAGATGTTAAATAACACCGATCCCTGAGGAATGCCACTCATCAATGCGTCTCCACTTGGCCACTGAGCCATTGACTGCAACTTTCTGAGTGCAACCATCCAGCCAGTTCCTTATCCAGCGAATGCTCCATCCATCAAATCCATTTTTCTCCAGCTTGTCAACCAGGATGTCATGCAGGACAGCATCAGACACTTTGCAGAAGTCGGGGTAGATGACATCACTTGCTCTTCCTTATCTACTGATGCCGTAACTCCATCATAGAAGGCTACCAAATTTGTCAGGCATGACTTGCCCTTGGTGAAGCCATGCTGGTTACCACCAATCACCTCATCCTTATTTTCTGTGTGTCTTAGTTGGGCATTCAGGAGGATCTGCTCCATGATCTTGCCATGCACAGAGGTGACACTGGCTGGCCTGTAGTTACTTGGTGTTCATGATGTGAACCTCCCTCTTCTCTGGCTCCTGCTGCTTTTGGGTGGACTTACAGCCCTGATTTGGTTTCTGTTGCACTTTCAGTATGGGTTTAGGTAACAGCTTTCCTTATTGCTGGTCACTGTTCTTTGTGCTGCTCTTGATTTCCCTGTGTGCTGTAATCCTCCTTTTTTACATTTGCTGTAGGTGACATCAGTTATTCTCAGGATTTCACTGGAGAGCTGTCCATGTAACATTAATAACATTCCCTTCAGCTATATTTCAGTTTCTTTGAATCCATCAGAGTCAGCAAGCATTCATGACAACTGATGACCTCCGTTAGGGTGTCTGTTCTGTTTTCCCTATCAGTCATCAAGCTGGGTCTGAAAACCCTCTTCACTGAAAGCATGGAGGAGCACTCCTTTACTGCACATTTTCTGTTGACAAACAGATCTTTGAGATGTAGCAAAGGCAGTTCTGGCTCCCCTTACTGTGCACTTTACTGATGTTCTCTGTTGCTAAATTTAATGGCGTGAGACTTTCTGTAGAAACGCGTGGGTTAGCCATACTCTTCCTTCCTCCTCTGTAAATTCTTAAGCTCTTCTGAAATTGAGGGATTTCCTTGGCATGGATACACTCCAGCATGTATTTTGTGTTGTGTGTTCCCCCTGGGCTGTCGTCTTGCTGAGTGAATATGGAGGCTCATCCTCTGTATAGGAATCATTCTCCAGCTGCATCCAAGCAGCACGTGGGAAGGTGCTGGAGGCTCTCTATGTTCCTCATTGAGTGTAATGGAAACTCCTTTATCTAGCATACAATCCAAAAGCTTTGCATTACGTATTTTCTTCTATCATTACTCTTGAGGTTGAAAAGGTCAGATTTATGCAAACAGATGGAAAAATGCTGATGGAAATATGTTATAAAGAGCCTAGAAGCTGTCTGTCCTACTGCAGTTTTCTGCTCTTCCTCACCCACCCTGCATATCTCTTCAGCCTCAGTGCTGCTGACCTGCAGGAGCCACCTGAACCCAGGGGCTTCTTGAGCTTGCTTGTAAACCAGGAGAAGGCGCAGCCTTTCTCTGGAGTGGGGGAAGGAGTTGGGAGTCCATCAGTGCATTAAGCCTCACTGTTGTTTGGGAGAAGTTTGAGATGATTCTGTAAGTTGTGTGGCTTTGAAAATGACAATTTAGCTGTTTTTCAGCAGTTTTTGGAAAACCTGATAGATGCACTGCTCTGACTGTGCTTGTCAGCCAGGATGTAGCGCATCCTTGCCAGCAGAGCTTGACTTGGCTTTTTTGTATTTGTCTTGTGAGATTATGGATCATGTCTCTATGGCTGTGGTGCTATCAGCTCTATCTTGACATTACCTGTGCTCCCTTCAGTGCTCTACTCCTTGCTGGCTCTGTCATCTTTGGGAAGAAGAGCTGTGAACTGAACGTGTTGGGTGGTGCAGCAGGCTGGGGGACAGAAATAGAATCAAGAATAAGAGGCTGGAACAGGACTAATAGCAGACAAGAGCCCTGTTCTATCTTTCTGCTTCTGGAAATCATTCTCTTACCTCCTACTTTAGCAGCTCAATCCAGCAGAATGTAGGCACTCCATTCTGCATGACTTATCCAGTTGAAATGATCAACACATCACTGGCTTAACACTTAACCTCTGATTGTTAATATGTTTAAATACTGCTCCTTTCAGTTTCATCTAGGAGGCATGTCCATAAAAAAATCAAAAGTAATCTCACATGCTAATACATGGAGAGCTGTACCGGTGTGATCATCACTGGGTTTCTTCCTGGCTCCTGAGTTTTGATTTTTTTTTTCCTTTTATTTGTTTGCTTCTCTGTTGATTTCAGGTATCTTGGAGTTTTTTCATCATCAGCTGAAGGACATAGTTGAATACGCAGAGCTGAAGACTGTCTGTTTCCAGAATTTGCGGGAAGTGGGAAATGCTGTCCTGTTTTGCCTGCTTATTGAGCAGAGCCTGGTAGGTGCCTGCTGTGCTGGTTTAAAACCCTGCTGTGTCTCCAAATGTACTCTCAAATTTGTGTTACTGATGGCACAAATAACAAGGTTGAAATCTGCAGGATTGCTGTTGTGGATGGACAGATAGGTAGAAACAATTTTCTATGCTGATCTCTTGGTCTTGATGCTTTTGGGTGCTCACAGAGGGAAAGATGGACATTGCTTATGAGCAATGAAAGCAACAAGAGTGGTGTTTTCTTTTTCTTTAGCTGTGTTGCCCATTCTAGGTGAGGAGAGATTCCCCACCTGTGCATGTAGGTACTGAGGCTGGGCTGTCCATCAAGGAGGGATCTTTGCTGACTGCCAACCAACCCAACATTAGCTCACTCAGTAAGCTGGCTGTGTACAAGCATAAATCCTCATGTAAGAGTCCTTCTCTCAGGTGTTTAAAACTGTTAATGTTAGCTGAGATCATGAAGCCATACTGTTCCTCAGGAGACCTGTTCAGAGTTAGAGCATCCCTCTCTAGGGACAGAGAGTAACGGGAGGGCCAGGTGAAACCATATCTTTGTGATGGAGTAACTGTCACAGTGGAGAGAAACTGGATTCCTAGAGTGGGCTTCAGGTTAATAGGGCACGAGGTGAGAGGCCAGACAGGTGAAGGCCCTGCTGCTGCCTGGGAGAATTGGCTGAGGGTGCACTGAAGTGACCGGTGCTGAAGTCACATTCAGTGGGACATGACCTTAAAGGCACTTTCTAGTAACACACCCCTGCTTGCTGCACCTCCTCTTGGTTTTGCTCTCAGTGATGCCCTGATGTCCTATCAGTATTCCAGTGTTATTCCACTGTGGTCATCTACCATAACTAGTGCAAAATTTAGGGTCTTTGGTGCATCTCTGCTAGTGGCTGAATCTTGTTAATCTTTACTGCATGGCATGTCCATTTTTGTGTTGTTGACATCGAGGATTAGAGCTAGGAAAGGCACATAGCCAGAGTACCCTGGCCTTGCTAGGGCTATGGCTGATGAACATCTAATACTAGCATTGAGGACTGCAAATAGGTAGATCCTCTGCTCCAAGAAAGAGACATGCACAGCAAAGCCGTATGTCATCTGCTGGTCATCTCTGCATGTACAGCAACCAAAAAGCAGGAGGCATCTCTCTTCCTTCCCCATATCGCTGAAGAAGTCAAGCAGCTCCTGGGAGGTGTCTCAGCCTGCCTTATTGGGAGCCGTGCCCAACGTGATAATGTGTTGTGGGAACAGTGCTGGTAAAAATAGCTGAGCTGTGCGTCATCCATCACAGCTCTGTTTGTCTGCTCAGGATCCGTCTGCCACTTTCACACCGAAATTACTCATCCTGAATTAGTCTTTTTAATAAATATCCTGTCCTTTAAGAACTGCCAGCTCAGGGTGGGAGGAGAGCTGCTGATCGCTTTGTCAATCCAAGGTAACCTGGTGAAATCATATAGTCTTTGGAAGTATTTCTGTGAAGAGAGCACCAGAGCAGTAATGTGTGCAGCTTTGACAGCAGAGGCTGGCTGCCCTCTGCTGTTCCAGCATCAGCATACTTTTGGAAGCCCAGTTTTTGTATTTGGTGTGGTCTGGAGACTCTTTATTCCTAACTGCCTCCTTTCCATTTTGTTCCAGTCCCTAGAGGAAGTGTGTGACCTGTTGCATGCAGCACCATTCCAAAACATCCTGCCGAGAGTTCACGTCAAAGGTACGGAATGAAAACACCCCGTTTGGGCAGTGCTTTCTGCTTTCCTTACATACTGCTGCACTGCTGGTGGTCACTTCCAGTCCTTTACAACACTGCTGTTACATTTATGGTAGAGGTAACTGACTCAAGCCTGGTTGTCCAGCTGAAAAATAAATTCTTGGCGAGTTGCAGTGCAAGCTACAAGAGGGAGATGAGGAATACTGTGTCAGAGATGAGTGGGGTATTTGGGGCTGTAGTAATGCCTCAATGTGGGTAAGGTGAGAGGCTTTTTTGAAACTACTGTCTAATGTACATAGCTGTCAATCACAGTGAGGTATAAGAAGCCTGGGAGCAAATAAAGTAAATGCAAGCAGTTCTTGTAAACTTTTCATGTTTGTTTTCTATTTATTTATTTATTTTTTTTTCTACTACATTGATACACACTGAGTGTTTTTAGGATTGCTTTCTTGAGTATCCCCTTTTCTTATCCATAACTGTTAGGAAATGAGCTTTTTTCCCCTTGCTCTTCTGCTTCTCTCCAGGCTGCTCTTTTGTCTCATCTCTTCTGTTTCTCATTGCCAGAGCAGATGATCTGTTCTGCTCAGAGAAATCCCATCAGCTAAAAATCTTTCAGGATAGTTTCAGATTCTTGCATCTCTCTACATAAAGCAAACCATTTGTTAGACCATTGTAAACAGTATTTCCCACTTGCCAGAGAATATTTCCTCCTTGCCAGTGACGAGGGAGTGCCAAGTGGTTTTTTTAAGCCTTACTATACACAGAATTCCACCCTCATTATAACCCACCTTCTACAGTCAGGCAATTTAGTTGGTTAGTACAAGTGGGAGTCAAATATGTTAGCAGCAGCAGCATCACAGAGCCTTACTTTCTGTCTTGAATCTAGTAATGCATTAAACGTACACTATAAATACTTGGTGTTTTTTTGTTTGGACGTACCAATCTACAATTTAAAATATGTATTTTTTTCTAAAACCACATTGAAGGTTAACCAACTGTTTGGGGATGAACTGGCCTACAAAAATAAAAACGTATTCAGCTTCCTACTGCACTGAATAAATTGCCAGATATCAATCAAACGAATCAGATGAATCAATGCTTCTTTTATTTTTCTTTCAGAGGGTGAAAGGCTTGATGCTAAAATGAAGAGACTTGAATCAAAATATGCTCCGTTACACTTGGTCCCTCTCATTGAAAGACTGGGAACACCGCAGGTAATCTTGCTCTTATTTCTGTCTGAGGCAATTCAGGACATTTCTGGGCACTCAGAAGCCTGTTCTTTGACACAGTGCAGATAGCTGTGGCAGGAATTCAACCCGCACACCCAGCTTGCTCACATAACAGGAATTGTATTAGATGCATGGATTTGGTAAAGCTGTCGTAGCCCAGAAGTTTAAAATATTTCAGATGAGTGGAGGTGACAGGTTTGGAGGAACATTGTATTATTCATGTACGTTGCTACGTAATACATGCTCAGTGTACAGGCCAGGCTGTGAGCTGCTAATGCAAATTCAACCCACTGTGTTCCATTTTAATGTATGTAATTTTCTTAAAACAATTTCTTCCTCTTTCAGCCAGTAAATTAGAAAGCCACTGAAAATGAGTGGACATTTGAGTTGAGTTCTCCAGGCAAGCTGATGACCAAGGAGGATATTATTTTTCCACTGCCTTTGTAACTTCAGCACTGTTTTTCTGTCACTGTGGGGGCACAGTAATACTCTGTGAACTGTAGTGGTTTACAAGCCATTGAGACGTGAACTGTGTAGAGCAGAATGCTCTGAAGCAAAGCCTTCAGACTGTTTTATTGTAATGCACAGTGGTGGGTGCTGCTGTGCTGCAGAAGAGAGCAGTCAGTGTGATGGTGTAAGTGGGACAAGCACTGGCGTGATATTGCCATTTTTTGGTTATATCCGAGTCCATTTCTACTGTCCTTGAAGCTTTCTCATCTCTAGCAGCTGCAGCTGCTGCAGCCTGTACTAGCAGCAGGCCACTGAACGCTCTTCTGGCTTTCTACATCCACCCATGCAGGCAAAAACCCTTTAAAACTTCCTCAGAACAGGTTCAGAACTAGCATTACTGCATTAGCATTGCTCACTGTGGCAGCGCAGTACACATTTATTTGAAAGGGCCCTTAGATTTTTCTGAGTGCTTTTCCACTGAAGTGAACTCTGACTTCAATTCAAGGACAAGAGAAGCTTCTAGAATAAACCAAGTGAAACTGAATTATGATTGCTTTTTTTTTTTTTTTTAAGCTCCTATTACATGTTTTCCAATGACTGTACTCCAAAGCAGAGCACAGTGTGGGAACTGGATATTTATGTGAACACTGAGCTATTAGCTCAGGATGGTACTTTTCTAGAAGCATAGAATCACAGAATTGCTCAGGTTGAAAAAGACCTTAAAGATCATCGAATCCAACCACAACCTAGCCATACTACTCTAACTCCAACAACCCTCCGCTAGATCATGTCCCTGAGCACCACATTCAAACGGATTTTAAACACATCCAGGGATGGTGACTCAAGCACCTCCCTGGGGAGCCTATTCCAGTGCTTAACAACCCTTTCTGTAAAGAAGTGTTTCCTGATATCCACCCTAAACTTACCCTGGTGCAACTTGAGGCCATTTCCCCTCGTCCTGTCACCTGTCACCAGTGAGAAGAGACCAACCCTGCTCTCGCTGTAAGCACCTTTCAGATACTGGAAGAGAGCAATAACATCCCCCCTCAGCCTTTTCCCCAGACTAAAGAGCCCCAGTTCCTTCAGTAATTCAGTGTGAAGTAAGTTGTGTGGAAGAAGTCCTGTAAACTGAGTGCTTTGTGTGCAATTTCTTTCCTCAGCAAATAGCAATCGCAAGGGAAGGTGACTTGCTGACCAAGGAACGCCTCTGCTGCGGCCTGTCCATGTTTGAGGTTATCTTGACAAGGATCCGATCCTTCCTGGACGATCCCATCTGGCGTGGGCCCCTACCCAGCAATGGGGTGATGCACGTGGATGAGTGTGTAGAATTCCACCGCCTCTGGAGTGCAATGCAGTTCGTCTACTGCATCCCCGTGGGAACGCATGAGTTCACTGTGGAGTACGTATGGGCAGCTGCCGGCGGTGCACCTGCGCCAACAGCCCTTCCTTTGTTCCTTCTGCACTGGGGGGGCTGCGAGGCACCAAACAGAGGGATTTGTTTGTGTGTCTGCTTACTGCAAAGCCAAGGGAAGTGCGATCGCCGGGAGGGGCTTGTGAACGCACGAACACAGAGATGATTGTATCTTTAAAGAAAATAACCCTCTATTTTAAGTACTGGCAGTGTAGAATGAATGATCCCATGACAAGCAGGCCCTAGCACATGTTGTCCAGTGGTAGCCTTACCATTACAGATGCTGAATGCAAATAAAATAGCTGGACATGTGTGCGTGTTCCTAGCCTGTATTTTCTCATCTGACTCCTCTCTGCAAGAATGAGCATTTGAAAGTTAACACGTTAATACGGTTCTTGGGTTTGGTAATTTGTGCATATCCATATTTTGAAAAACTGCTGCTGTTGAGTGCTTTTCATTGATCAGCTCTGGGGCAAATGACATATTTGCTTCCTTTCCTGTCTGCAGCCCAACGCAGAGTAACAGTGTTGAATTCCCCCTTTGTTTTCTTTGAAAATGAAATGTATGCTGCTAGAGCTGAAGTGGGGGAGGGGTAAATGTCCTTGAAGTAACTAACTGTAAGTTGTAGGAAAGCAGAAAGTAGAGGCTTCCTTTTTTTTGTGTCTGTTAAGCATTCATTTGCATCACTTGTGGTACCTGGAAAGTGAAATTGATTTACTAGACTTCACAGAATTTTCTAGATTCATGTCTGTCGTATTCTGGAGTTATTTAGTATGTATTTTAGTATAATGGCTGATTCCTAAACATTTCCTGTAGCTGTGTTTGAAGGCTCTTGGTTTCTATTTCAGGCAGTGCTTTGGAGATGGCCTGCACTGGGCTGGCTGCATGATCATTGTGCTCTTGGGACAGCAGCGTCGCTTTGATGTGTTGGATTTCTGCTACCACCTGCTGAAAGTCCAAAAGCACGATGGCAAAGATGAGGTTATAAAGAATGTGGTATGTTGAAAATACTTGTTCCTTCTTAATTCACTAGAACAAACAAAAAAATCAGAGCTGTTTGTATTCAGGTGCTTTGCAGATATACCAATCACTTTTTGGAATGAAATGTTTAAAACGAGAGTACAAAAGATTAGATGCTGAGACTGGAGCCTGAAGGCTGTAATTACTTGGCTGTACAGGATTTTCTGAACGCTGCTCATCTCCTACGCTTGCACTTAGGTTATGATTACATGAAGGCAGTTGTAAATTGCCTTTTTTGTACAAAAAGCTGCAGTGTCAGAAACCAGAATGCACCTTGGATTTCTTGATTGCATTACCAGTAATGAGGAAACGTTTGTAACGAAGTGACATCACAGCATTTGGTGCTTTTCATCTCCAGAGCTAATTGTTGGTTTTTTTTCATTTTTGCAGCCTTTGAAGAAAATGGTTGAAAGAATTCGCAAGTTCCAGATTTTGAATGATGAAATAATTGCTATTTTGGACAAGTATCTGAAGTCTGGAGATGGAGAGAGCACACCCGTGGAACACGTGCGCTGCTTCCAGCCGCCCATTCACCAGTCCCTTGCCAGCAACTAGATTTCCTCCCTAACGATACTTTTTGCACCTGTTTAGGCTAAAAGTATGAGAAAGGAGAAAAACAAAATGCCAGCAGGTTGAAAAAATCCTTTTATCTGCCCTTTTCAGTCCGCCTGTGCCATCTGAGTGGTGCACTGTCTTTTTCAGTCTCCAAGCACAGTAACTGTATACAATCCATACTTATTTTTCTAGACTAAAATTTTATATACTTTGATTAAAAGCCTGCAGCTGTAGAGGGTTTGTTCTTGCAATCTCTTTGCATTCCTTTTCTGAGGTGGCCATCTTAGACCAGATCAGAATAAACATTCCCTCAAGCTATCAAAATAACAGCTGTGGAGGGTAAGAAACTGGGTTCTGTAGAAAGATTTAGAAACCAATGCCTAATTGTATTAGAGCATTAATTGCTTAATTAGCCTTTATTAAAAAAACAACAACAACAACCAATTCTGCAGCTGCTTTGTGAATAACTGATTTTTTTAGTTGACTGTTCTTTCTCTACACAAAACTATTCTCTGTGATCAGTAATTATGGAAATGAAGGCTAACTATAGGGACTGCTCTACAGTTACTTAAGATGGAGGTGACTGATAGTACTCCTGGTATTTCTAAGTGGTAGAACTTTAACTGATTAGAATGAGATCTCTACATTTTCCTAGTAAGAGCTTCTTCCCCACCTTGTATTTTGGTTGGAGATACAAACGTGTTTACAAGTGATAAGGAGTTCTTTTTCTCCTTGAGGAAGGAGAAAAAAAATGAGCTAAAATTCCTCACAAAACAAAAGACAGAGATTTGCCAAGCAGTCTGCAAGTAAATTTACTCTGATGCAGGTTTTCCCAGACTGTCTGTGTTTGAGATCCACTGTTCTGTCAAGTAGGCACACATGGCTGCCATGGTGTGTGGGAGATGCTAGTGCTTGATTCAAGCATTTGTTCTTCTAGATAAAGAAATGTTTCTTAAAGAAAACTTTTTTTCCACAGTGGAGTGCCAGGAAGCCTACTAGTCAGTCAAACATTCCCCTCTGCTTCAGGCTTCACTAAGGAATTAAAGAAATGCTTAATTTCCTGAGATCATTACTGGTTTAGAGCTAAGTCTCATATACCTGAGGCTTCATCTTAGCCCTGTGCTACATAAACAGTTAAGTAATAGAGCCTGGTTTTTGGCTTAAGAACTCTGTAAAAATAACTAATTGTGGTGTGATTAAAGTAAATTATAATTCTCACTGGTTAACTAGCAGCATTAGGTGAACTGATCTCTAACATGTTAGAAATACTAGTATTAGTATGGATTTAGGATGACATTTTCCCTTAATATGTTTAAGAGAATTTCAGAGATTACTTCTCTGTTAGTTTCACATTTTCAAACATGGCTTATTATTTCTTCAACCAGATTTAAGTAAGTATTTAAAAAAAAACCCACCACCTTCTTCACTTAGTATAACTGCTTGCCTTGAAGTGAAAAAAGAAAGTGCACAAAAGGCATAACTGTCTTATTTTAAATTATCAAACACAATGGATCTGGAATCCAAAGCATCTATTACAATATAATGTAAAGTGTTACATGAAATTTTAGCCTGTTGCTCAGTAAGTCAGGCTGCTGTTTTGGTACTGGAAGTGGTAGCCAGCAGTCTGGTGCTACTGCTGCACAACCTGCAGTTTTTAGGGTCTTTGAAGGGCCATGCTCTGTACCTGAACAGTGGAGATGTGATGCTCCTTAAAACCAGACATAAATTCAAATCCTGTTCTTCACCCAGGATTTCAAGGACCTTTTTTCTTGTTTGGCATCTTGGTGCCTCCTCCACATAGTCAGTTTCACAGGAGGGAGTTGCTTGATTTCTGTCCTGGTAATAAACTGTACTCCTTAAGATTAAGCACTGAAAACTGACAAAATGAGAGCAGTAAACAGTTGGCTCTAGTCTTCCCCATCTACAGGAGGAATGCTGTTATAAAACTGCATCACTAATACTTACTTTCTGCCTTTGTGAATTTACTTAAAAAAAATTACCACCAGAGCACTATCTAAGCAGTGACATTTTGGATTTGTTTTTTTTTCTGGTCCACTTCCTGAAGTACTGAGAGAGGCAGCAACTGCGTTACTGCAAGCAGAACTACAGTTCAGTGATTAGGATTGGTTTGTTGATGCAAATCCTCCAGGTCTAACAAAGCTTTAGGTAAGCAGGACTTTCAAAGGATTACTGCTGCTTGGTTGTAGCTTTCTTCTGTCAAAGACTGGGACAGCTCCCACTGCAGTAAAATGTTACAGCCATTCAGCAGTCATTTGGGGCACGAGTACAAAGGATTCAGGCTCACTGCAATCCGTTTACCACCAATGCAGAAATAAAGCCATTTATTTTGGATAAAACTGTCATTAGTGCAATACATCTTGAAACAGAAAAGGGAAATGAAAGTATTTACATAACTTAAGCAACAACACCAACTGTGGTCTGAGGTCATTTTAGTATTTTCGTAAAGTAAAAATAAGGCAAATTAAAACCCCCTTCAGTGTTTGTGATCCAAACTAATCAAACTTAAAGATTGTCTACCCACACTGTTAAAGAAGTACATGAGGTTCCAGACAAGCTCAGACATTTCACAGCAGGAAAAAAAAATAATCCAGAGTTACAGAATTGTTCTTCTCTTATTTAACAAGTAGATGTTTTCAGAACGCTGACAGACTTCCATTTCTCCTGGATGAGAGACTCTCTGTGGATTGTATTTCACTTACACAGGTAGAACTTTCTTCATCGTGATTGAAGCAGTCATACGTGCTCAGCAAAGACCCATTTGCTGCTCTGTCATCTTTTCGCAAGGAAACGGGCAAATTTGCTAGGGTGAAATTAACATCTTTGAAGGCATGCAATAAAAAGATCCCCACGATAATAGTAAGGAAGCCACTGAAGGTGCCAATAATATCATCAGCCGCCATGTGTTGCCATTCCTTGAACAGGATAGCAGAACAAGTTAAAACAGACGTCGTAAAGATTACATAGTAGATTGGAGTCACTATTGAAGTGTTGAATATATCCAGAGCCCTGTTCAAGTAGTTGATCTGCGTGCTCACACAGACAGTAAGGCTTAGCAGCAGAATCCAAGACAAGGGTCGTTTCAGCACTGGTTTTCCTGCAAAAAGTTCCTTTATAGCAATGCCCAGACCTTTTACACAGGAGACTGATAATGCTCCGATCACAGAGCAAATTGTGATGTACACAAGAATGTTGGTCTGTCCATGGCGAGGTCCCACCACAACTATTAGAATTAAAGACACAATGACAACAACTGTTGCGAAGACCACAAAACCTGCGTTTGGGGAGAAAAGGCATCTTGTTATTTATGTATTCTATCAAACATCTTAGGGGTAACAAGAAAAAAGGCATTAATAAGGCGATTGACTCAGCTTAAACAGAAAAGATAGCAAGTTTCTCGTTACTCCACCAACACTGAAGTTAAAATAAATTTAGTGTGACCTTGCTAAAATAATGAAACTTGGGCACATTACATTTACCACTCTGTCAGCCTGAAGACTCCCTATGGAATTACACTGCAGAACCTAAATCTCTACTCCACTGTGACAAGATGAAGCAGACACAGGACATCTATGTGGTATCTGAGGTTGGTAATAAAACTCTCTGCTTAGAAAAGAGTAAGTACACATCTTTCTGTATTAACTACTCAGAAATCAAGCCAGCATTTTTCTTACCCGGATCACGTAGTTTGTTGGACATTTCATCTAAAGTTTCTACTTCTTCCTCTTGTGGAGCATGAATTACCATCACAGTTGATCCAAGTATACTTAGCAAACACCCTATTTTTCCATGTAGATTAAGTTTTTCATTTAAAAAGAAGGATGACAAAATGGCACTAAAAAGAAGAAAAAAAAATGAACAAAACATGCAATTAGTAATATTTATTTGCTCATCAACTTACAGCTTGATTTGACCATACACACCAGTTACATACACAATGTGCACTTTTTGGTGAGCAGGAACACTCTTAATAGCCATAAATCACTTACAGCAATTCCACTGGCTAAGCTTTTATTCAAAATAGTGACATAGTTGATTTTCTATCAAGATACTTGCTGCAGGCAGAACTAACTTGTAGGATTTTGCAGCTCCTTTTTATACTGCCTCCCCTGAACTCTGTATCGAGGCACTTGTAAAGATCACTTTTTAAAAGACAAAAATCTTGAAAATACTCCTGTGTTGTATACAAAGTGTTTTTAAAATGGAGAAGGCGACAGTTTTTCACATATTGACATGCAGACTGCCAGAACCATTTTAAAGCAGTCACTTGGAATTTGGAGAAACTTCAAGTTATTTCTAACATTTATAACCGCTCTTCATTTATAGTTAAGAGCAAACCACATTCATTACAGCATATCTCAGGCACTTATAAATATTTAGCTTCACTCTCTGCAATCACATTGCTTTCTGTTAGTATTTCTTACCTTACAAGAACACTGAGAGCTCCTAGAGGAGTCACTAATGTAGCTGGTGCAAAAGCATAGGCAGCAAAGTTAGCTACTTCGCCTGCTCCCACTGCAGAATAGTAATGATAACAAGAAGTTAGGGTGTCTTATGCAACAAACACGTGAATCCATGTAAGTCTTCTTGCACACATGAACATGCAGTAAGGGAACAAGGGAAGAATCTAATGGTGGTGTTGGGCTAAACAGTACTTGTAGAACACAAAACCTCCATTACTATTTTCAACACAAAACAGACTGGGGGACTACAACAGGCCCTAAAATTAGTTCTGCCAAATTAGAAGGTGCTTTACTTTGGTGTCCATGTTGTATCTCCCCAGCCTGCTTACTGGAATCATGAACTTTCACGTGGAGGTATCTGCAGTGCCAGGCTACAAGGCAAAACACATGCTACAGCATACATTAAGTTACAGTTACTTACTTGAAAGAAGTCCAGCCCACCACAGCCACTCCTTAAGGTATGCATGACCACCTTGACCTGAAAGAGTGTTTGTTACTCCATTAAAAACATACATCAACAAACAGCTAGCTCTGTCACTAATAACACTGCCAAAGCATTTTTGTTTGCTCTTAAAAACACGGGCAGTCTTTATTAGCTCAAGAGACCATATAAAAAAGATAGAGGAATTGAAATCATTGTCAAGCTCTGACATGCTTCTTACAGCCCGCTTTGAAAACTGATTATTTATTTCCTTTTTATTAGAAGTGGCAGTGATGATCATACTGGCTTTACAATGAAAAACAGTTCTTTCAACTCACTGTAACAACACAAAAAGCCAAGTTACAAGTCTCAGAAAAACACTGTGGAAATCAGGTGTGGCTAAGACAATCAACTACATGCATCAATGTGAAATGCAGTCACACTTCCCCATTCCAAACCAGGCACAATGAATTGTGTATCTCACTCAAAACCAACCATCTTTCAGAAGCAGACAGGACTGGCACTGAATTAAAAATATTCAGATTCAACTTTCTGAATGATCTAAGGATTCTGCAACTATCTGCATGCTCATCGCATGCTGCTCTCAAACCAATATTCTATTATAGCTCCAACGCAGTGTAATGATCCCTCATTTCCTTTACAGCCATTGGGGTGTGGGGAAGTGGCTTCTAAAATCTTTAAAACCTTAAGTTGGACCCCTCCTTGCTACAGGCAGAACTCAGACTTGGTCGCTACTAAACACTGCAAACATGAGCCTCATTTAGCAAACACAGAGACAGGCAGAAGGAAAAGAAAGAACCTAGGTAGTCAGAATTTTATTGTTCCAATCAATACGTTGAGAGACTGATGAAAAATCAATTCTCAAAATGGTAACAGCTATACAGAAAGTGATTTAATATTGTTAAATTCAGTTGAACAAAATAAAGCTGAAAACGTATACAAGTGTCTATTAACATGGCTTTTTGTGTTGGTAATATATTAATCCGTAAGTAGAACCGAACACTGTTTAGAATGTTCCTGGCTTTAAAAAGGCAGCAATGAGAGACAAACACTTTCAGTAGCTCCAAATAACAGACAACACTACAGCATATCATTACACGTGACTCTCAGTTTTCTAAAACAATCTCCTGACAAATGCAGTAAAATTCACCCTCTTAGGAGCACAGATGTAGTTAAGAGTGCTGGTTCCAAGCTCAATTTGCAAAATGAATTCAAACCTTACCTAACATGCAAAGGAATAGTTTTATAATTAAGTGTCCCTACAGGGCACTGTATGCAAATCAAGTGGTATGTGTCACACGCTGAGTTAGGTGTATTTGACACCAGAGGGAAAAAACACAACCAAAACACACTGAATAAATGTTTTAGGTTCCATAAACCTAAAAGTAAGGAGATTGTAAATTCAGTGATCTATTAAGCAGTAAAACTGGAATGTCATCAAGCTTCTTAAACATGCATTTACCTGCTCTCATGGAGCCCTTCCTAGCTAATCGGAGAAGGCCTTTCTTTTTCAGGATGAAACTCCCTCCAATAAAGATGCTGGAGCTCATAGCCAACACCAGCCCAATGCAGAAGTCATATCTCCCACGGGCTTGGCTCATCTCGCAAACGTCTGGGGACTGTCACATTGATCAATGAACTGTGGAGCTTCTGTTACTCAACACAAGGTGATGCAATACTGAAACCTGAGCAATACAAACACATGATTAAAATGGTAGAAATGTGTAACATACAGAGGATTCCTCAGCAGTTGGTGTGGCTGGTTCTTCCTGAGAACAGCCTATAGGAAGAAAGAAGCACGTGTAAGCTTGACTCACGGATGAGTGACTAACATCTTTATCTGACCCAGAATATAAAAACGGAAACCCCAAAACATAAAAGCTTCCCAGAAAAGAAAGTAAAAGAAAACAAGTGATGTGATTTATTTTCCTTTTCCTTACGTACACAGACCTGTGAGTTGCACAGCACTTAACTGACAACACCAAACAAGTAATTACTTACATTTAAATTAGTTTGTCAGAGAGCTTGAGAACAGCCACAGCATTTCTTCCACATAAACTCACTAGAAAAAGTGAAAGAAGAGCAGAAAAGGTGTTAAATTAACAGCAATTTGCCTGATACAAATGAGCCTGGATGTAAGCACATGCACTTACCAGCTATAAACAAGGAACAAGAAAAAGCCTCTGTTTGTTGATGCACGTACAAAGAACTTCCCACACCCGTATGAAGCATTTTTCTGCTCAGCTACAGTAACTATGAGCTCTCTGCTAAAAAGCACTCACCCAACCTAAGCCTTAGTTATGTAAGACCTTCAATGACAGCTTAGCAAAAAGTACTAACTAGACTGGACTAGAAATGTAGGTTTTACATATTCATCCTCTAGCTAAGTACGGAAATTCATTTCAGTACATCCTCTCTCCTGTTATGTACTGCAATGAAGATCTCCTGGATTTCATCTACTATGTAAGATTTAAATTTAAGATATCTGTATAAATCCTTTTAAAATGAAAAAACAAAAAACAAACAAAAAAACCCAAAACAAAACCCAACCCAAAGTCCTTTCAAGAAGATTAACGTCTCTCTGGTATGAAGGGAAATGGAAACTATATTTAGGCTTTTATTTTAAGGCTGCTGGTTATTATGAACATTCAGAGAACTGGCTGAAAGGAAGAAAACGCCTACAGATAAAGATAGTTTTATTTCCTGGGAACACCAATCACAGATTTGCATTTATTTCCCCAAGCAATCATTTTCCAGATAATCAAAAGCACTGCACGTGCTGCACATTGTATTAACAGGTTTTTGACTTAAGAGGGAAAGGGAGCAAAGAACAGGAGGGAAAAAAATGTTTCCATTCAGGTGCTCATTAAAGTCATGGAATTCAGATTTCTAATACTGAGAGACAGCAGCAGCCTCCCCATATAGCAGTACAGTGCCAGCATCAAGGCAGTGCAATACCAAGCACCCAGGCTCTGGCAGAGAAAGGCGTACCAATGCAAGCCTTGGACTTGATAAATGCACACTGCAAGTCTCTTAGGCAAGCTCACAGCTCTCACTCCTGCTCTTGTTTCTTTAAATTCATTGTTTTCTTCCAATACCACCTTTCCGTTTATGCTCTTGCTGCCAACTTCCATTAATTCACTACACTCCTAGGGAAACCCAGCAGAGAACCACAGGTAGGTTAACATTAAAAGTGAACACAGCTCCCCTTGTTTGCACTCTGTTAGGCTGCAAAAAAGCAAAGAAAAGCAAACTTATTCCATAAACACTCAACACAGCACTATCCAAAACACTACAAGATCGGCAGTTCAAAAATCTCCAGCCCTCTCTGATTATCCTTGCAGAAGTTTTAGTATCTTCTTTTGTAGGAAAATCTGAAATAAAAGAACTGCGAAGATCTGCTTTAAAAACCAACACAAACAACAAAAAAAACCTCAAGTGGATTCATGCATGATTCAAAGACACCTACCAAACAAAACTCCAACAAAACTCATGAGTGAGAGAGCCAGACAAGTCACCTCCCTAACTATAGCTCCAAATATTTCCTGGCTTTGAATTGCTTCTTCTCCCAGGCAACCAACAGGACCCAGGGAAATGACAACAAGTTGTGCCAGAGGAGGTTTAGGTTAGACATGAGGAAGAACTTTTTCTCTCAGAGAGTAGTCAGGCACTGGAATGGCTGCCCAGGGAGGTGGTGGAGTCACCATCCCTGGCAGTGTTCAAGAGGCGTCTGGAAGAGGAGCTATGAGATATGGTTTGGTAGCTTGTGGTAGCAATGCTAATGGGAGGAATGTTGGACTGGATGATCTTGAAGGTCCTTTCCAACCTTGTGGTTCTATGAATTCAGAAAAAGACCAACAGAAGCTAGTCCAGTTATATTACCAATGAGAGTAATTATATTGGTGTAATTTTTTATTAAAACAGAACTCAAATTGACAAAATCACCTTTCTTTGGAAGAAGAATCTGATTACTTTTTCACATAAATAACTGCTGCTTTTTCCTAAGCTTAGTTGCCCTCACAGATGTAGCCAGTTCAATTCTGGCTTGGATTGCAGCGCCGTACTTTCCTGCACAGTTCACACTGATGTTTACCTTCACTGTCCATTTCTGCAGCAGGATTGTGGCAAACCCAGCTCCTCACTGAAGAGATCTGGCTCACCAGGAGGGAAGGAAGGTTGTTGGTAGTTTTAGTTGGACTTGGCACTGTTCTGCAAAGATTCTTTAACCAAATTCGTAACTGATTTTAACACTGAGTGTATCTGGGAAATACCACAAATAACAAGCAAAGCTGCTGACAAGCTAGAATGAATCACAGAATCATAGAATGGCCTGGGTTGAAAAGGACCACAACGATCATCCAGTTTCAACCCCCTGCTATGCGCAGGGTCGCCAACCACCAGACCAGGCTGCCCAGAGCCACATCCAGCCTGGCCTTGAATGCCTCCAGGGATGGGGCATCCACAGCCTCCTTGGGCAACCTGTTCCAGTGCGTCACCAGCCTAACACAAGGAAACATTTCTTTTTCCTCTTTGCTCAGAAGTCCTTTTCTCTCCACAGGAGCACGGAGCTTAAAAGATGTTAAATATTTATTGTAACAAATTAGCTACATGTTCAGAAACATTAGAAGTGATTTTGTGAGATGAAATAATATTTTACATTTAAAAGCAGATAAGCTTAAGTAAGTATGAGGGAGTTACCAGCCAAAGAAAATTAATTATCACCTCTAATAGTTGTACATTATATGAAAGCAATAATTACAGTCAGTAAAAGTTAACATGGTGGATTGTTCTAACTTTGCCTACTTGGCCACCAGCCCACAAGAGCTAAGTAGACTGTCTTTTCTCTGAGAAATAGCCTGAATATACACTAAAATCTTTGAATGCTAGAATTCTGGATTTCCTCTCCAAAAGCTGATCTTTTTAACTGTGAATGAGATTTTATCACTAAACTAAGGCAGACCTTAACAAGCCATTTACTTCAACCGTACAGCATCATTTAATGCTGCTCCTCACTACAGGCAATTCAAACACTCTTCTCCAAGGAAGATATTTATGAATGAAACTTCATAAACACCACAGGCACGCTTTGATGTTCTGATGTTTGTTAGGAATTCTCTCATTACCTAATGATCTTCATCTAGATCTTCCCTTTGACTAACAAAACCTATCACAAAAGTCCACTCAGGCCTTGGGATAATGTACAACTCCCTCTGTCACTGCAGGTCAGGCGCTTGCTGCCTTCTGCTGTGCTGCCCTCTGGGGCCTCTCTCAACAGCCCATGCTTTTTTCTCAAGCAACAGCAACTCTTGAAGCTGTACACTGTATTTCAGCTGAGATATTATCACTTCCACAATACAGTGGAAGTTTTCTTCCACTCAACCCAAAATGAGTGGTTTTCTTCCTGCACAGCCGGCTTCAACTGTTCCAACAGTGTAACCTCCAAACTCTTTTCTGCAGAACTACTGTTTTCTGAACTGCATTTGTTTAACCAGTTCCACCTGGCTGGGCGTAATAACTTTCATTTACTCCTACAGAAGCATCTCCTTTTACAGAAATGTTTCCTGAAAAAATCCATCAGCATGTACTCACTGGCAACCCATCCCTGCTCAGTGCCATTAATTACCACTCTTGTTTCGGCCACATCACCAACACTACATGACTCACCAGAAGGATTTTAAAACAACAGGCCTGTTTTGATATGACATTACTAAGAGTTACTCCAGGCACATCTGCTCACAATTTTTTGAACTTTTCTGCTGTCTTTTCAATTCTGCTCATCTGTAAGAGCTCCATGAGAAATTCTGTGTTTCTGACTTTCAAATAGTGCACCTGCTTAATGCCCTCCCATCCACAAAGCTTTATGTGGAAGAAGAGTAGGTTCAAGCAACCAAAGCTTATAACAAGTGTACAGTGACTATTACATGTTCCCTTCTTCCCCTCCAGAGGCATAAATCCACAGGAACCAGAAACACCCCCTAACAGCACAAGTGTTGAGTAACGTACCCTTTGAAGGCTTGTTACATACATACCAATTTGTTCCAAAATCCAGAGGCATTCGCTTCTTAAGTATTTCCAACGTTAGGTTTCTAAAATATAAGTTAATAAAAATATTAATTGGTACATTAAGAATTCAGCTAGAAAACCCTGATGTCCATAACTTCATGCTAATCTTACCTTCATGCACAACACACAGAAGTGCACGCAGTCTCACCTACGCTTTAGAAAGGGAGCTCACACTTTAAAAAATGCATGAGTAACAAAATAGAGTGATTTTTCAGTTCAACATTCCCTACATACATCTCCTGTGAAACCTTACAGTTCTTTCATCCCTTTGCTTTTCACTTCACTAACTGAAAAAACTAATGTGCAATCCAAGCTGTTCCTTAGGAGGGAACATGCTAAAAGTTGAACTGAAATACTGCTGTCATCCCTTCATGTTTGTTCAGTAACTTAAGTTCTAAGGCACTTTCATTGTAAGAAAAACTAAAGTCTTAAGCATTGGCTTTGGTACAGTGAGCTTTTAGAGAATGTTCATATACAGAACTCTTAGGTTGGGGAAAAAAGTAACAACACAGATATTCTCAGTAAGATTCCTTAAATCTGCAACATACAGCTAACTCTGTAACGCAAGTCTTCTGCCTCAGTCATGTTATGTGCACTCATGAACATCTGAAATATGGGGGCAGAGAACACATAAAGGACAGATGTAGCACACAATTCAGACTTCAGAGCTGCTGGTTCAAATCTCAGTCACGTGCACCTTCAAAAGGCCAAGATGCCATCCAGAGCCCAAGGAGTCCAGAAAGTAGGAAAGAGCACGTCCAATTTTGTAGGGCAAGTCTAATTCCAACAGAATCAGATCACAGAATGGCCTGGGTTGAAAAGGACCACAACGATCATCCAGTTTCAACCCCCCTGCTATGTGCAGGGTCGCCAACCACCAGACCAGGCTGCCCAGAGCCACATCCAGCCTGGCCTTGAATGCCTTCAGGGATGGGGCATCCACAACCTCCTTGGGCAACCTGTTCCAGTGTGTCACCACCCTCTGTGTGAAAACTCTCCCCAAATGTCCTAAAACAGAGATAAAGTTTTCCAGCTTTGTCCATGAGAGCACAGTCTTATGCTTATTTTTATGCATTACGCAGACAAGGTAAACAAGGAAATATGCTTTATCTTAATAATATTAGTAGTATTTTTTTTACAAAGATGTCATACGTGCGTATAGATAGCACACTAGAGTCACAAGTGCTCAAAGCAAAAGACACACCAGTTCAAAAAGCCCATTTAAGAAGGTTTTCTGAACACTGAGGAAACGTACTCCTTTAACATGGTATTAATAAAGAAAAACAAAACAAAACAAAACAAAGAGCACTCAATTTTAAGATACTGGGGGAGAAAAAAAGATAAAAATCCATTCTTTGCCTTTTTGTACATCCTATTCTTCCTATGCCATTTATACTTATCCTCTTCTATATAAAGAACAATCTTCAATTGCAGGACGTTCACTAAAACAGAGCGTTATTCATCAACCAAATGACTACAGCGTGTTTCGTAGCTGCTGCCCTCCTGCCTGCACTTCCCAGAAGTCTATCAAAACGGACCCAACAGTCAATGACACAACCTCCTCCATCCCCGCTGCAACTATTTCGTTACCTCATTCTCAACCAGACGAGCAAAGTTCACTCAAGTTCCACCTTGAGCTTTTAAGACGGGCAGCCTCGCGTTTCACACAACCTAAAGACACTCCGGGGCTGAGACGCTAGACGCAAGCCTTACCTTCACAGAACGGAAACAAACCCAAAACCTCCTTTCACACCTCAGACCGAAGCCGAACCCGGGCTGGGAAGCTCTGCCGGAGCTCAGCCGGCACTCAGCCTCGCACCGAGCGGCGGACGAACCCGTTCATCTCCACGGGACGAGCGCGGCACCGCCAATACCCCGCCGCCAGTCTCACGCACGCGTTACCGCGGCCGGGCACGGCCCACCCGGGCCTGCCGGCTCCTCACCCGCACGGCTCCCGGCACGTCGGCACCGGGGCCCGCGGTTCGACCCCGAGGCGGGGCGGCGCCTCGCGCCCGCAGACCCCGCCTCCCGGCCGCCTCCCCCCTGCTCACACCGCCCCCCTCCCCGGCGGGCCGCCAGGCCTCCGCCGCCCTCATCTCTCCCCCGTTACCTGCTGTCGCCGCCCCCTCACGCTCCCGTCGGGAGGAGCCCCGCGGCTACCGCGCGCGGAAGAAGAGGCGGGGGAGGCCGGAGCGGGCGGTGGGAGGGGCCGGCCCCTACGCTCTGCACCGCCATGAGGTGAGGGGATGGGAGGGTGAGGACTGACGGCGGGCGGCGGAAGCGAGAGGCGAGGGCGGGCGCCTTCCCCGCGCTCGGCTGTCCCCGCCCCGCTGGTCCCGGCAGCGCCCGCCGGAAAGGGAGCGGCCGCCTCGCTCTGGGCCGGGCCGCGCCCCGCCCGCCCCGGTCACGTGGCCTCTCCCGTAAGCCTTCGCCTCTCCTTCCCCCTGGGGGCGCGGTGTGACGTCAGCGCCACCGGCGGCTGAGGGCTGCGTAGCCGCCCGTCGCCCTCAGGGCGAAGGGGAGAGCTGCCTCCGGCCGGGGCGGGACGTAACGCCGCTTAGGAACGCTATTTCTGAGCCGGCTTTGTGGCCTTCTACGGGCAACTTTTTTATATTATTATTTTTAAACGAAGAGCCATTTGATGCGTTACAGAATATTTCACAAGAACCGTGTTTCCTCACAGCCACGCGCCATTCGTTATGACTTCCTACCCCAAGAAGCATCCCTTTCAAAAATCCACGTTTTTTTTTTTACACTCTTACATGAGAACTTACAAACCCCATACAGTAAAAAAAAAAAAAAAAAAAAAAAAGGCCATTTAAAATACTTGAGTGATTTGTACAATTTATTAGTCCATTTAAGCCAGGTCCCACGCTCCTCGTGCACAGTTTCCTACCAAAACTACTTGAATCTCATATGCCTGACTGGACGTTGGCACGTTTCTCCTCAGCTTATAGTTTAGACTCTGGAATGCAGCTATACCAATTGATAAGCTCAGAGAGCCCCTCAGTTCCTTCAAAACTACTAATATACACCTTCCAAAGCTGCCGTGGAGCATTAGCCTAGATTGCCACCACTCCCAAAACATCTGCGATAGCTGCACCTGAGAGCTGTGACTTTCAAGTAGGACTGACCTGTTGGTCGCATCTCTTAGTGACAACATTTTCCTTTGCTAGGATTTCTCAGAACATGACCACAGCCTGCACAGGCTGCTGTTTCATTTCTGTAAAACTTGGAAACAAAACTAGAGCAGCAATCTTGGCTTACCCTCCCATGATCCCGCATCTTGCTCACCAGCTGAACCAAAAAGGCCCCTCACTCTGACAGTTTAAGTCTTGCAACTTCCAGGACACTCAAAGAAATAATATTTAGGCCTATTTTATGTCCTAGAGCAATATTCTATCCCCAGGCTTGAAACTAGACTGTTAGATGCGACATTAATTTTGCACTGGAACAGGTTGCCCATTGAGGCTGTGGATGCCCCATCCCTGGAGGCATTCAAGGCCAGGCTGGATGTGGCTCTGGGCAGCCTGGTCTGGTGGTTGGAGACCCTGCACATAGCAGGGGGGTTGAAACTGGATGATCGTTGTGGTCCTTTTCAACCCAGGCCATTCTATGATTCTGTGATGATCTATATAATAGACAGTATGCAACTATTTGCTAAGCACTTTGCAGCTGGCTTTTCTGTGTTTTGCCAGATACCAGAACTGTGAAATCTTTGAAAAAGTTCAACATCTGTTTAAACTCTTCTTGATATATTTTTTCCAGCTGTTAGTTCTGATCAACATACTGCTACTCCTTCACACAAAACACATTTTTGAGTGCTCTCAGTTCATCACAAGTCATCACAGTCTTATTTCTCTGCCATAGGTTGTGCTTAACAGAAAATTATCAAAGCATCTCTTGATAATTTACAACAGCATGATACACCAGACATGTTTTCAGAGTATCTGGAAGCAACTCTGAAAAGAAGAATGATAGTAAGCTACCTACCCTCATCCATTCTCACAGTACCGCTCCACATTCTTTGTACTCAATGAATTTCACAGCAAATGTCTGCTAGTATAAATTGTTATGCAAAGCTACGAGCAGAACTTTTCAGGGCTCAGTATCTATTGCGTATATAAACATCCCTCAAGGTTTAAGGATGAAGAGCAAGGCTGCCACCCACACAACCCAGGGAAACATTAGCAGGTTAGCAGGTTCATGCTGCATATGAGCTAGCTGACTTGTGCAGTAATTTCCAACTCCATACAAACAGCAAAAGGATTACGATAAAAAGCTATCTACCCAGAGCTGTCTGGTATCCCTTGGCAAAATATCACAAGCTGGCAGAGTTTTAAAGCAGGGTGATAAATTCAGTGCTGTCTGTAGACGGCAGAAAACTGATGAGGAAATCAGGCAGCTGTAACGGCCTCTGGTGGCCATGTCCCTGCTGCATTTAACCAAGACAGCTGAGCAGAACAAAGGATCTGTATCTGTGAGGCTGTTCCTACAAGGATTGCGCTCCCAGATGCGACTTAATAAGCTCTGCTTAAGATCTCAAAAATAAGAACAAAAACAGTAAAAAACACGTCAGAAAAATCAACAGCATTTTTTTTTTTCCCCCTCCCCTCCACCACCTCTTGTTAAATAAAGAGAAAATGGCACTATCAGATTTTGGTCTTTTTAACACCCTCCTCATGTGAGATGTGGGGATGAGATACATACATTCATGACTGGTTATGTCACAGACTTCAGTGGTAACAGCGGTATACTCACTTACTTAAAGAATAAAAAAATAAAAGGAAATTAAAAAAGGAAAATCAGAGATGCTGCATACAGAAAGGAAACCTAGTTTTCTGATCTTCCTATCTTGGGACATTGCATTAATATCAGCAACACCTTTAAAAATAAGATTTCAAGCACATACCTTGTGAAGAAACCATGCCAATCTCTTCCAACGCATGCAAATTTTATACTCAAGAGACTTTGCTTGTTTTAAAATAATTTTTAACTTTCACCAGCAATAATACTGGTCTGTTCCCTATGACACAAGCCTAAAGACTGAAACAGTTCCTCATCAAAATCCCACCATTTGAAAAATGGCGTGTCTGAAAGTCATGTTTATGTGCCAGTACCTAATACAAGTAGCTATGAACTTCAGATGAAGGATTAGCTGGTCAGACACCATCATCTTCTGAAATGATTCCTGCTGTGGAAAGCTCTCGTGACAAGAAATTAGACCAGTCACACAGGTTTCCTTAGCCTATGTACAGGAGAGTATGATAACCTTTAAGCCAGTTTGAACTGACTCAAGCTCCACCAAACACTTCTGCCAGGAGTGTTTATTTTATATCTGAGCATACCTCAAGCACAATTAAAACATCAAGGCTACAGTTTTTGGTAGATGCCACCACATGATGACTGAGCCCCTCATGTAGTAATTGATCTGTACACATGAAAGAATCGTCCATCACCAGTAAAAGCAAGGCCACAAAAGTAAGGAAAATAGTTTGGGCTCATGAATTGGGATTAGACTGCATGACAATTAGATGGGTGGGGAAAATACTTTTTTTTTTTTTTTTTAACCCTGTGTGATAAAGAGGAGGAGTCACAAAACAAGCATTGAGCTAGAAATAAAATTATTTATTTTAAAACATTACAGATTAATAAATAGATTAGTTATCAGAAAACTTAATAAATAGCCTCTTATAATTTACACAAGGCAAATACAACATGCCTATAACTATTTTTTAAAAAGCAAAGAGTAAGCTTGACTGGTAAGCCATTAACAAATATATATATATATACACATTATTTGAAAGCTAATAAAATAAACCATTTGTATGTAATCCATAGTGAGTATATTGCAATAGCATTGAAGCAACCTGACATTGTGTATTTGTTGCCATCCACTTTTTCCCCACATCACATCAGAACTGTTTTTTTTTTTTTTTTTTTTTTTTACATTCCAGGAAAACAAAAGTTAGAAAAAAAGAAGTTCCACAGTTTAAAAAAAAAGAATTAAGTTAAAAATACCCAATTTGTGTAACATTTTCTACTCTCTAGAGTAGCTATTTAGAGAGAAAAAAGAAAACAAAAATCCAAACACAAGAAAACCCACCAAAAACACTTATTGTCAGTTTTTAAGAGAGATTTCTTAATCTCTAACTTTGTAATCATTTCAACATTGTTGTCTGAAACACTTGGGCACTAATAGTAATAACTTTCCACATCATTGGTGCCTCACATCATTGGTAGATTAACATTCTGCATCACTTCAGCCTGTATTCAGTAGCACCAAAAAATTATTTCAAAGATTGGTCTCTGTAAAGAAAAGACATCAGGTAATTGATCAATGTTTGTTAATAATTGATTTAACAGTGCAGCTTCAGCTGAGGAACATCTGTAGAATGCTTTATATTTATGAAGAAAGAAGAGAAGAAGGGTACAACATGCAAAGTCCAGTTTTAAGCTCTCCATACTTATTAACCCCAGATCTTTCTTCAAATACAAACCCTCTATGTTTCAAATAAAAAGCAAAGCTAAACCTCACAGATTCTAGTATTTCAACAAACAAAATCCAGTGTTTTCATTTTTCAGTGCTTCAGTTACTTCAGAAAAATACGTATGTTCAATACAAATCAAGATTATTAATAGGAAGCCTCACTTGTCAAACTGTGATATGACAGGTTCTCTTTAACATTAGTTTCAGCTCACTAATAAATAGGCTCTATTTACATATATAATGTGTTGGAAAGTCAGTACAGCAGATAACCTTAGGTATTTTTCATTTATATGTAAGTACTTAAGGTAACAAATTTTTTTTGTTTGTTGTATCAAAAATGTTTCTATTTTCCTACTGAACATCTGAGGAATTTTTGTGTTTGACACCTAATAAAGATCGGGAGTGACACATGTAAATCCTCCATACACTGAAGGGATAATCATCAAAGTCAAGTGAGTAACAAGTAAGTGTGTTTGGTAAGTACAACAGAAGCCAGACATACAGAGTG